TTGTCGTAGTAACATGTGATAACTGATTCACACTTGCAGACCGAGACAAAGATGCTCGGCCAGCCTATCCTAGAACGAATCCTTCGCGCTCATATTAGGGCCGCAGGTGGCAATATCGAGCTAGGCTCCACGCTTACGGCGCTCGAACAACATGAAGACAAAGTCATTGCTAGAGTCTCCAAGACCTTCGGGGGCGAGACTATCGAGGAGACCATCGAAACCACATGGGTTGTTGGTGCCGACGGCGCTAAAGGTCCGTTTTCAATGTGCCGAGTTGATACAAGTCTGAGCTCCCCGGGATATACAGGCATCGTGCGTAAGCAATTCGGCCTCAGCTTTCTCGGAGAAACACACGAGGATATCCGAAAGCTGATCGCTGACGTTCGGCTGACTTGTCCCGGAATCGACAGAGATGTAAATCTTGGCCATTCATCGTCTTTCAATCGTTGTATTGACCCTATGTCAACAGGTCATGTCATACTTTGGCGATTCGTTGAACGGGTAAATTTCTCGGCTTTCACGATCAGTATCCTCCCTTCTCACTACCTTGCAGCATAGGCCTTCGTCCGACGGATAACATCGCGCCAGACGGCTATCAGATCATTCTCAATGGTGACGGATCCGACTTCCAAGCTCTCGTGCACGATCATGCGGCACTCTGCGAGAAGATACAGTCTTTCGTCCCTAAAAAGATTACGTTCCACAAGACACGCCGAGCTACGCTCCGGCGATTTCTATCGAAGTTAATAATGGGCTCTCACACCACTACAGTTATATCAGAATTTGCCCGAGGGCTTAGCTAAGGACAAAACACGCATGATAGATAATTGCACATAAGTATAGCCAACAAAGTATCCGTACATAGTGTTCTACACGTTCGGGATTTGTTCGGGATGAGCACCGCAGGCGAGATCCAAAAGGGAATTCCCATCATATCAAAACGTCAAACAAAGGATCCGACATGAACAGATGTGCGTAGGGAAAGTGAATCAAACGCAGATACGTAGAAAAGTGCGTACCATTCGTATTTAAGCTCCAATGCCGCTGAAAGTTATAAGCCTGCAAGAAAAAGGCGTACCTGAATTGTTGTACGGGTTTCAAAACGCCTGCGCACAGGGCAGTACCGGGAGAGCCAGATATACATCAGTACACGTTAACGCAAACAGGATACCCTGGCGGGTGCTTTGGGGGAGGGTGTGAGCTTGCTAAACGCGGGATACCGGTTTATACCTGTGGTCGGGCAGTGTAAGAGAAGGTCCTTGGTGATGATTGGGCTGCCTAAGGCGTCGGGGCGAGAGGGAGAGGGCGCCTGAATCGGTGAGGAGCGGGGTTTGAGCGAGAGCGTATCTACATATTATGCATATGGAGATCAGTGGTACAGAGTCAGGAAGAGTGCGGGCGCCATCTGTGAGTGCGTCCTCGCCAAACTGCTGTGCGGCCTCCTTCGTCCGCTTCGGACTTCGTGATCTGCTCCACGTCCAATCAGCTAGTCAATCATGAAAACACATGCAAAACAGTGCGCACCCAACAACAGCCTTGACAAACGCGCGCTTCGCCTTGGAGTCCACAAAATCATCCTATCGCCCCTTAACACACTGCAACTTCGCTCAATGCAAGCCTACTCACAGTGAACAAAATCTCTCCATTCACACTCTCGCCACCGCCGGATGCTTAGTAACAATCGCACTTGACACCTCGAATAGGTTCGCCGTTAGACTGCGCGGTGCTACCCCGCAAAGCCCTTGAGCAGCGGACGCATGATCCGCCGACCATGCGTCCCAATTAGTGCCGCGTTTTCCTCACCCAGCGCGTCACTGCTCCCCGTCCGCTTGATCAGTGCACCCTATATAGTATTTAATAAACGACGAAATGCGGTGAGAGTGTGAAAATGGGACATACGAGGAAGATACACATCGCAGCAACCGAATACCGCTCCTGCATCACCAGCCCCCCAAGGCACACGCTCATAGCCCAAAGCGATAAAGGTACGGTACGTACTAGTGCTGCTCCGTGGTCCTAGCAGGGCTGAAATAAGCGAGTGCTGAAGTTAGGGAGCTCGATTGACGTACCAACTCTGCGAACGTAAGGATTCACGGTGCGAAACGGGGAGGGAAAGAAGGAGGGGAGGAAAGGATGCGACGAGCGGCAGCTTTGAGTTCATTATCTTATCAGCGGGAGTATGGCCCAAAAAGGATGAGAATGTCCAGATCGAGAGTGAATCTGATCTGAATGGGATCTCATCAAGAACACAAACAAAAAACCAAACAAAAGCGGGCAGAAATTTTGAATATACGAGTAATGAGGTCATTTGGGCTTCGGATTGGAGGTGAGACCATAACTCCATCTATCACCAGGAGCGAGAGGCTGACAGGTGAGTAGGGCTAACATCAGGATGACGGATACATTTCGCAAGGGAAGGTGTTTCGTCGTTGGGGGTACGCTTTGATCTTGTTCGCGTGTTGAAGTAGTGCTGAAAAGCTTCTGTCAGATGCTGGACAGTAAGTTGGACCTGAACGGTTCTTCAAAGACTCCTTCTCTGATGTACCATCTAGCGTTCACTCTCCCTCTGGTGGTCAGGTACGCTTTCGCTCAGCTACTTATGAATACATAAAGTCAAACCCGCTTTACAGGGCTTAAACACAAGCGTCCAAGATGCCGTACGTCTTCACCCATATGTTCGCCCCCTACCTTCACCTCCATACTGACTCCCTCGCGCTTTATCAGTTCAACCTCGCGTGGAAGCTCGCCCTCGTTCACAACAACCTCGCCCTGCCTAGCCTGCTGGATACGTACACCACCGAGCGCCTCCCCGTCGTCGCGCAGATGCTCGGGCTCTCCACGAGCCTCTTGCAAGGGCAGAGAACACAACAGGCCACCGAAACGGGGGCAAACACGAAGGCGTGGGAGCGCGGGGAGCATATGCACCAGCTCAGGATCAACTATCGGTATAGCCCCGTTGTGCTGGATGAGGTCAATGCGTCTAGTGAGGATGTGGACCCTTATGGGGTGAAGACTGACGGGCGTGTTGTCGCTGGAGATCGCGCGCCGGATGCTACAGGGATTCAGATAATCGGTGCTAACTCGAACGAGAAGACGACGACGCTGTTCGAGCTGTTCAAGCCCACTCACCACACCGCTCTCATCTTTGCTCGTGATGTCAGTTCCGCGTCTCATCTCGTTGAGACGTTGAGTGCGTATGACCCACGTATTCTGCGCACGTTCGTCGTCCTCCCCGCCGGATCCTTAGCGATGAACACAGCTGCCGGTCGTGCAGGTATGGCTGAGGTCCCCACGATTTTGGACAGAGATGAGCATGCGCATCATGCATACCAAGTGCCCAACGGTGATGTGGCGAAGGCGATAGTGGTGAGGCCTGACGGTGTCGTAGGCGGTGTTCTTGAGTCGGCCAAGGGTGTTGGGCGGTACTTCTCAGGACTTGGCATTGTGGCTTGATCGATTCGAGAAGTTGATGGAGCACACCGGTGTGCTCAGAGGAACATATGCTCGTTGTACATAGAGATTCCATTACAATCATCTCAACTCAAACTTGGAATATCACTCGCCTTCTATCATTGAGAATACACCCATACTCTAGGCATCTCGAGGACGATGCGAGGCGAACATCGACTCTAACAACGTAAAAATCGATCCATTTCAGTCGCGATGGCCCTGCACTCACTTTGACATCATGTGAGATGAAAGCAACGGAAATGGCGTGAGAAGACTTTAATGACCGAGTTAAGGGACAAAATTGGATCTTTGCCTTGAGATGAATGCGGCACTGCAGTCCCCAGCTTCACATATTCCTACCTATTCTATTATCATCAGCATCGTCATCAACCTTTGCGCAATTATAGATTCCCATAACCTCCACGATACATGTACCGTCCCATCTTTGGACTTTTGCGCTGTGCATGGCTTCTGATATTTCTCTGCCATGTTAGTATTTTGCTGCTGAGAACTGTCGTGAGGAAAGCATACGCTTTTATGAATCAAGTGTCTACTGCAGGCATTGTCTGTTTTCTGAAAAACATCATTTTGCCCTCAGCAAAGGTGGTACCTGATCGCTACCCTTCAACGTTGGAATGTGTCAATTGATAGTCACACCAGCTGATTGGAAGACGTGACTGTGCAGACACAACATTGGTTAAAGGTGTTGACAAAAGATTAACACTGGCCCTCTGGAGAAGCTCAATGAGACCTGTACCGCGGAGACAGACAACATAGTCTCCCAGCCCATCCTCTGTCAGAGTATATTTGAAATGCTGCTATGGTAATTTGGACATTTCTTCCACTTTCAGCACTCGTTTGAGCAGTGCTGTAGCACAGAGTAGGTGGACGATTGGACTGCATACCTTTGACTAAGAATTTCTGCCCCATTTGTGCACTCCCCACTACCAGAATGATTCTCTCAGGGCCATTAAGTATCAGTGCCACGCAGCAAGCGGCTTATAAACAGGTTCAACAAGGGTATCAGTTGATCAGCGATAACTTCACTGCGACTGCAGACATCCAATATGCCACTTGTGTCAAATTCTCCAGCGCTGATACCTTACCTTATCGAGTCGTGCCAGCAAAAATACCTTGTCGGTAAGCAGCCTATAGTCTCGAGATTTACATCCACTGCGCACCTGCTGAAAAGTACTTAACGGATCAGTCTCCCTTCTTACTGTCGTAGTCTATGATTATGGTTGGTTCAATTCTCTTTGAAACTCTGCATAATAATCCTTATTTGACTCGACTTCAATCAGTTCTGAATTTGAGTAGAGAGGTGAGGTCAAGTTGCGAATAAAGACACATTCTCAGACGCGAACAACGCTAGATATTGCTCATATGGGTATGTTCTCGAATAATCTAACCTATAACCTGTAGACGCAATCACAATACTTTTCGTCTCTAGCAACATAAAATCTCACCAATGACCTACTGTTATTTTCTTGTGAGCATACTACGAAATCGCGATGACCTCTTAAAGGTAGTACATTCTGTTCATCTGGCTTTTTTTTGCAGCTTCGCTATGGCGGTTTTTTGTTACCAATGTACTCTTTCAGCCGTGCTGTTTTCAGCCGTAACTGCTAATGTCATGACTTTGTTCAGATTTATCATATGTCAGTATCTTTCCTGCTGACTCTATGCAGTCGTTTTTACATGTATCCAGGGTCAAGTCTCCCCGTAGTCATGTCAGATAAGGTGAGCACTGGAGCGTGATGAGACGAGAGGGTACTGACGATTTTGGCTCTGATAGACGTAAGTATGCTGGTACTTTTCGTGCATCTCCTAGTCTTATATGAACAATTAATAACAAAATACTCTGTGCAGCTGTAATTATATGTTTTCTTTTTATTTATAATTAAATCTCACAGTTGGAAGGCACTATCCTCTACTTCATGTTCGGCACTGCCCTTCCTAGCATCCTACTCATGGTTATTCAAGGTGAAGCAGAGAGCTGAGCTGTAGTCGACCAACTAAATAAAACTTGCAGGTGTCATGTCTGCTCGAGTCTGTGCGCTCTATAAAAACTCGAAGAGAATTTTCATCTTCCTTGGCAGCACCTTTGCCGTTGTACAGCTCATGAATGTTTCGTTAGCCATTACATTGTTTTTTGGGTATGACGGTTATACTGGTGCGTCATGTCCAGTTTTTGTGTATTATCTTCGATACTCAACTACCTGATAAAGTTCAAGAGAGTATACTGTTAGGCTTTCGGCAATGCACAATATTGGGGAGTCCCTTAAGCCCGTCTTATATCGTTTTATACATCGCTGCTGACAGCAGTGTCTGTGCGTATGAGCTACTGCTCATCGCAATGCTGAGTTATCGTTCAGTGCTGTATCTGAGAGAAAACAGGAAGCAGAACCTCCCACAGGAATTTAGGGCCCGTGGGTTAGTTGTCTTGCTAATGGGGCAAGGTGGATTTTATTTTCTATGGTGAGGTCATATCTCGTTATATGTGACATCAATCTGAACTTGCTTAGGGCATTTGCATACGGAATCATCACCGTTATCAATGATATTCCACAACTTGATGATCTGGTAAGCCTGATAATGTATAACGTTGCGTAAAGATTTGCTGAAGTGGTGATAACAGAGCACACCTTCAAAACTCGCCATTAATTGTCTCCTCATAGCCTTTGAAGTTGGAGTTTGCTCGATGCTGGGACCATGGCTAATCCTATCCCTACGCCAGAATCATCAAAACCAGCTGAACGGAGGGTCCAGTTTGACTGAAGGTGGCACGGTCAGCGGGGTTGTATTTGAGAGGCCGTTATCTATCCGCAATGATCCAGAGACGTCAACCGACTAGGTACAGGTCAACAGATAGTGTTGGAGGTGAAGAGATACTATCCTATTCGCGCTCCGGAGCAGCTTATTCTTTGAAGCTCGCTCAATAGTTAAATGATGCACTCAACCTGATTTTAAAATATCCGACAAACAACGTCAAATTTCTTTCCTTCTTTTGTTAAAGTAGGGATAGCGAATTTTTACTCTATTTGCAACATAATTGCTATTTAAAGTAGTCGTATTTATTGTGACACATTTTCACGTTAACTTATCACATTATGAGCGCCTTTGGTGTTACTGTATTGTTTGTGATTCAGCATGCACGGAAAATTACAGCCAGATTTCATACTTGTAAATATATGCTCATTTGCAATCTGCACAAGTTGGTACTTAGATAGTATACGCGAGCACATACTTGCGCACGTACGTTCCATTGTAGATCAGTCAAAGATATCACGTCTGTTCAAGCTGGGCTTCGTCGTTTGCGTCCAGCTCTCCGAATGAAGCTTTAAACCCCGGCCCGCGCCCGTATGCGTCCCAGGACCAATCAACAAACACAACCAGCCTCTCCAGTGCCGGGACCGAGTCTGCTGCGGCGTATGGTGCTCACAGACGCCGGAGCGCTCCGCTTCTTAGCATACGCAAATGATTCTAGGTGGCGCGGCGCGCCGCCATCGCACTGCTTCTCAGCCCCAGTGAAAAGTCCGTTCTGCTCCATACTTTACCGCTCTTATAATTAAAGGTGTCTCTGTACTTTAAAACAGCTATCTGTATAATAAAAGCCAAGGTGTGACCAGAGCCTAGCCTTATTAGCTAATGAGAAGGCCTCAGAATGCTTCTTAGCACCATACTTTTGAAATTCGGCCGACCCAGGCCAAGGCAGGCTCAGGCAAAGTCATCAAATCGTCTAAGTCCCTGATTACATTGTGCATGCCTCCCCACAGGGCTTCCGCTTCAGTGTAACAGCCTGGTGTACAATGGAACAAGTAGTAGCATCGATCAAGTACTCATCATGTTAATTCTGTGTCCCTACTCTCGGAGACCTATCAAAACTCGTCCACAAAAGCACTTGCCACAACTCGCACAAAGGGCATCGCCGGACGCGCCCCTTCATTATATCTCTCACTTTGGTACTCTTCTTACTCTGTGAACGTCTGATATGGTCTTTGGGCTCGGAGGAGCACCACATCTTGTGGCGAAGACTTTTGGAATGCTGAAGTCCAGTGTTTTGACGTCATAACAAGGGACAAAGATAGAAGAAACCCGAGAAGCAGATAAATGGAATTTGGCTTTACATGCACAAATAGCTGCGTCGTGTCTTTTCCTCCCTTCGCTCGTATCAATGACCTCTTTTCCATGCCTCCATTTCACCCATCGCATGCAAGCCTACTCCAGCTTTTCTCACCAAGAGAAGCTCTTCGCCGGCTGCCAAGCCTGGTTCGTCGAAGCGCGCGCGAACGGCTTCAGTGCCAGACTTGGTGCCTTCAACCGCTTCTACGTCGTCCCTGCCAAGCTCCGTGTCCGCGTCGGGACCGAGATGCCTTCGGGCAATTCACTCTCTAGCCCTTTGTAAGTGTTATTCCGGCGCATTGGTATCAATACTAAAACATGTTTCTAGGTTCGACATGATCGCGGCCATTGATTATAAAGCCTTCCCTCCCCTTACAACACCGCCGAAGTCGGGCCCAAAGTGACCAAGGGCAAGAGCAAGCAAAAGAAGGTGTGCCTGCCTCCAATGCCTGCGCCCACCATCATACTCTCCGCGAAGGCGCCGGAGCTGCCCACCGAAGCCCCCACCGCATCTGACGTGACGCTGCCCGCCGCCGCTAGCACGATTGCTGACGCCCCTGTCATAAGCCTCGAGGACAGGAGCGCGACTCTCGCTCCGATCGAGGACACTAGCGCGGTTCTCGCGACGAGCACTGCCACTCCCACGCCAGCCGAGAACGTCGAAGCTCCCCCGCCAGTTGTGGTGAGTTCGACACCGTGCTCTCCTGTGGGGGCTGCAGATGCCACGGACACTGCACGGACGTCGACGACTGGGCAGGGCGGCAAGCTCCTTGTCATTCCGAAGACGATCTCTCCCTCAAGTACATATGTCTATTCATTATCTACCTATCTAACCCTACAATGTATAGATGGGAGTTCACTCGCGCCTGGATCAATGACCAAACAAACGTGCCATACACGGAGGCACGCTTCAACAAGGCTTGGAAGTCGGTGAGGGAGAGCGCTGTAGAGTTAAAGGTGAGTCTGTCTGCCGGATATCTACGCTGAAACTAACACCTTTAATGCAGAAATGACAGGATACTTCCGATGAAGAGAGAACGACACCTCTTGCTTGATCCGACAGTGCACGTACTTAACACGTTCATCAAACTTGGGCTTTTTACTAATGATTTTGCTTGCTTACAGGTCATTCGCGCACTATGCTGTCAGTCTGACATACGCCACGCCAACATCAGCTCTCCCGCTTGCTAAGCCGACATTCGCTTCTCTTCGCTGTTTTTACCGATTCACTGCTTTCATTGCCATCATTTGCTATTCTTTGCACACTTGCCTTATTCTTTGCGCAAACTCCCGCCGTTTTTATTGATTTCGGGTCGCTTTTAAAACATTCTATGTCATTTTAAAGAACCTGTACTGTCCCTACCGAGAAATCAAATGGTCGATGACCGTTTTTTGCCAGTCTTTAAAGTCTTTTGAGGAATTGTTTAAAACACCTATTGGGGCACAAGCTCAAGTCGTTTTAATGAATAGTACGTGATTTAAAGAATCCGAAGAGCGTTTAAAGATTAATAATCACTTTTATTTAAAACCTCAAAGAATAATCCAATATGGACTTTTCACTGGGTCTCAGCCCTTCGCGAGTTGCACTTGCAGGTACCCGATCCGAGTCGAGGTAGCGCCACCGGAAACGAGCGGCGCGTGTTCGTGGAGGTGAGGCAGTTGGCGTCTTTGATGTCGTCACGAGTATCTGCCACGCCCAGCTGGGCGGATCGTTGATCGTGCCATGGTCGTCCGCGAGCTCGACGTCTTCCACGGCTTGTCGAGCGAATCTTCCACCGGGCGCAGCGGCACAGGTGGAGACGGACTCGGCGCCCACTTGCCCGTCTGACGAATCGGGCTCGAACCACATGCAATTAATTCCTGATCACAATGCGCCGCAGCCTCGGCAGCTCCAGAAGCACCGCAAAACTCGTAGGAGCGATAGTACAGTCAACAAACTCGACGCGCTCTACATTAAGCAGCTGCGCGTGGTCGTCGACGATGTGAAAGGCTTTCTCCTGAGGATATCCAACGAACACGCCGCGCTTGACGCGTCTCGCCGTATCAACAGTCACGGAGTCTCCAGCGTCGATCGCACGCGTCCACTTGCTAAGCGCCAGTGCCGTCACCGAACCCGGTGCATGCCTCGGAGACTGTAAACGCGGACCTAAAATGACAGTTTCAAAGACGCGGGGCGAGGCTATATGATAGAACAATCGGCTCACGAGAGTGGCATGTATGAGGGTATTGAACGCGTCTGCGTCGTTAGCTGCAAATCTGCCTAGCTGGAAAACATAGTCGAAGATCTCGACGTATATCTCGTTCGGGACTGTGGATAGTAGAGTGCCTGCGCCGTTTCGGCGAGTAGGAGCTGCCACATCATAGTCAAACGGGAGGTCAGTTGGCGCGCCGGGGGTTGCAGACGAGACAGCGAGAGTGAGATCCAAAGACCTTGACTTACTAGACCGTGGGACCGCCACCGGTGAATAGGCAGAGCGTGGATGGTGATTGCATTCAGCGTTTAACACCAAAGGTGAAGTGAAGCAAAAGAAAGGCAAAAGATATGACCTGATCCTGGCTCGAACAGGAGACCTTCTGTGTGTTAGACAGATGCGATAACCAACTACGCCATCAGGCCTTATGGCTCTTCGTGTGTCAATAAAATATCAACTGCTCGCGCCACCGCGTGTGCACTCAGGGCCGAAAAATTGGGCGCCCCTTTCTCCGCGTGTGACTTGATAAATTCTTGCCTCGCCTTTGTCTCGACCTCCATCCTCTCTACCTCACGAAATGTTCTCCTTCTTCCGCCGTTTCTCCTCTGCTGCCCCTCCTGCCCCTACCGCTGGCAGCATGTAAGCAACCTTTCTTCGCACAACTGTCCCTCAGCTAACCTGTACTTCCACAGCGCCAACGTCTTCGTAAGCCCATGACCTCCCTCACCCACAAACACACCTGCTGACACTGACGCGCGCAGTTCGATGTCTCCATCAACTCGAACCCCGCCCAGCGGATAACGTTCAAGTTGTACGACGACGTCGTGCCCAAGACGGCGCGCAACTTCCGGGAGCTCGCTACCGGGCAGCACGGGTTCGGCTACGCGGGCAGCCACTTCCACCGTATCATCCCTTCTGTGCGTGCTCCTCCACCTTTATTTTGCGTGTGCGTACTGGGAAAACTGACGAGAGGCGGTGTGTAGTTCATGCTGCAGGGAGGCGACTTTACGCGTGGCGATGGGACTGGTGGAAAGTCGATTTACGGCGAGAAGTTTGCTGGTGCGTTGGCCGTCTTCTGTTGCTCTCTTGTGGTGCTTCCGCTTACGCAATGCGCATCCAGACGAGAACTTCAAGCTCCTCCATGACCGACCTGGCCTTCTCTCGATGGCCAACGCCGGCCCCGGCACCAACGGGTCCCAGTTCTTCATCACGACGGTGACCACCCCCTGGCTGGACGGCAAGCACGTCGTGTTCGGTGAAGTCCTCAACGGGATGGACATTGTCAAGGCCATTGAGGCGCAGGGCTCGAGCGGAGGCAAGCCGCAGACCAAGGTGACGATCACTGCGTCGGGCGTCGTCGAGGGTGAAGCCCCCAGCTCGTGACTCTCTTCGCGGCTGTGAAGAAAGCGACATGAAGCTGGCATATGACGCCAATACATAGACATTTATAGTTGCCCAATCCCTATGCTAATGGATGTAATGACCTGGATGGCTGGCGTGATAAGTTTTATCCGGGGCGACAAGGACTGAGACCGAGATGATTAGCCCCTGTGAAGAGGGATTGGGTCATCAGTCTGACGGCGTGGGTCATCTGCTTACCACACCCTATCTACACACTCATAAGCTCACCAATGCTGGCGTCTCCCTCGTCGATGCAGGGCAAGTAGAGAACTTTGCATGTCCGCGACATCCCTCATACTCAACTCCAGGTGCAACCCTATCCAGCAGCATAGACATCAGCTAACCTACTCATGCAGAATGTCCGACACCACCCCCTCCATCTTCTCCCTCCCCGCAGAGGTCATCGAACACATCTTCATCGCCGCATCATCCAACGCCTCCGCACGCAGCATCGCCGCCCTCGCAGAGACATGCAAAGCCTTCCACGCCATCATCTACCACGCACCCGACCACCACCTCTGGCGCGGCATCTTCCTCGCCGCATTCGACGACCCGCGCCCCGCCCTCCGGCACACCGCCGTCCTCCACCGCGGCGCGCGGCACGACGACCCGCACGGCACCCTCCAGGCCGTCGAGGACGCGTACGACTGGGCACGCGAGTACCAGCGCCGCGTCAAGGCAAAAAGTGTGCTCGCGAGGGCGGCAAAGCGCCGCACGGACGTGAAGGACCTCCCGCTGCGCGTGATGCGGCACCGCGCGGGCGCCGTCACGGACGAGGTGCGGGCCCACTTAGCCGGGGGCGCGACGCCCGCGGAGGCGCACGACGTGCTCGATGCGCTCCGCGCGCTGCTCGCGGCGCTCGAGACGGCCACGCCGTTCCCGCGCTTTCCGAGCATCAAGTTCGAGGTGCAGGGTCTGCTCGCGGACGACGAGGACGAGGCGTCGCTCGCGCGCGCCCCGCCGTTTCCGCCGCTCCTTTTGCTGCTGTGCAGCGACGAGTTCCCGGAGAGTATGCAGTGCCGGAACGCGGACTGGGTCGAGAGCATTCTCTTTGGTGGCGACGGCGGAGGAGGTGGGGTAGGGTTTCCGCCGCAGCTCGTGCGCACGCTGCTCGCGAACAAGGAGCTGCACGTCGAAGGCTGCGCGGACTTTACACCCAACCTCGAGCAGCCCACCTACTGGACCGGGCCGGCGCACGACCTCGGCCAGGCGTTTCACAAGCTGCTGTGCTGCACGGGCTTCATCCCGATTCGCCAGCCGGAGTCGCCCAAGCCTGCGTCAAAGGCTGAGGATGCGCCAAAGGATGCCGCTGTCGATGAACCGGCGCATATAATCACGGGAGCTACAGAATCCACTGGCCAGACCGAAGACTCCACCACCGCTCCCACCGAAGAGACCGACGCATCCTCTTCCTCCTCGCCCGCTCCGGGCATCACAATGGAAGAACCCACCCCCGTCGCCGACGACGACGGCGGCGACGGCGACGAAGAAACCGGGAGCGGGGGCGTGTACGGCCTCTCGATCCTGCACGCGCTCGAATACACGTCCTCGCACTCGCTCAAGCAGCGCTTCCCCTCCGCCGAGAAACAGCACACCGAGGCGCGCTCGCTCGCGCGCCGCAGGGTGTACGATATGCGGTATCTGCACCCTGCGAGGCAGTGGGGGCCGTATTTGCCTGTAAAGCGCGCGCCGAGGGCTTCTTCTTCTGCCGCTGGGAAGGGCAAGGCGCGGGACAGTGCGGATGGGGATGGCACGGAATCGAGCGACGGGGAATATGTGCCTCCACCGGCCACGACGCATCAAGCCTTCGCCGAGGAAGACAACGACGCTCTCACGGAGGAAAACTCAGACGACGACCCAGACCCCGACGAAGCCGAAACAGAATCCGACAACGACGCGGACAACGAAGGCCTACACGCCCTGCCCCTCGCACACAACCTCCGCCCGCTGCGCCCGCCCATCCAGCCGTACGAGCTCGCGCCGGACTGGGTGTGGCTCGCGAGCGCGCGCATCGTCGTCGAGGCGAACCTGGGCGAGATGTACCAGCGCAGCGCGGCGCCGGACCGGCTCGCGCTGGGCGATATTTTGCATGCGCTGAGGCGGGCGCAGGCGACAAGGGTTGGGTCGAGTCCGGGGTTTTGGAACGAGTGGGCGAGGCAGCGGGGGGAGGGGGATGCGAAGGGCAAGGCGAAGGGGAGGGAGACGGCACAGGAGGGAGAGGCGTCGACCAGCAGGGCTGCGAACGGGAGAACGTCGGTTCCTACGCCAAAGTTGACTGGGGACCCGGAAGATCTGGAAGAGTGCGAGGGCTGGGACTGGGCTGGGATCGAGGGCATCTGGAGGTCCGTCTCCTTCATTCCACTCGCTTCTGGCGTGCACACACCTCACCGGTCTCGCACAGACGCTGCATCTGCTGGCTCGACTACCGCGACCTCCTCCGTACGTCTCCCCTCCTTATCCACCCTATCCACCCACACGTACTCACAGACCCCCACCCCACAGTCCACAACGTCTCCTCCCAACGCTTCCTCGATGAATCCACGCGCGAAGCCTGCCGCATGGTCCCCATGACCGCGCGCATTACAAAATACACCCGCGCCCCACAGCCGCCCACCACCAACGACGGCGACACCGCATTCGAATACCCGCCCATCATCCACATCGAGGGCGAATCCATCGGCTCAGACCGCGACCCCCGCGCGCCGCGCAGAAACTGGGGCAAAGTCATGATGCTCGCGGACGGCTCCATCCGGTGGCACATGGTGCGTTCCGTCGTCCTCCCTTTCTGCCCCGTCTTTTACCCCGTCTCTTTCCCCCTCGTCTCGCATCGCCTCGCATTTCTGCGTTTCCTCTCTATCAAAGTACGCGCTCGAGCTGACATAAAGGTCGACCTCGTCATACAGGAAACACGCACGCCGGGCTCAGACGACCCAGAGTGGTCCTCCGAGGCGATCCAGATCGGCGGTCCCGGCGCCGCGTCCGGGTGGCTCGGGTGCTGGACGGGCGCGCAGCACGAGAGGCCGGACCCGTTAGGTTCGTACATTGACTCGTTCGTTTGTGAAAATCTCGGTGTCGCTCACTGAAGCCCTGTTTCCAGGTCCGTTCTGGGCATGGAAGGTTGGTTAAATTCTGAACGTTTCTCGACTATGCTGCACAATTGGGAGGCGCAACTATTGGATGAAGTGCAACATTGCATGCTTGGAAGGACTGCCGTAGATCATTAGTGTATGTTGCGGACTTTGAAGATAGGCATTACTGTGGAACAAATGTATTCGCTGCTCATGTCACGGTCATCCACGCTTGAGGTTTTTTGAGATGGCTTCTCAGACCAAACCGCGAACAGCCCAAACTTGGAGGGCGCTCGACATTCGCTCATGGAGAAAACAGTATCGATGGTTCACGTCCAGGGGTACATCACCTCGGGACCGACTGATAACGGTTCACGCGGGGCACATGTGGTGGGTTTCAATTTTTACTCGATGCGATGCGAGGTGCAGTGTGATAGATACAACGCGGATGGAGGTAAACCCATGATGTGTATAGTGCGGAGCAAAGATGCGAGAAAGCAAAGAATAGAGAGAGAAATTTAGTCGAACAGACCGAAGCCCTACGCACAACCCACGCATCAGCCAGCCGTCATTGCGTACGATGACAAAGAGAAAGGGGGACATACCATGTCGTCGTCCGACTCCTCCTTCTCCTCCTCCTTCTTGGCCTCTTCTTTTGGTTCGTCAGCGGCAGCAGCACCGCCAGCAGCAGCACCACCGGCAGCGACGGCAACAGCGGGTGCTCCGCCACCAGCGCCGACGTTCGAGAGGAGGTCCTTGACGTCCTTGCCCTCGAGAGCCTTGGCGAGGAGGGATGCCCAGATGGGCTCGAGCTCAACGTTGGCGGCCGTCGTCAGGGCGAGGATTTTGTCCGACTATACGCAGAAGAGTTACGATGCATGATTAGGCTGGAGCTCTGAGGGTGGAATGGGGAACTTTGCGCGTACGGTGATTTCGACGCCCTCATCGGCGAGAATAAGAGCAGCGTAGGTAGCGGCGAGGTCTGCGGAGGCCTGGAGATGGACAAATTGATCAGTACACCGTGTCCATCCAACTGTAATCTCGAAGTCTCGAGAGGTGCATCCAGAGGCAATGTACAGCATCCACCCCAACCAAGCATACAGATCCAGCCAAACTCGTGTTCTACTGCGTTCCGATGCACCTCCGAGACCTATACGGGCGTAAACTCACCATTGGGAACGCGTAGTGAAGCTTGAGGACGTCGGGAGCGATGGGGACGATGTGGATGGAGGCTTGCGACCTTGCCGAATCATCTAAACTCCGACTTGTATGCACAGCCACCGTGGGCGTTAAGCCGCGGGCGTCAACTTTTGCGTCGTTTTCTTTGCAGTCCTTCCCAATCACGTCGCACGATGTGTTGGGCTATTGGCTCTTTGGCTGTCATTTCTTGAAACTTCAGTGTCAATTCTTGAATACAATTCAAGCAGCCCGCCTCTATCGCCCAAAACAGACTGGCAAGCCACCGCCCATGGCTTCAGTTGAAAACCTATATCTATGTAGTTCGCCGCGCGTCCGCCCACCAATGGTTCAACAGCGATGTATGCGGTTAAATAACTCTCGCGAAACCTGTCTCAAGTCTATCATCCAGAGACTGGATAGGTATGTATATAATACCTCTAGGTCTAAGTTAGCGCAGAAGTTTGCCCGCCCAGTGCTACGGGCAATACCCAATGCAGCGGGACCGACTCCAAGGATGTCCTGCGACCGTTCGATCGGGTCGGCTAGAAGGTTGCTAACCCTACCGCATGCGAATCAAAGCAAAAATAGGTATGTTTGAACCGCATACATGCCGCTCATAAGATATTTCGTACATCGATCTTGATCCACGACTCGACCCATACCTTCACCTCCAGGATATCGATGGAGTCGATGGAGTCACATGGCTGCGTACATCCATCATTGGGACCATTTCCACCAAATGGTGCCAAAGTATACACCGCATATCTGCGCTGGAAGATATTTTGCTTGCCGCCCTCGATCCTAAACAACGGGTCACATGCAACGGACTAGCAGCGACACCCAATATCGTTGAAAGCCATGATCATACGGGGTATATGCCGCCTAAAGGTACACATTCATCAATCTCGATCCTCGATCCCCTTCCTGAATCTGCCGGGACAGAAAGAAAGAACTGTGTGGACGCATTGGAAACCACCTTCGCAGTCCTCGCTTCGCAACGAAGAACGTTTGCGAGCCGATAACTACGATTCGCCAACTCGCGTCTAGCTCACTTGGAGTCGGCTCGGGATATGGTAAGTATAGTCCGCTGAGCGTACATCAGATCAGCTGAATATATGATGGTCGTCATACAGACGTGTTTGCAGCATGCAACTCTCGCTAGCGTAAGATCTATGTTCACCTGTATGTGTTCGTGCAGCGCCTGTACGTTGTGTGTATGCTGATAACATGCCCAAGTATTTGCCAAATAGTGCGGACATCCGTCACATTTTCGTCCACCGAAGGTGTGTACAGAGGTGCCGTAATATGCAGCCCGACAGTCATAGGTAGTGGGTACCTCCCTATAATACTACCCTTATCTCTAGCTGACGGTGCCGTTTACAATCTCCGCAGAAGAATTTCCGAAAAGTACGTCGGAGCTTCTTTAACCTGAGCACTTCAGCCCGCAAAGCAACCCAACAAGGTTGCTACCAATGAAACGAATAAGAGCTCTTCAGCGGGGCGTATATGTGGCGAGGAAATCACCACTTATATCGGCTGACTCGTAGTGGATGCCGTCGCCGAATTTCTAGGAATACGCTAAGCTGTGCGACGATCCATTCTCACAGGTTGACAGCCGTCATTGCTTGCTTGCGGAAACAAACGCCACAGAACGTATTGATCGCTCTCGCGGCGCGAAGAACGTTGATCGGGTTGGCTCGGCCTACCACTGGATAGGGCACTCGAGGCTCAAGTCAGGTCCAAGGTGCCATGGCCCTTACGTTTACTGACGGACGATCGTCGTATGGACTATTTAGGTATCGACTCAAGCCTGTATGTGCTCACCTCCGCCCATTTAACGATCCCGTAAGGAACGTCACATTCTATATCAGTAAGGATCTAGCTAGTAGCATGTCGTGGAGTCTCATCTGACCTTTCCTGTTGTTGTCTGTCAGGCCACCAGGACCTGCTCGCAAACTGAAGGAGTGCACCCCTGGAAAGACGCCTCAGAAATGAACCTTACCTTCCCATTTCCTGACATCCTACTTTCTCAAGCTCGCCCCTGTCTCCGACTTCGGTAACGTTCTTCTTCACCCACTCACGGTTTGTGATGGAAACTTCCGTGAGATAGCCTTCAGACGCACAGGACGATGATTCCAGTCTTATCAGCGCGAACGTCGAAGCGGGTGCTTTTCCTCGCGTATCGATCCTAAGTATGTGGGAGGCTCCGCCCGGTGCGTCCACCGCCAAGCAAGCAACGGGCGGCATGCTACCCCAGCCTTACGTAGGGCGGCAATAGTACATGTCTGCTCTTCGGACCGAACAAACTCTCTATTGACAGCACTAACAGCAACTTTGCACCTTCGCAGAGCTCTGCAGATCCTTTCCAGACTCTACTCCCTCACACTCAATGTCCCGTTACTCGGGGCCTCAAGCGAGGCACTCGCACAGTAGGTCCAGCCTGCGGCATACGTAATACATTCAATAACGCCAGTATAGGCTTCCCGCTACGGGCCGCACAATGATGGTGAGAGAGTTTATTGCGTTTCGTGATGACGGCAGCCCAACCCCACGCCAGCGTCGCCAACCATTTCAGGTGATATGAGACTGGTCGGCGTCCTTCCTTTTCTGCCCGGCGAAGCTATGACGGCAAGCGCCAGAAGCCCACCATTGGCTCGGAATGCGTCACGGGACCGCAATGTTGACGGACGCGTGCGCACAGCGCGCCTATCCGTTTCCCAAGATGTGTATTTATACCCCCAACCCTTTACGTACCCGCCCTTTTCGCCCCGCGGTGTTCACTGGTCGACTTACGCACTTACCACCTCTCTCGAAGACACGTCGCAGCTGGTGTGCGGGGAGGCGCTGGGGCCAGCGGGGAACAGCATATGCCAGGTCTACCGGAATCAGTGTGAGTCTCTTACTGCGTCTGTCTGTAGCGCGTTGAGCTGCCAGCTGACGTCCTGCGCTTTCTCGACCAGCGTGGCGATTATCCACTTCAGTCGAGGTACGTGCGGTTTCTTCCGATGTGTCGATCTTGCGGAGTTGAGGAAGGCTTCCCTTGATAGTCGTCCCTGAACTTCTATGGGTACGTCTTTCTGTTCTGAGCCCGCGTGTTGTCTTAACCCGAGACCCACAATCAGGTTTATGATTACCTTTTGACTCTTCATAGCGAGGTACGCCATTCATTCATGCTCAACCCCAGATTCGGAGCGCCCAAAGGCCGACGCCGGACATCTTCGATAGGTGGATTACTGCCGCAAGCACCGGCGCTGGAGCGTTGCGTTTCTGCTGTTCCTCGTCGCGCGGTACTTCCCTCTCGGGTTGATCGGCATTGACTTCGCCCGTACGTATTGTATTCTGATATTCAGCTCGTGGTGACCTTATGGCTTGCATATTAGTGCTGGTGGCACCTCCCCAAGCTGAAATTGAGGTGAGTCAGTGCGTCATGACTCTTGTGGATCACGCTGATGTACCGTACATCAGTGTGCCGTTATGGTCCGGTTCTACATCCGTTTGTCGTATTCATATCTTCCCTTAACATTGTGATGTTGATCAAATGGAATGGCCTATAGTCCTCCTCCTCGTAGTGACGTTTGCGACTGAAGGTAAGCCTGGTTTGCTGGTTTGTTAGCATTCTTCATTGACATCCTCATAGCCCTCTTGCTTCTCCGGATGATGGCATTGTGGTCGTTGCAACGTAGACTGTCCAGATTGCTGGTCTCCCTGTTTACGGTAAGACATTCCACTTGGAACCAGAATTCGAAAATTGACCACTCTTAGAGCATTTGGATTGTCATAACAGTGGCGATAATTGTCAATCAAATCAATGTCTGTAAGTACCTCTGATGCTCGTAACTCACTAAACTTTCTGACCTAAACTATTTCTAGATATCAGCGTCTCGCATAGTCACCTTACTGGGTGCATAACCAGCGGAGGTGAGGTCCTGGCCTCGGTGAAGTTTGCTTTGGTAGCCTTGTTCGAAATCGGTACGTTTCACTTTCTGTATCCACCCGAACCGCCCCTTACCTAGCGTCTGTAGTTATCGTTGGGGCGACTGCGGGAGGAGCATTTCGACGCGCCGGGCGCGAGAAACGACGTCCGATATACACGGTCCTCAGACAAGGCAACCTTTTATACTCTGTGCCGCTGTGTCGTATGCTACTTTTAATTTATATGCCTCGCGAACTCGCTAACCTTTTCAATCCCAACTGCAGTCTTGTCTTTCGCCAACGCATTCATGTTCGCGTTCATGGTGAGCCCTGCCGAAGTGATCTCCCATAAGCCGGTGCTCACAATCGCTATAGAAACGTCATATTTTCGGAACGGAAACGCAGATGTAAGCACGCGCGTTCACTCAACGCTGTCCAGGCCTAAAATGAACTAATGTAGGTTCCCCCTCCCTCTGTTCAGCTTCCAGAGTGTGATGCATAGCATCGTCGCCTGTCGCGTCCTCTTCGAGGTCCAGCGTGCCGAAGTGACGAGTCACTTTCAGGGCCCTGTCTCTATGTCTGACATTGACCTCCCTCCGATACCGCTCGACAACACCAGCGGCCACCACGACCCTATCTCAGCACGTCCACATTCAAACTATCAGCCAGTGTGGTCCGACCTGGGGGATCAGCAGAGCTACAATCACGACGGCATATACAAGGAGAACAACCGTAGCGGCGATAACAATGACGGAAGCGATGACGACGACGAAAACGAGCTATCACCTCTAAGTCGACGTACCTCGTGGAGCTCGCCGGACGTTATCGAGCAGGTCCCGAGAGTGGTCGTGTCTATTCACGATCGCGGTGAGGGGTCATCTTCTTTAGCTTGAGCACACCATGTACACACGACTCAACGCACACGTTGATAATAATACACTTAGTACATACCTACCGGTGATTCTCCTTTTGTTCGCATTTCCGATCCTATGAAGAAGACGTACTAAGGGGGGCCCACTCTGAGCACGCCGAGAATAGTGCCTGACATCATCTTGTTATGGAGCCGCTGATCGTTGATCCGCGCTCCTGGGGAAACTTGCGTTAGACGAGATGTAGAGTGCAACTCGAGGTTGCCATTCTCGTTATGATAAACGCGCCACAGACTAAAGTTTCATGCATGCACAGTCTAGATTGCCCGCCGTTGGAGCGTCTCCAGCTGCGGAGCAGTTCATAAAGAGCTCGAATGGAAGACTCGACACGTCGACCGCCAGACAGTCGTCGGACGCCGTGCGCGGGGGAGATAATTTAGTGGGGTGGGAGTCCGTTGTGGCGGGCTTCGGGCCTTCGACCGAACCACTTCCGCCGCCGAGAGTCAGCACTAGATAAGTTAGTCCACAAGCGTCATTTCAAAAACGAAGTGTTCTTGAGCCTTGAGCCTGAGCCTCCGGTCGGCTGAAACCTGAGGCTCGCTGCGCGTCGAACACACATCCGACAGAGCGGTAACTTCTGTGGGGAAATTTTCGCTTGCAGTTGGCTACTGTATACGCTGAGTTCAACGAGTCGGGCCAACGAAACGTCGATAAATCGAAAGCAACTCTATAGTAACCCAGTCAATGGACGTCTGCTCCCTGTTATCGTACACGTACACGCCGTTATCTACCTATCGTCGCGCTGTTGTACAGGTATAAGTCTAATATGGGTCTAATCTTGACGTTCTAAATATGTCTATGTGTATGTGAGTCTGGTGTAGGAGCGTTCGTAATCTATAGCTCAAGAAGGGGACACGTATGTCAGTGGCGAAGCGAGGAGATGAAACTCGAAAAACAAAGGAGCAGAAAGGAAGGGAATGATAAGGATAAAAAGTAGTACAAGCATCTGTAATCGCAAAATTGAGGGACCTTGAATGAGTAAACCTATGTAACCAAACGATGAGGTGGGAGTCGTGAATGGATTCAAGCGTGGTCCTCTTCTTCATGGACGGACAGGTTAGTGTTTTCCCTGGACAAGGGGGGACGCGTCGCTCGCTTGGGGGAGAAGTATATTTGCTCCGGAGAGGAGCTCCTAGATATCGCAGAATTCTCCCTGGATAAAGCAGGACGAGAAATAGAAGGCGGTCGTGAGGTGAAGGCTGAATCTGGCATAATGAGAGGGTAGAGGGGCTGGGGAGCTGGGGCGAGGGTCCCAGCTGAGGTTTCTCTGGATGGAGCGATAGAAGGTGCAAACGATGATGGGTCAGAAAAGACGGTGGTGTACAGGGAGTGGGGAACGAGGGGACCAAGTGTTCCGGCGGAGTTGGCGCGCGAGAGGACAGGGGTGCTTGCGTCGGGAGTCATAGATGTAGTGTACAGAGGGTGGGCAATCAATGTGAGCCCGGATTCGCTTCGGAGTAGAAAAGGGCGAGAAGGCGAAGTGTTGTCATATGTATAAGGCGGGAATGCAAGATCGGGAACGGCTGCTACTGTTGTTAAATAAGTTTGCCGGTTCCTTTCAAAAAGGCGGCGATCACTTACCAGTTTCTTGGATGAGCGATGCTCTTGTTTGGGGTTGAGCTTCGGCAATGCTCAACTCGGAAGCGTTGTCGCCCAGCAAAACACGACGTCGACGCCGGCGGATGATTGTACCAATGGCGAAAGCGAAGGACACAGCGGCGATGCCCCCTATGATGAGGCCGCCGATGATGGATCCAGAGTGAGAGCCCCCGGACGAGCCGCCAGCGGAGGAGGCGGTGGATGAAGGTTGCTCTGAAGAACTAGACGTGGTTGAGGCGATGTCAACCACCTTTTGTGGGGTAACTAAAAATTGATCAGCATCAAGGCGGAACGTGCTCTCGGCGTGTGGACTCACGGACTGCCTCGAAGGCTTCGAGGTGTCCATCCCTCAGTGCATAATCATGACGGATTTCGTCTGCATGTACAACGTAGAGGATAAAAGCAAGGAAGAAGAAAGCAAGTGCAAAGGTTCGAGAGAACCAGTGCATCTCACTGGAGATGAGAGAGGACGCGGAAACGCTGAGGACGGGAGGGGGCTTAAGCGTCATCGCTTGCGCGACGCGCCTTTTGAAGGGCGGTTGAACATTCGACCGACTGGAGATCGTCATCGGATACATGTGGCCTATTCCGGCACTCAAGTCTCAGGGTCTTCGGTTCGTATTAAAAACATATACATCCGGACGCCGCGCGCTATCGATAGCACACGGATGTCGAACATCTCGGGCATATCAAATTTGGATCCGCGGGTAGGGTAACCTTCTTGCCTCCAGAACGACAGCGTGCGACAGGGATGTCAACGGTGGATAGACGTCGTGGCGCGAACTTCGACGACTGCACCAAAAATAATCTTGCGCAATTCGGGATGGAGAAGGTTGAAGAGAAGAATGGTGAAAATTGTTGAACGAGCTCACCTTGGCAGGGGTTTGCAAAAGCGGCGCAGTAGCCAAGCGGCAACTGAGGAATGGATCGTGGCCTAGTCGCACATGCCGACGAACGGCTTGCGATAAACGTTCGAGGCTTTCGGTCCGAGCAAGGTGGCAGTGACATTAGCGCTGGCAACAAACCACTGAGCGGAGGATGGAGACAAAGGCGACAATCATTTCAAACTCCGCCACCGAACATGGTGACAGTTGAACGGATCCATTCCCGACCTTTTACCAACCTTTTACCCTTGGATTGTGCAGGAAACGTCTCCTTGGTATCGTCACCCTCCCTGTTACCCTCTGAGGCGTCCACAATTCAGTTGTGGTGGAGCTCTGCGGCTCTTTTCGGCATGCTCGACATAGCAGCCAACCAGCAGGCAGGTTCGCGTTCCAAATAACACACAGCGTAGGAAAAAGTAGCTATTTCCGAGGGATAGTGGCTACTGTCTGCCGCCGGACCCGAACGAGATAAGGCTTCCGTCCTCTCCTTGCTCACTATCGCGCAGGGTCCTTGACGTCTTACATCATTCCCCTGCATCTTGACGCCAGCCGAGATGAATAGCACAAGGCCGCTTAAAGCGACCGTCAACTGCGATATGGGTGAGGTCAGTCTTCGTTATGGCGATGGAGCTCTTGTCGTATCACGCTGACAGCAACGACGGCGATAACGTCCAATGTTCTTCGCGTTTCAATGTAGGGCTTCTCACTCTATACGATGGTAGGGTGTGAATTTCGTATGATGTCAGGCTTCATCCCTGATCGCGAAATTTTCAAGGGCGACGACGAGAATCTCATGAAGACCATACACCTGGCAAACATAGCCTGCGGGTTTCATGCTTCGTTGCGTACTTCTACTTCCTCCCCCCGACCGGAGATGCTCATACCATTCTCGTCCTGATCTCGGACTCTTCTGTCTCACGTCGCGCCATCGACGTCCGCAGTGACTTCTCCGTTATGAATAAGACCGTCCTCCTTGCCAAACTGAATGGTGTTCTGGTGGGAGCGCACCCCTCGCTGCCAGATCTACAGGGCTTCGGCAGGCGTGAGATGGCCATCGAACCCGTGCGTTTCCTTCCATTGCTCGCATTCGGCGTGCGCGTCGCATGTTCAATGAACAAACGAGTGATAGGACGAGCTCGAGTCGTGCTTCACTTACCAGGTGGGAGCGCTTGATGGCTTCCTGAAGCGACACGACCTCTCCTTGAACCATGTGAGTGACACTCTTCGGGTTACATTTGCGACGATGCGGAGACTAAATGAATGGGCGCAGATCAAGCCGCACGGCTCTATCTACGGGCAGACGGCACGGTCGCTCGACCTTGCTAGGGCCGCTGTCAGGGTCTGTACGACATTCAAAGGCTCTGCTGCGCACGATTGCGGTGTCGCGTTTATGGGTCTTGCAGGAACAGCTCACCAACAAGCTGCGAATGAACTCGGCGTTCCTTTCATTGCGGGTAAGTGGACAGGTTGAATGAAGTTTTACGGAAGTTTCATGTTATTACCATCTCATCAGAGTGGTTTGCGGACCTTGATTACAATGACGAAGGGAAATTACTGATAACCAAGCGAGTATCAGCTCGGCGAGCGACGCCGATGACAATAGCTCATCTCGCTATTACCCAGGAAACACGATCCCGTCCCTGAGGAGGTTGTGCGAAAACGAGTAAGAACGATAAGGCGTGCTTTGCGTGATAATTGGAGGATTAACAAAAACGTGCTACCCTGTAGGTCCGCAATCTCCTCGATCTGCACAAGGTCACCACTGTAGGTGGAAACCTGCTGCCAATCGGCGAGGGTGTATCCGAGGTGTCCATTTGCTGCCACTCCGACACGCCTGTGAGCTTCTCCCTCTCGCCCTCGTGCCTCGAGTCTTAAACTCAACGATCTTGCGTCTTCCGCAGGGCGCCGTCGAGATCGCGCAAGCTGTGAAGGCCGAAGTTGACGCAAGCAACCGGCGGGGTGCGCAGTCGATGGGTTCTGAACCTTGATCGTAAAGCTTGATGAAAGAAGAGACGAAGACAAACAGCACGCCGACATAGGCACGCTCTGTCTAACAATAGGCTCTCTTTGAAACGAAGGACTGCTTTTTGGTGAGGCATCGATGACTGGTCTACACAGATGCCAGAAATCGAATGGGTTTGAGAGGTCGAAGCAGCGACAAGGCTTCCCTTGAAACCCGGATTATTGGTACGGACACGTTGGATTCGCACCGCCGCAGGCCGGCAATGAGGTTAATGCGTGAGTTGGCCAGCACAGCCAGGTACCGTGAGTTAAACCTTGCGAATAAGGGGGATCGTCTGACAGTCAGGGTCGCCGTGATAACCTTTTTGTGGCAGTTTCGCGCTCTTTCAATTCGAGAAGACGAGCGGCGCAGAAGAGTGGGGTAAGCCCCATCTGACCATGTTAGGCGGACATGAGCCGCGCAAGTGTTTTTTGGGGAAGAAGTGCGCGACTGGCGTGGTAGCCGGTCGTGCGACGCTCGCTTGGAGGAGCATGCGGTGTACCAGAGTTCCATCAGAGTTTGAGCGCAAAAGCTGATTGACTTCGTGGTGCAACCCCAAACTGTGGCTTGTGTTCTCCTGAGCGTTGGGGTACTACCACGGACACGAGGAAGCACCTTCGTGGCGCTGTGGTACTTGTGCATATGAAGAGCGCGTGGCCGAGGAGCCAATGGCGTGAATCTTAAAGATTAAACTCTGGTGATTACTTACGGCGTACAGGGATAGCACAACGCCGCTGGAACTTTCATTCATCTCACTGTTGTTGCTTTGCTGCTTACTAATGTTCAAATCTCCGGTTCATGGGTACCAAGGCGCTACAGAAGGCGTGAACCCATCATCGCTCCACATACCGCAGTTGCTGGAGGAGCCCCTGTTAGACATTTTGTGGACTTCTCAAAGTAGTAGAAGGTTGAGTTTTGTAACGTCTGTTTCCGCTCAAGAAGCTCTCAAGGACATGGTAACGCGTGTATTCTTGGCAGCCCTGCTCTGAAGCTCAGCTCGAGCTCAGTGGGGTGGCAATGATAATCAAGGTACCCACGCATTGTGTAGCTGGACAGGTACATGTTCTGACTTCTACCCCATTTCATTGGTTCCGCATCTGGAGTCGAAGGCGAATAATCCAGCTCACGCTGATCGGCCGACACGTTTGTCCCCTTCTCTTTGGCATCGTCCTCGAAATGTCGATAAGGCAGTTACTTATTCCTTTGTGAGGACAGACGACCGAGAAGTCTCAAGTCAGGCTGAGATTGATCATGAGAACATCTAGATGCACAACATGTGTATGTGCATGAGAGTATTGTGCGCCCCAAAGTTCCCTGAATCGAAGCAGTCAGCTCATGATACTGAGCCTTGGGAAGTGCTTCCTCCAAGCTTCCTCAGGCTAACACCCTCGGCCGTCTCGAGGATAGCTCCGATTGCTCCATGAGGTCTAAACAATTTCACTCGGACCCTCGCTATTGTTGAGTACTTGGTGCGCGCAGCACGCTATTTCGCCCGCATCTGCGAGCGCTGGCGCCTAGCTCAGATTCTCCACGGCCGTAGAGGCGCTCGATCGTTGGGTGGCTGGGACCTTACAAAGCGTTCCCACGGTGTCATCACGCGTTGACGCGTCCTGTGGTTACGAGACTCTCCGTAACGAGACGCGTTTCCTCAGCTGCAGGTTTCCTCACTATTTAGTTGCTCTCGTTTCTTGCTGACGCCACGATTGATTCTGGGAACGTGGCAACATGGAGTTCAGGTGGCATAGTGAGTAATTTCTTGTCTACACCTCATCTTTGCACTGGTCTGACCATTGCTGTCTCGGATCCTTGCCTGTGGGCCGTATCGCAGCCCCAATGCGACGTACCAACTCCGGACAGGCCTTGCCTATCATCCCCCACGATGTCTACATTGACATTCTCGAGAGATTCGTGCCTCCTTCCCGATTTCCCGACCTAGACGAACTCGATACTCTGCGAAACTTCGCCCTCGCGTGCCACTTCTTCTACCACATTGCTCTCCCGCGCGTCTTCGAGCGCGTCATATTCGACGGCTCCGGCAAGCCGTCCAGAATGGGCGGTCTCAACGCTAGCGCCTGGGTGCGCGCAGTCAATTCCGGAGAGAGCCATGCACTCAGGACAGCAGCCTTTGTCAAATGCGTTGCGTTCCAGGACTGGACGGACGAGGCCTCGGGGACGTTCATTGAGACGGCTGGCTGGCTGACGTCTGATGCTGTGAGGATGCATTGCAGGGCTCTCGACAACATGCCGAACGTCGAGACTGTCGTCTTCTCTTACACGGATATCACTGTGGACCACGTCAGGGCGCTCAGGAAGCTGCCGCAGCTGCGCGTGCTGGAGTTTGAAGGCGACAACACGTGGGACACAATCAGGCTCGAAGGCTTGAATCTTGACCTTGAAGATGAACTGGAACTTGATGATGAATATGGTGAGGGTTACGAGGATATGCTCAGAGGCCTTGGCGATCCGCGCGCCGAGGGAGGTTTCGGGAGGAACGTTGAGAAGGTCGTCATCACCCGCAGTGCTGTAGTGCTCGAGGACGGCCTTGAGGTCTACATTGAAGAAGGTCTCCCGCCGGACTGGGCCTTCCAAGCCCTTGCCGCATGTCCGAAGCTTCGTAGCATCGCTGTGGATAGCATGGACATGCTCATGAAGATCAGTCGCTTTCTGAAAGCCGAGGCAAGAGTCCAGAGCCGGATACTGCCATTCAGCATTAACAGGGACCCACCACTGGCGATATACAAAGTCAAGGAGATACAACTAGGCTCTCGCGTTGGCTACGGTGGAGAGGGAGAACGTTACATTCAAGACGTATTTTATGATTTGAAAGATTTGGTTCCCTGTTTCGTATATCTGGAGAGACTTAGGATCATTGTGCCTTTGACATATGCAAAACAGGTGTTCAACAAATATGGAGCGCAGAAGGTGAGTCCTATGAAACTTGAGCTCTGTCTGTTTTCATCCATTGACAAAGCACCCGACTGTCCTTCGGATAGACTGCCGAGATCATTCACAAACGAACATCGACGGTGCTTCCCATGCTCCTCCAGCTCGAGATCATTTGCCCCGAGCACGAGTATCCAGTAGACAACAAGCTTGATACCGAGGCACTCAGGTGTTTGGCACAGGAAGTCTGCCCGAGGTTAGAGAAATTCTCTTTTGGAGGTTACACATGGACAATCAACAGGGCTGTATGACGAGAAGAGTTATCATATTGTCTCGCTTATATTGTATGTTCTCGAGTGACGTCATAGTCAACCTTAAGCTTATTTCACTTGTTTGGATGCTGCAAGACTACGACACATGTGCTCTTACGAGTTCAAAGGGGATTAAAGGTCCCGGTCAACCACCAAAGTGGGAGAATCAAGTGCCTATCGACTGCTAGGGAATATCTACGAGAATGCAAGTATTTAAGTCTTCAAAAGCGTAACCTTGAGGTAAACGTGCGATGACATGCAGCGGTCTAGGCACAGCCACGATACAGTCCTTACAGGTCATCCGAAACCTTCGTGTCGGGTTCAGCCGTGAGCACCACCATCGTTCTTTGTCCCTACTCTCTGCCTGCGTGTACGTACTCTACCACATGGCGCTCCCATGGTCTAGTAAGTAACTCATAACGTTTCTACCGACCCCTATCTGCGCTTTTACTGACGGCAGTCGCCTTTGCAGCTCCTACCCGTCAAACCGACACTGGCGCCGTACTACCCTTTATCCCGAATGAGATATACATCGAGATCTTCGACTCGGTCCTCCCGCTAGGCAGATTCGGAGAGCAAGATGCGGAGGCGATTGACACCCTCATGCGTGCCACGCTTGTGTGCCGGTTCTTCTACCATCTTGCATCGTCCCGCATCTTTGAATCGCTCGTGGTGAGGCTCGACGACCAGAGCAACGCGACCGGCGCCAATCACGTCGCGTTGGATTCATGGGCGCATGCAATCGTCGCTGGGGACCCCGCGGCGGTGAACGCGGCAGCGCACGTCAAGCGCGGGGTGCTCATCGGCGACCGTCACAGGGACCGCAAACCCGATGACATCATCGCACGCCGCACCCGACTTCTCACCCAGCTGCCCAACATCGAGCGCGTCGAATTCGTGAACTGCGCCATCGCTCCGGCTCACATCGCGGTATTGCTGGAGCTCCGTGGGCTGCGGCGCATCGCGGCCAGGGATTGCTCATGGGTACAGCCTGACATCGATATGGCCAATTGGACCGGAGACAATGGTGGCACTGTAAACCCGTCCGCTGTTGCCCTCGGAGAAGGGTTTTCTACACAAGGGATAGAAGATCTGGAGATTGCAGATCATCATTACGTCCTCGACTCCCCAACCGAATGGGCGTGCCAGGTACTCGCGACTGCTTCACAAACACTGCGCCGCGTGGCGCTCACGGACGCAAAGTCGCTCACCTTGCTCATCCACGCGTATAACACCAGGTGGGACGCGCAGCCGACGTGTCATTTCCCGGCCGTACGCGAGGTGCACCTGCAGCTTCCCTCCCAGTATGATGATGAGCTACGCATGTTCTCCGAGGCGAGGACGTGCGCAGAGTCATTCCCGGCACTCGAGAGGCTGGTGATATTTGTGGAATGGCCCCGGGACATGTACAGGCGTAACCTTTGTGGAAATTCGCGTGGAATAAGACCACTGGATAGCCCACGAAAGGTAAGAGAGTTTGTTTGATTTGGTTTTGGCGTCCAAGGACTTTCTAAGTAACTGGTTTATGTAGTTTGCCCATAGTTTCATCAAGGCAGCGGGTGTGAGGATGCAAAACTTGCATCGCTTTGAAATCTTGGACTCCAGATACGACAGCACGTACATGTTCTTCAAGCGACATATAACCGACGACCTTCTCCACGAGATGGTTGATAAGGTGTGCCCAAACCTAGAGTATTTCCGCTTCGGGCCGCTGGAGTGGACGCCCCATTTAGGGAGCTGGAAGCGGACGATGAAGTCGAGTATTGACAGGCGCGATATATTTGAGTGATTTCTGCTGATATACGTCTCCTTCAGTAGCTGAAGCGTACTGTGGGCACATACTGTCTGGTATCTTGGATACGGATCAAACATCAACTGGTTATCAACTCACGCTTCCTCCGTACCTCACAAAAACACCTCCAGATTTACCCTACCTGAGTTTATGCAAGATAGTAGGGGCGTTCTGTGCTGGCCGGGCTTTAACGAAACTTTCTAGTCGCTAATCTAGTAATCACGTTAGGAGCACTTGCATCTGTGAGTTTTTGTTTATCCCCTCGATTCCAGACCTCATCGATCTCGATCTTCAGAGCCCTGTGTGATCTCTGAACATTGCCCCTGAGATGCATGCCACGTCATGGCATAGCAAGACAGTGTCCATTGTAAAACCCTAACATGTGCTTTCTTGCAAGTCAGCTGCGATTTAGGCATGTTTGGCCTCAGATGGATATTTAATCTCGCCTCCTGTTGGAGTAAACTCATTTGTCCAACCACCATCATCCCATGGAACTTACATGGATCAGTGCGTTGCATCTCTGACCTTTTCGCCTCACTATCAAACTGATTTCACTTATTCTTCCGTACAGCCCCCCTCCGCTGTGACGAGAACGGCAAAACCCTATCCCTCATCCCCAACGAGATATACCTCGAAATCTTTGAGCATATCCTCCCACCCAGCCATCTCGCCGACTCAGATACGCTTGAGACGCTCCGCTGTCTCGCGCCCGTGTGCAAATTCTTCAGACATATAGCCTTCCCGCGCCTATTCGAGCGCATTATCCTCGACGGCGACCGCTTCCGTTACGAGCTAGACGCCGGCAAGCGTTCATGGGCACGTGCCGTCTCCGCTGGTGAGCTCCCAGCGATGAACGCTGCGCTCTATGTCAAGCAAGTTGTGTTCCGCAATCGCATCAATGCATATGCGACGGTCGAAGCCATGAATTCGTGGGCGCTACCGGTCGCGGAAATATTCGCGAGAAATGTTCTCGCTCATATGTTGCACTTGGGGCGTGTGGAGTTTAATAGCTGTGCGGTGACGGCGCACCATGTTGCTGCGCTCCGGAAACTTCCACAACTGCGGAGGATTGCGTTCTGGAAGTGTTGGTGGGACACTAATGACAACGGGCTCGCGACTCTCGATCCACAGGCAGACGGTGGTTTTGGGAACTCTGTAAAAGACGTGGAGCTAGAGTTCACGTTCGCTGGTAACGTGCCAAAGTGGGCATATGAGGCCCTCGCTGCGACGTCGTCACTATGCTGTATAGCTGTAGGTGAACTAAATATTCTCCAGCAGATAGGAGCCGAGGGGAACTTGCAAGAGGATGTCCCCGAAGTGCTTGGCAGCGTACGCGAAATCTACATCAGATTTCCTGCGCATTATAGCGTTGATACTGATCAATGGAGGAAAAATATGGAAATTTTCAGCAATGCCCATCTCTGGCTGGTTTTTTATCCAAAAGTGGAGAAACTTGTTCTCTTCTCTCAATGGGTACATCGTCAAGGGAGTCATAGGCCATTAGACAGACCCAGAAAGGTGTGCTCTTGTGCATTTCTCATCATGATAGTCAAGTCAATAGAATTATTACACACCCAGATCGTCCAGGACATCACGAATCTAGCGACAGCAAAGTTTCGCTATCTACGCCGTCTCGAAATTCTGGACCCAGGCTGCGACAGCACGCACCTCTTCTTCAAACGAATCCTTCCCGATGACGTGCTTCGAAAGATGGTACGCAAGGTCTGCCCAAACCTAGAGTATTTCCGCTTCGGACCTCTCGAGTGGAAACTCAAGTTAGGGACATGGATTCAAGGTACAAGGTCGGGCAGTTAGAAGATGACGTCTTTAGAAAATACTTGACAGATGCATAGTTTAGATGGGGATGAGCGGCGTGGTTATTAGTAGAAATGGGAGGCAGGAACCTCGGAAGTATGCAAGGAAAACAGACAAACTGCTTGAGTATCGAATAGAACGATAATGTAGTACATCATGAACAATCAAAATTAACGAGACCCAGCACGGCAAAGGAGGACAACATCTATCAAACTCTCTAGAGAACCGGTGAATGCGTGGCAAATAAATTTGTCACAGCCTAAGTGGACGCTTGTTTGTTTTCCCACCGTTTTGTTTGCGCGCTGCGCATCTCGGACCTACCTTGCGTTGTTTGCGTTACACCATCAATCAGCCACCAGCGTTTTCCAACATCAATCTATGGAACACATGAACTTCACATGGGCTAGTAAGTTTCACCTCCTCTGTCGAATGTTGCCTAGGTTTTTGCTGATGCTTAATCAACAGCCCCACTGCGCCGCACTGGGAGCAGGCTCCTGCCTGTCATCCCAAACGAAATCTATATAGTCATCTTAGACTCTTTCATCCCATCCAGTCGCTTCGCAAACGCAGACGAGCTCAAGTCACTCCGTAGCTTTGCTGCCGTCTGCCGCTTCTTCTGCCACCTTGCCCTACCTAAACTTTTCGCACGTGTCGTTTTCGATGGCTCTGACCCGGAAAACAACGCCACTAGCTCTGGACATCGCATGACAACGTGGGCGCGTGCTATTTTAGCCGGTGAGCGCCCTGCGCTGACGACGGCGAGCTTCGTCAAAGAGGTCGTCTTCCGCGACTGGGCATGGGAATCTCAACCGCAGTCTCAGTCCGACCCCACGACGTTCAGCATGCGCAGCTGGCTGATTCCGTTTGCGGTGCTGCACTGCAAGGCGATCGCGCATGGGATGGCCAACGTCGAGGGTGTCGTCTTCATGGGTACAACGATTACTCCGCACCACGTCCGCGCACTTCGGGCATTACCCAATCTTCGTAATCTGGCCTTCAGAGGCCGTACCAGGTGGTCCAACGCTGGATCCACCACTATATATGGGCTTGCGGAGGGTTTAGAGTATGTCATGATTGAAGGTCAGGCCTGGGCTTTGCCGGATTGGGCGTGGAAATCTCTTGCAGCATGCCCGTCGCTTCGCAGCGTGGCGGTAGAAGGCATCAGGATGATATCTCGGCTTGGTTCATGTCTTCAAGCCGAAGCAGACCCAGGGGCGAGAAACATCAGTCCAAACGAGCGGCCAGCCCATGGCGTGAACGAGCTGCATGTGCGAATGCCGCCTTTGTATTCCAGTCTCTCGTTTCTTCCAGATGTCTTTCGCTGCGCGGATGAGTGGGCGCGGTTTTTCCCTGGGCTGGAGAGGCTGAGAATATCTGTCAAGCCAGAGCTCACAGAAGACGCGTTCATGGAAAGGGCACAATTGGGAAGTACATCATCACTCTCAAAAGCTTTGTCAATGTTACTAACTTCAAAACAGGCCATCGAAGATTTCGCACGCGGTGTCACCGACAAGCTTCCTAGTCTTCGAGTTCTGGAAGTCGACGCGGAGGATGCGGAAAAACTCGCAAAGTTTGAACCCGTCCAGCCAGAACTAGACGATCGGATGGATCACAGCCTTCAAAGACTATCGAATGCTGTCGGAGCGGAGCTGCACTATGTTGCCCATGGGTCGTTGGAGTGGCGGCTGGAATCAGGGCGCTGGAGGCAGGGAAGGCGAAGCACAACGAGCACCCATATACACCCTTACGCACGATTCTGCCCTAGAGACTGAAGTTGCATTAGGCAAAGAACATAATAGTGTATTTTTTTTGCGTTTGCTGGAAGTACGCGATGCATTTAAACGCATGTTAGGAATGTTCATGTTCGCAACGGGGATTCTGACTAGGAACTCAGGCCACTTGAATGGAGTTATGAACGGGGCTCATCGTTGATGCAGCTACTAGTCGATCTTGTATGTCGTATTGGGAAAACGAGCAGATTATCTTTTTTCTGTCGAATCCAACCGCTTGGAAAGCGTCGATCTCCGTATAACACTACTCATATGGACATCTATAGGTACTGTACAAACTCCGATGTTTTCTTCTATATAATAGCGTTCTTCAATTTCCTAGTACTTAATCAAGGCTCATGCACAGGGACCCAGCACACGGCGCCGGCATCGCCGATGTCAAGTGCGTCCAGCCTCGCCATCTCCTCCGCGGGGATCTCCCACCCGTACACCTCCATGTTCGCCTTGATGCGTTCTTCGTGCTCGGATTTGGGGAGCGGAACGAAGCTGGTACAAAGTTAGCGTGGAGTCGCCTAGAAAGGAGTGAAGAAAAGCCTCACTCGTGCTGGAGGGACCACCGGATCAAGACTTGAGGGACGGTTTTTTGGAGCTTTTGTAGAGCGCGGTGTCAGCATCAGATTCGCTTTCTGCTGGGACCTACAGTATTGCACGACGACGACGAACCTTGTCAGCGACGCTTTGGATCACGCCGTTCTTGTCCTGGGAGAAGTTGAACCGGATCAGGGGGGAGTATGCCTGCAGGACGATGTTGTTCTTCTTGCAGTACTCCACGATCTCTCTCTGCTGGTCGAGAGGGTGCAGCTGCGTATCGCATTGCTCAGCTGACCACGGACAGCGCTGAGTTGATCTCAATGCGTACCTCGAGCTGGTTCACGGCTGGCTGCTCCAGCCCTGCTTCGCGGAGCTCCTCGAGGTGTCGGACGCCGCTGGACAAGATCATCACTGTACTGATAACTCAGTCTGTCATGCTGCTCACAAGTTAGAGACACCGGCAGTCTTGATCAAGCCCTTCTTCTTCGCCTCCAACAAGCCTCTCCAGGCCCTCAGTCGCTTGGCCGGCCCGCCGTGCGGACTGTGGAGAAGGTAGAGGTCGTAGTAGTCTGACGAGCCAAGCGGCTCCCGCTTGCCCTCCAGACCGTACTTGAGTTTCTTGATAGAATCCACGACTGCGGACTCAGTGTCGTCGAAGTCGGTCATGTAGACCTTTGAAGCTGCGTGGTTCGAGAGTCAACATATATTGTCGGTTATGGGGAGCGAGTAGGCCATACTGATGAAGAGCGTGGAACGATCGACGCCGGCAGCCTTGATGCCCACGCCGACCTGCTGCTCGTTCCCATAAGCCCGAGCGGAGTCAACGTGGCTGGATAACGGAGTGAAAGGGCGAGTTCAGCTAAGTGGTTTAGTAGTAAACGACTTGGACAGGACGCACGTATACCCATGCTTGAGCGCAGCTGTAACGGCCTGGGCGCACCGGGCGTTCTGGTACACTCCAAGCCCGATAGTGGGAATCTTGTAGCCTACGGGTTGGCCATACGTGAGTCTTCCCATGGAATCTGCAGAATTTGACTAATGGCTTACCAGAAGGCAGAGTAATTTCCTTCGGTACGGAGTCAGTCATAGTAGCGAGGTGCCTTGACAGAAGCGCCAGACGATGGGCAGGATGGAAGGGTGAGGTCCGGCGAAAGGCAGCGAAGGCAAACATGGTTCATATACACACACTATGAGCTCGTGACTACAGCTTATCAATGCTCATCGATGTCATCGTGGTTGAAGGTTGAGCAGCCTGTCTGGAGCGGCCGTACATAGACGAGAGGAGGTATGCGGTCGTAGGAATTACTCTCATCCAAACGATGTGTTCGTGGAAGCAAGAATACGAGAATGTAATACTTCAATAACTTTTGGTTGGTGACGCCGTCGATGCACGAGTGGGTGGGAGATCGCTATTGTTGGAGGTTCAGATGGTTTAATGGACGTTTCAGTCGCAAAAGCGGTACACGAGTCCATATGATAACATACGAAATGGGTCTACAATTATGGACCGTGTGGGAGTCGGCTCTGTAAGAGCCCGCTTAGCTCAGTGGTAGAGCGCGTCACTTGTAACATTGAGATGATGAGGTCGGTTGTTCAATCCAGCCAGTGGGCATATCTTTTACCAGGAATCGCCATATTTTTGACTCAACCACATAGCTCTATACTAATTCTCCATAGGATTTAGTTACGATTTAGACGTACACACTGCAGACAAACGGCGATTTTATCCGGGGTGAAACCGAGAGAAAGAGGCAGCGAGATGAAAGCCTTTTCCTCCGAGTTTTGGAACCCCCTTTTACACAGGAAAAGGTTTTCTTTTAGCCGATATCTGCGTTAATTTTGCGCTGGTAAAATGGACGGCTTACCGAATTTGGACTCAACCTTCCCGATTTGGACGTGTTTCTATCTAATCTCCGCACAGAAATGCAAACTCCGAGGCAAAAGTTCACTTTTTCAGTAACTTTTTGTACAGCAAAAGATGGGTGAAAAAGGCTTTCATCTGTCCGCCTTCCTCAATCACTTTTTGTAACAGAGAAATCACAGTCTGTCTGTAGTGACAACTATCGCTATCTTCAAGTCTGATAGTATGAACATCATTTTCGCAAGTCATAATCGGCCATAGACTCCATTACAACATATCGGATATGGTGTAACGGCTAACATTGCCGCCTCTCACGCGGCAGCTCGGGGTTCGACTCCCCGTATCCGAATATATTTTGGTCAATAACTTGAAGCCCCCCGAGTTTTTCTTGATCACGTTTAAGCCTAAGCAATATGATTTTCCAGGCATAGTCTCCGTCAAGCTCAGACTTGCTGCTGTTTCCTGTACGACATCTTGTTTGATGCATGAATCCTTCTATCAAAGTGTACAAAGGTTCTCAAGATTCAAAGTCTGACCCAGGAAATTCTTCGGGGCTTTGGAGGATGGGATCCAACTGAAAGCGATCAGCCTACGTCGTCGACCTGTGATACGTTAAAAAGCTTGGCGTTGGTTTTTATTTCAAATGGATGCGCTCTACTATGTACACACGTCCACTTTCATGATTCATTCGTAGAGTTGTGTTGTGCGATGTCCAACACGGTGCCAGGAGGTGGAGGTGGTAGGGCCACTGTTCCTGACGTGGCTGTGCAGCCCCTGCACCACTCAAATCTCCACTCCCAACACACTCGTCTCTTTGTCGGATATTTATTTTGTGGACATTCGACTCAACGAGGATGTCAAGTCTGCATCCATATGTGTCGTCGCCGGAGCCTAAGGATTGGACAGACTACACCAAAAGCCTCGAGATTGAACTCTCTTGGGAATTTGCAGTGCCGACGCCTTTTTGGCTTTTCAGCCGAGTTGCAAGGATGGCCTGGAAAGCCTTGAGCGTACGAGATGTTGTCTGCTGTTGTAAGTGGCTACGAGGATAAGGTACGTTGTGGTAGCCCTTCGTCTCGACTAAACATTTGAATGAGCGAGTGTGCTACGTGTCAGGTCCTGCCCGGTGCCGAATAGTGCGGGGAAGTGAATGGGCCCTTCTCATAAGCATGTCATCTCCTGTCGTCTCCTCTGGTCACACTCGCAACATGTGTGTGTTGCAAAATGTCTTATTGCTCATTCAACGACAGCTCTAGGCACAGCGGCTTCGTCACGATCACAGTCGACTGTAGCACAGTGTGATCACTCTCTCGTCGTCTTGTCAACTGACGTTCGAGCTGTGCCGGATTGTGTCGGGCAACGTCAACGGGGCGCGGGGAAACCTCGCTGCCAACCCCAGACCCCCCCAGCTGAGCTCAGTTCGACGCCCTCAAATCTCCTGTGACGTGCATTTTTCTCTCGGCGTGAGACCAGCTGATCTTTGCCGGGCTCAGCTACAGCTCACAGTTCGTCGGCACTTCGAGGTCCGTAGTCTCGTTGTACTGCTGCGATGGCCTCCTGCAAGGTGCTCGAAGGCGAAGAACGGAATGTTTTCGGTGAGCGCGGATCTGCTAAAATCGGACCTGTCAAGCATTTTGGCTCTTGATCCTCTTTTGGCAACTGGCCCGGGCATGTCCGCTTCTTCGTTTTTCACCTTCCACACCAGATCCTTAGAAAATCATGCTCATTTCGTGAATATGTCGACCGAGGGTGAATTTGAACGCCGCAGCAGCACTCGTGCCCCGTCATCTTCGTGGCACTTGCGAGCGCGGTTCCTTCCAGCTTGAAACAATCAGTGCCTCTTTGATCATGCGGAACCGGAGCATGGTGTGCCACGTCGAGTGCGCCACTTCGACGAATCCGGCGTCTCAATGTTCCAAATTGCCTCCTTCGTGCTTTTGAACGTCTGGCCTAAAGCTCCCGGTGACCATGGGGAAGCTGTCTGGAGCTGTCTCTTTCCATTTCTTCCCCTGGGGTCGTCATGATGGCAGCTTGTGTCTACTCCGCATGGTCGGGTAGATCTTGGGCGTCACTCATCTCTGCTTGCTTCGCTGGACGGAGGGGGACGCGTAACGCTTAAATACCACGTCGATTTTGCTCAGAGTTCTCCAAGTTCTGAACCCAGTTCTCCCCAGTCGTCGATCCACCGTACACTTCCACCCCCACCCCTCCATTTATCGTCATGAAGTTCGCTGTTGCCTCCGGTCTTGCCGCTGCCTCGATGGCCGGCTCCGCTCTCGCCAACACCTACACCCGCTCTGACAACGTCGTCGGTGACGGCTTCTTCGACTTCTTCTCCTGGGAGAACATCGCCGACCCCACCACCGGCCGTGTCGTCTACCTCGACCAGGCCACTGCCAAGACCGACAACCTGTCGTACACCAAGGGCAACTCGTTCGTCATTGCCGCTGACTCGACCACCACCCTCTCTGCCTCCGGCCCTGGACGTAACTCTATTCGCATCAAGTCGAACAAGACTTACAAGACCCACGTCGTCATGTGAGTACTCTGGTGTTTCATCTTCAGTCAAGAACCATTATCTGACCTCGTTTTCGCTTTCAAGCTTCGACGTTGCGCACATGCCCGAGGGCTGCGGTACCTGGCCCGCTCTCTGGGAGACCAACGAGTCCACCTGGCCCAACGGCGGCGAGATCGACATCGTCGAGGGCGTGAACAACAAGGGCCCTAACCAGTCGACGATCCACGCCGGCCCCAACTGCGCTATCCCCGCCTCGGGCGGCCCGCAGATCCTCGGCACGATTGCGACCACGGACTGCAACTCGAACGACAACGGCAACGCCGGCTGTGGCATCACGTACAACTACGACCCGAACTCGATCTTCTCCGGGTTCAACAGCGTCGGTGGCGGCTTCTACGCCATGGAGCGCACCGACACCCAGATCAACGTCTGGTTCTGGGAGCGCAGCGCCTCGGGCATCCCCGCAGGCGTCTCCTCGCCCGGCGACAGCATCGACACCTCCAACTGGGGTACCCCCGCTGCCGCGTTCCCCAGCACGTCGTGCGACTTCTCGTCGTTCACGGACCACAACATCATCGCGAACATCGACTTCTGCGGTGCCTGGGCCGGCTCGGCCGACGTGTACTCGGCGTCGGGCTGCCCGTCTACCTGCGTTGGTGAGTTTGATCTCGCTCACGCGTTCTTGTCTCGTGTTCTCGATGCTCATCTCTGCGTTTCTTCCCTCCAGACTACGTCAACAACAACCCGTCCGCGTTCACGAACGCGTTCTTCGAGTTCAACGCGATCAACGTCTACCAGTAAACGCCCAGCGCTTCCCTCCCTCTCGCATACCCCCTGCTGCGCTATAGACGTACGCGACCACACACGGAAAAGGGCGCACTTGCTGCTGCTGCTACTTATCATTATTATTGATTCAACGTCACTTATTGTTGTTGTACCTCACGGCATATCAGGTATCTATTTACGATGTATTTACGGGATGGACGACAATGTCACGCATCCTCTGTTGTGGATCTTTCGCATTCTCTCGTATTGATTGCACTTCGCCTCGCTGCAAGGTAAGTACCGTATCGAGGTGGCCAACTCAGTTTCTCCGAGCTGCGCGTGTTTTGTTTCTTACTCGGCTTCCGGTCATCCGATTGTACCGACTGCGCTTTTCATGTACATATCCGCCTCGTTCGTTGGGTTCTTCGGTGCTCTGACATATGCCAGCGGGGCAGCCAGTGCAGTTCATCACTGGCGACGCGCTGGCGACGAGGGGACCATCGCCACATGCGCGTGCTTGCGCGTGGTTCTTGGCGACAGTGTCGGAACTCGCGGAACTCGGAAGCAGTTGCCATACACGGGCGTGTATGGTCAATGCGATAGCGTCAGGGGCTTTTGTTTTCAAACTTCGTGCACTTGCCAAGGAGAGTTCATTGTGGGCGGCGAGCTTATCAGGCTTTTTGTGTTGGTATGGGGAATAAGGTGAGAGCGGCAAGTGTTGCTTTACCGCTGGTGCTGGACGTACTGCTGGCGGTATTGTTCAACGCCAGCCTTGTGCTGAGCCTTCGTGCCTGCTACGTAGGATGCACTTACTGAACTTCTTTGCATACACAGGAATTTAGGGGACTTGACGGCATGAAATAATGAACGTGAACCATTTTGCGATTTTGTATCGCGCCTGCGGCGCACAAGCATCTTCTTCGGATCCCCGAGCCACGAATGTGTACGCTGGGCTTTATTGTGACTAGCCATTTTCAATGTCGCGAATCGTGGGATACGTTCAACGAGTGCAGTTTCATGGGCAAGCTTGGTTCTTCTCCGCATCCGGATCCGTTTCCCATGGGTCCTCGTTGATCGCGTTAATGGTACGCTGCGTCCGTTGCATTCAGTTGTTTGTGCTTCCATTGGCTGGGGTGATAGACGCGACGTTTCAGGGTGCCGTCATTGTTGCCTGCTACATCATGCGTTGCAACTTGTTCGAAGATGCATCTCGCAGTAGCTCTAGTCACCGGTCGATTGATGATCACGGAGGACAAGGTGAGCAGTGAGTCGACATCGTGACGCTCGTGTTTGGGAGTGATGACTATCGTGAATGGCGAGCGCTAGTTTCGAGCCAACCGCTCCCATCTCGCGTCTACACCAACCAAACGCTATCGATATTGCACTACCACAGCTAACCTACGTTTGAATATAGATCTCCTTCTCCATACTTCCTCAAACACGCTATCTGGATGAGTAATGCCTGTGACACGACGCATCCTCACGTCTACGGCCGCAACACCCACCAGGCAGATTGCTCACCCATCCCACCAACGACCCTCACTGAATCGTGGTCACGGCCGCAACGATCGCCAGACAAGCTATTCAAGCAATCCCATCGATGGACTTCGATAGGTTCGATTGCGTATGGGGCGTATATGAACCATGCTTGCCTTCACCGCCTTTCGCCGTCCCTCTCCTCTTCGTCCTGCCCATCGACTAGCGACACTGTCAAGACACTTCGTCACCATGACTGACACAGTACCGAAAGAGATCACCCTCACTTCCGGTAAGCACAACGGTGCTTCTGCTGTGGTGTGCTTGGGGGGACTGACCGCCACGTGCAGGGTACAAAATGGCCACTGTCGGGCTTGGGGTGTACGAGAGCTACCAGTGTGCGAAGGCTGTCCGGCTTGCGCTGAAGAACGGATACACGTGTGTACTTTACATGCATTCTGCTACCAGAACGCTCAGCTGAGCTTTGTTGTTTTAGCCATGTCGACTCCGCTCGGCTGTACGGGAACGAGACGCAGGTGGGCGAAGGCATCAAGGCTTCCGGCGTCGAACGCTCCAAGCTCTTCATCAGTATGTCCAAATCGCTCCCACATGTCTGATACTGCGGGCTGACCTGCGCTCCACGCAGCATCAAAGGTCTACGCGACAGATTTCAACGACACCGAGTCCGCCGTCGTGGACTCTGTCAATAACCTCAAGTACGGCATGGAGGGCAAGCGGGGCCCGCTCGGACCGTCGGACTACTACGATCTCTACCTTCTGCACAGTCCGCACGGCGGGAAGCAGAAGCGGCTCAAGGCCTATAGAGGGCTGTTGGAAGCGAGAAAGAAGGGATTGGTTAAGAGTGTGGGCGTCTCGAACTAGTGAGTGGCACGGTCAGTGCGAGTTCTTGGTGTACTGATGATCGATTGTCCAGTGGTCCACATCATATCGAGGAGATTCGCCAAGCAGGCCTGGAGATGCCAGTCGTGAACCAGCTTGAGGTACGCTTTCAGATTGATTCAGCCATGTCCGAAGTCCGCTGTCGCTGAGCAAGATATTACGCAGCTGCATCCGCTCGACCAGCAGAGACCGATCGTGGAGTACTGCAAGAAGAATAACATCGTGCTGCAGGCGTATACACCCCTCATCCGATTTGACTTCTCCGGCGACAGGAACGGCGTAATTCAGAGTGTCGCTGACAAGGTTCGTCGTCATCCTGTATCACTGTGTGACCCAGCGCGCTGCGAATCCAACGCTGACTCTGCGCTCCCGGACAGCTCCAAAAAAGCGCCGCTCAAGTCCTCGTGCGGTGGTCCCTGCAGCACGGGTAAGTCTTCTCTTCCCGACTCCTCAGCTGACTTATAGAGCTGATCCTGCGCTAGCTTCGTCCCGCTCCCCAAATCCGAGCACGAAGAACGCATCAAGACGAACGCGGATGTGTACGGATGGGAGATACCCGCAGAGGAGATGGCGAGGCTGGACGCGCTCGACCTGGGTGATGATGGTGCCCTCAATTGGGTCCCTGTGCACGAGCCTTGATTCAGTCCGAGTACGGGAGGGGAACGCAGTCCTACAAAATACAGATATCGGAAATTTGGACTTATAGATGTCAGCATAGAGAGCTTGTATACTTACTGATACTGTTATTGGCTCGAGTGAAGGGTTGAAATGAGGATGATCGAAGACCGGTGGTAGACTCCGGAGATAGCGATACGAAAGCCAGATTTCGCGAAGATATGATGGACGACTGCAAACTGCAGCAAAGGTCGATGTGCGGAGTTCGGCCCGCGAGAGTGCAATGCTTGCTGTCGACGCGGACGCGGCTCGTCCTTACTGACCTTTTATCAACTGTTGTGCTCGCTTTGAATCACAAATCACATCAAACGAGCTATGAAAGCAGAATGGCGTCAATTAACAGACTCGGCGAGCTCAGCCCAGGCAGCGAACACCTCAAATGGAACCAAACCTTGCCCAGTTACACCTGGTGCCCAAGGTTCACGAGCGTCTCCTAGGTCATCTGAGCAGTATACAGGAGGGATGACATAAAAGTGAGACTTGGCGTGGAACACAAGACGCCGAGCCTGCGACAACAAGTAAAGCACCCGCTGGCTCCTGTATTCCAAACCTCTTCGAGACTCAAGAGGAATATGCTGGCTTTTGACTTCTCCCTCATACCTCCACATCACCCAGACCTCTGGATTGTAGAGCTGCGCGCCGTAAATCATGGAAACAGGTGAGTAACCATCTCTTGTGTCGACTTGACCCACTCTGAACGTACAACAACCCAGAGGCTTCAAATTCGACATCCTTCGGACGACGCTCCAACCGCGTAGTACCCTGTCGATTTCACAACCACAACGGGTGCTTCAAAGGCGTCAACTGCACCTTCTCGCATGAACCAGACTCTCGAAGCTACCCAGACCAGACGTACGTCGCACCTCATCGACATTCGCCATCGGCCTGAGCTAACTCGTCGCTGCCATCGCAGCGGGCGCAACGTCTGCCTCTTCTTCCTCCGCGACAAGTGCAAATACGACAACAAGTGCGTCTACTCGCACTCGAAGGAGCACCTCCCCGCCGGCGGCTGGTGGGAGACCGACGAGGGCAAGCAGCAGTTCGAGGCGTCGCTCGTCGCCGGAGGTTCAGGCGCCGCCGCCGCGGCGACGACGTCACGCCCGTGGACCGGGGCGGGGCGGCCGAAGAAGCCCATGAGGCGCTTTTCGAACGATTATATGTCCGACGACGAGGGCGTGCTTGGGTACAGCAGCAGGGACGTCAACGAGCTGTTGTCGCAGGGGGTGAAGCCGTGGGACGATGATGCCGACGTGCGTGTTCACTAGTCTGCACGCGTTCGTTGCTCTCGCTAAACTTGTTATGCGGACAGGATGTTATGGGCGCTATCTCTGGCTACTAGCTGAGAAATAGGCCTACTATATGCGCCAAAAATATTCAGCGAAAGGTGTCACGCATGCGTGGGTTACATGTATGAGTAACATCAGACTCTGCGTCCCAGTGTCCTCGACAGGAAACCATTCATGTCATTCTATACTTCTGTTCATCGGGTCATCGTTGGCCCTGTCACTACGAGTTGGGTAAGACCCAGAATAAACATACAGTTGCCGTATGAGCAGCGGGAGAGACAGAATCGGGCTATCATTTCAGATGGCGCCTACATGACTAGCATTACAAACTGTACACGAGAGGTCTAGAAGATTGGTGGAAAATGGGAAACGGTAGTTCTACAGAACGACGACACGAGTTCGGCTGCGGCAGGACAACAAACGAACAAGGGGGCTCAGAAATCAGAACACGAAGGTGCTCAAGCGCACTTTGATGTCGATGAGACGCTTCATTCTCGTTTCGAGGGCAAGCCTGCGGGCGGCGACAACCGGGTCCTCGCTGATAAGCTTCTCCGCCTGCTCCGTGAAGTCGGACGTGCTCATCACGCTCGTGAGCAAGCTCTTGGAGAGACGGGCGGACAACGAGCGGTGTAGAGTGTGCTCGATGGTGAGCGGCAGGTGGTCGATGATTCGCTTCAGGAGAGTAAGCGTCGTGGATCAAAATGAGTAAGAGATCAGAGCAGACTCACCTTGTATGCTACCTGGAAGTAAGCGCGGACGTCCGCCATGACCACGAACTCGTCCTCGAAGCTGCCCCCAGGGACGAGCTTCGCGACGTCCGCGGAAGTCAGCCCTTCGAAGCCGCTTTGAACGACCGCTCGAAGAGGGTCTGCTACGGCCTCAATCTGAGCGCCCCCCGGTACTCCCGTGTGATAACTCGTATGCGAGTTGTAATATGACCTGAAGTGACTCAACCAGGACCCCCGCAAGTTGTTGTATGTAAGCGTGTCCTGGGTGAAGCTCGGTGACAGCTCCTGCGTCAGCGTGTCCTTCACGGCTTGGCGGGCCTCCTCAACACAGGTCTTGAGCTCCTGAGCGATGCAATTGCTGAGGTGAGGTACAACATGAGTTAGAATTGTATGAGACGTGCGATAGGATGGTGCCTTACTTGACGTGGTTCTCGAGAGCCTTGAACCGGCCAAAGTGCTCCTTGACAAACTCTTCGACGACGCTGTTCAGGATCTCACAGATAGACGCGAAACACGCATTGGCGTGGGTCTCCCAAAGAGAGACAAAGCTCCGGATGAGGCTGGCTTTTGCCTCGAAGGGCACGTTTCCAGGAAGCTCCCACGTCGTGGATCTGACATGAAATTAGCAGGCGACCATGAACCGCAGCAGGCTGACTGGAGCTTACTCGTGGATGACCTTGCGGATATCAAACAGCGCCATCGGAGTGACACGCGGATCATTCGTCCATGTGACGTCGTCCCGAACCTCCTGAATGTCGCCCACTGAGCTGTACTCGAACGCCTGTCCCGGAAAGGGACGAAACTCTGGTGCAGTACTGCGGATGGCAGGCTTGAAGATGGCATACACCGCACGATTACGCTGAGCAAGCTTCTTGTAGTCGCTGGTGCCGAAGACGGCCTCCTTGAACCTCTCGCAGAAGTTGTTGATCCGCGTGAGAACCTCAATGCGTGCGTCCAGACTGGGGGGCTTGGGAAGTGCGTTCATGTCGGCGGTGGTCTCATCGAAGAGTTCGTCGACCTTCGCCTTGATGTTTGGGAGACTATGAGACAACGACGAACAACCGGATCAGCGCATGCCCGAAGAGTAGTAGAGATCGCGTACGAGTCCTCGATTAATCGGCACAGAAGTTTGCTAACGTCATTGACGAATCCCGGTACACCAAATCGGCCTCTGTCGGGGATATCACACCAGGGGCCCGTCCTATCAAAGAACTCTATCGCGCGTTTCTGCGCCTCGGCGCGACTGATCTTTTCGTCCCTCTCGGCATCGTCGGGGAAGCGCATGCAATAGTATCCGTGGCGTAGGCGATGAGCGCGTCCTTCTAGGACGTCTCGCCACTTGCGCCGCGCACCTATAGCCCCGTCTCCGAGCATATCCGGCTTCGTGAGGACACCTGCAACGGTGAAAGACGTTCAGTTTGCCGTTAGTGGTCTTAACAGGCAAAGCCAGACCTATTGTTCGTCGTCCTTCTCCGTCTGCGGCTCTGGCCAGTCTCACGGACTGCTGGTTCTCAATGTCGTCTGTGGTGGAAGAGTTGCGTAATGAACGAGGAATATACCACTAAGCGGTTTGCCCACCAGTCATCGGTATCGTAGTAAGGATGATCGTCCGGTCCTTCTGAATGTATGCTTCGACCAAGTTGCGAACAAGCTCAATGACATCGTCCTCTTCGTTTTGCACAAGACCTGCGGGGTGTGTCAGCGATGAAATGACACGGTTTGAATGCGACGAACCGGGGAGATCGATGAATGACAGGTCGGTAGCCTCCGGGTCAAGGATGGACACGCAGACAACATTGCGCGAGAACTTGAGCGTCCCCGAGCTGTTGAAATCCTTGAGCTCCTGGTAGTTCTTCTTGTAGAACCGATGCGGAGGGTCTGAGGGGTTCAGAACTGCAGCCTGGGCGCGGCGGAGCCATATGTCGACATCGTTCTTGTTGGTAAGCGGTCGGCCAAAGGGTATAATGCGGGACTGAGGAAGAGGTCGTCCATTCGAATCGTAGTCTGTGCGAATCGTAATGGTACAAGACCATTCCGAGGTCGCACTGGACATGGTACACTCCATTGGGCACCTGACGACAAACGTGCGTATCAGCCACGTCGCCATACTGAGAAAAAACTCTGGACAAACCGTGTGCACGTTCCGCTGTCCCTTGGGACGTTGATCTAGAAGAAAGACCGGTTATGAAGGAAGGAGTGTAAGAACATAGGCGACTTACTCCGCTCACGGCTTCGACTAGAGAACTCTTTCCAGCTATACGAAAACCATTTAGAGATGGACATAAGGTATTAAGCGCAGGAGATGCTCTCACCGGATTGGCCACCGATAACCGCCACAGAGGGTAACTCAATCAGGACCTCCGCTCTGCAAGGTTCAATCAGCAGTGAAATAGGGCTCTAGGTAGGTGAACATACCCCATCGCACGGAGGTCATTGATTAGGTCCATGAGCTCGCGCCGTCTGAATGCATATTCCGTCGTAAAGAGCTCGATGTCGTCAAGCAGCTCTGGATCGGTAGACGTTGTAGACGGTGGCGAGCTAAACGCACGCGCCGTAGGGGACGATGGTCGCGACGACATGAGTGGAAGGGTAGTTTCTCCCGTTCCGGATGTTCGGTTGAAAAACGACATGAGAGTCTAGAAAGTTCAGGTTTGAAGGGAGAATGGACTCACGGCTGCGCATATATACAACTCGGAGGTGAGCGCTTATCAGTCCAAGATAGGTCTTTGGGCAACGGGTAACTTGGCAAATTTAGATCCTATTAGACCTGTACTTTTGGGAAAGAAGACGCCACAACTTACGGCACCCCTATCCTCGAATCAAAAGGAAAGAAATGATGTCCTTCCCACGTCACCCACAACCAAGCACGCCTTCTGGGATGGAGGTGTATGTTTCTAGCGAATAAAGACGGGTCTTGTTCTCCCTTAAACTATTCAGTCTATTCAGTGCATCCTGAGAAGAACGTTATCAGGCACTTGTTTGTTGGAAACAGAACACCGATCTGATGTATTGGATACAACTCACGCACGCTCTGCAGTGCTGCTGTGGACTCCTATTCACAGCTTTTGCCGCTTCTTTTCGTCGTTAGACAACCAAGTTCTGCGTTCGTTCATGACGTTCAATGTTTGAGGTAAAGCGGGCTTTGAGCTCCCAGCAGTCTCCCAGCCCATGCAGGCTGGCTCATGAAGTAAGGACGAAGGACGTCAGCGGATGTCAGTTGACGAGATAGTTCGAGCGCAAGCTTGAATTTACCAACTTCGCGACGTGTTTGATCGGCAATGAAATTCCCACGTTATTTGCTTCTCACCTCCTCGAGTCACCCCATTCTTAGCGCCCTCTTCTTATCGTTGGCCCTGGCAATTGAACTGCTTGAATTGGCTCGCTTCAGTCCGTATGGTATGGCCCGTATGATCTACGCGTAGAAAACAACAACTTGACACAGAAGCTCACAGCACAGTGTCAGACCCGACACTCGCGACCCTCCCTGGTAGCGCATCTAGCTCCCCTAGCGCAGCTGCGACCTATGCACGAAGTGAGAACCACCTGCACAACGCCATCCGTCCGACTGAGGGATCCAATGATACCCCATAGGACAGGCGCCCATCCGCTGCAGCTTCTTATTAGCTTCCTCGATCTCCCGCCGCCTCTTCTGCTCCTCTTGCTGCTTCCTCCTGAGCTCGGCCACCGCCTTCTCTCGCGCCTCCTTGGCCGCCTTCGCCTTCTTTCGAGCCTCGTCGAGCTTGCGTAGAAAATCTTGCTGAGCTGCCTGATCCTTCGCTGCCTTCATCTTCGCTTCGAGCTGGGCAGCTTCCTTATCGCGCTGTTTCTGCTCCGTGATCGCGCGGCTCATCTCCTTGTGGTTGTTCTTGACTTCATTGGCGAGGCGATCCTGTTCTCGTTTGATGGCATCGCCGTCTGCCTGAAGCTGTTTCCATACTTCGTCGGAGACCCCTGCGTCGCGCCGAACGGCGCCGGGTCCAGGCGATGCGCGCGTAGGTGCGGTCGGAGTTGTCCTGCCTGACACGGTGTGCACAGAAGAGGTAGGCCGAGACTTTCCTGCGATACCAGGGGGACGAAGCTGTGACGAACTCGGCGTGGATGGTGAGCTCCGGCCCTGGGGTGGTATGGATGGCTTTGATGTGCTCGGCTTTGGCGCATTGGGTGGTTTCTGGTTTCTTCGAGCGCTTGAGTCCTTCGGCGGAGCCGGGGGTGGAGGCTTGGGTGGGCCAGCGCTCGCAGAGCTCGAGGACGACGCAGCCGGAGGCGGTGGCGGTGCAGGCCCGCTCGCCGACGCCATTGGCAGATTTGCGGAACTAGCAAACGTGGGTTTGAGGCGAGGCACGTCGGAACGCTGGCGCTCCTGGTCCAGCATGTCCTTCATGATCTGGATGGCTTCGTCGGCGGTGAGCGAGGGAGCGGAGCCAGGCTGACTTGCAACCCCCAGGAACGCTTTCTCAATCATCCTCTTGCCTACACCATCCACCACCGTTCGTGCGTTTCCCCAGTTTGGTGAGCGTGACATGCGCTCGATGATCGACTCCATCTCCTGGTACGCGGCTGACGTGGGGTCTGAGAGCTCGGCGAGTGTGACTTTAGACTTTTGCAGGCAGAGGTCGAGGATCCTGAGGCATTTCTGCGGGGGTATGTTGCCAAGAATGATCTCATCCGAGAACCGACTGGCAAGCCCGGGGTTGGTGCCTATGAGCGCGTTCATCTCCTTTTCGTACCCAGCAAATATTATAATGAGTTTGTTCTTGAACTTCTCCTGCGTCATCAAGCCGACGACAGTGTCGATGGCCTCCTTGGCGAAGTGGCCTTGGCTGAGCTGATAGGCCTCATCGACGAAGAGGACCTTGCCGAGGGCTTTCTCGAAGAGCTTTGTTGTCTGAGGGCCGGTATGACCGACGTACTTCCCGACCAAGTCCGATGCGGCACATTCGATGAGCTCTGATGACGCGAGGAAGCCCATGTCGTAGTAAACTTCGCCGAATTTGCGAGCAATTGTCGTCTTCCCGGTCCCTGTACCTGGATTAGCATGCTATTGAGCAGAGACGTTGTCAGCATACCTGGAGGTCCCTTGAAAATAAAGTTCGTAGGAATGCGCGTGCGCATGTCAAGCCCTTGAGTCTTCATCGCGCTCGCGATCTTTTGATAATTACCGAGTTTTTGCACGATGTCGTCGCAGCCGACCAGGTCTTGGAACAGCTTCTGCAGATTGGCCGCTGCGTTCTGAGCCCTCTGCCAGTCCGGGTCGAAATCTTCAGGTTCGAACATCACGTCGGAGCGTAGATGAGGAGGTATCTTCGAGGAGCGCTGTTGATACTTCATCTTCGCCAGGCTGAGCATGTTCTCGACCTCGCGCCCGTTGCCGAAGTTGGGGCGGTTCTTCGCGCGGCTGAGGAGCTCTTGCGCAACCGACTTGGCGTGGTCGGTCGCCTGGAGGTCTTGTGTTTTCATCTTCATTTCCATGATCTCCATCAGCTGCGGCTCGGTGAAGTCGTTGAACGTGAAGGCGTCCTCTACACGGAAGCGACTTGCGAGACCAGGATTCACGTTCTGCGTAGAATGCTAAGTTAGGCGGAGGGCGCGACCGAAGATAATGAGCGTAGCTTACCTGGAACATTTCCTCCATCTGCTCCTTGTATCCTAGCAAGAGAACGCATCGGTCTTCTCCGGGGACGCTCTGTATTTCCGCGACCATAGTGTCAATCACCGCGGTTTTGAACGAATCTTGATGGCCTGAATTCTTGGAGTAAAGCATATACGCCTTGTAGCGGTGATTAGTACAGGTTTCACAATGATCAGCAACAGAGAGAACACACCTCGTCAATGACAAGGACTTTTCCCGACTGTATTGCTGAGGATCGCCTTCGTGTTTTTCTCCGAGTGTCCCAGGTAAGCACCGACGAAATCACCAGGATTCTTGACGACAACTGCATTGGGTTAAATCAACACTAGGCTCCCGCAGATATAGATATCTGCTTACCTTCGCCGTTACTGAGTAAACCAAGCTCACAGAGAATCTGCCCGTAGAGCTTCGCAACCGTTGTCTTCCCCGTCCCAGGCGATCCTAAAAAGACCCTGTTCAACGACATCGCCAACGGCTCCTTCTCCTGAAGCTCGCGGTGATAGTTGGTGTTGACGAGATCGATAAATGTGCGCACGGCATCCTTCACGGACTCGAGCCCGGTCATACCCTGTAGTTTCTGCCAAGGCTTGCATTTTGGTATAACCTGAGATGGGTCCGGTCCGATCAAGTCCTCCTTCAGCAGCAAAAAGTCGTCGGTAGGCTGGGCATTCATACGCTCCTTCTCGACGCGCTCGGCCTGGCGCTGGCAGACCTTGGTGAACATGTTCTGCAGCGCTCGGGCGTTCCCGAACCCTTCACGCCCTCTCCCACGGCCCAGTCGACGGACAGCAATCCGGACGTACAGACCCTGCATCCCGTCCTCGATTTTCATCCGCCCAGAGTACTTCTCCACAACGAGCGCCTCCAGCATGACGAGGAACTCGGCGTCTGTGTAGTCGGCGAATGTCAAGCTATAGGGAACGCGACTAGGAAGACCGGGGTTGTGATCAAAGAACTTCTCCATCTGCTTCGTGTAGCCCGCAAGAATGAAGACGAGCGTCCCGACGCGATTTTCCATCTCCGCGAGAAGAAAATCGAGGACCTGGCTGCCAGACTGCTGGTGCTCGGAGACGAGCTGGTACGCCTCGTCGATGAAGATGGCCCCACCGCCTACGGACAAAGCTTTCTGTATCATTGTCTTGGCTCCGCCTACGCCCTCGTGCGCAAGACTTGAACCTGTTGTCTCGATGAACGCGTCTCCGGGGAGGACTTTGATAGATTCCAGGAATTGCGAGTACAGTCGCGCAACTGTTGTTTTCCCTGAAAAGACTCATTAGCTCATATAGACCGAATTGGTCGACGATCATACCTGTGCCGGGGTTACCCAGAAGTACGAGGTTGAGGCGTTCTTTGTTGGTAGGAACGTTTTGTCGGCGGAGAAGGTCGATATGAGCCTTGATCTTCATGACCTCCGCCTTCACATCTTCGAGCCCTGTCATTGCCATCAGTTTGTCGATCGCTTCATTCTTCTCGCCGTTGATTCGCTTCAGGTGGAGCCATTTCAGGTGAGACGGAGAAGTGATCGGGCCAGATGGCTGTGCTAGGGCAGCACCTGTTGCGGGAGAAGTTGAGGCGCCCTGTGAATTTGAAGGCACCGGTGTGGTCGGAGTTGGATTCGAGGCTGGAGGGTGAGCAGGGTTCGAAGTGTGGTAAGCACCGGGAGGGTTTTGTGAAGAGGGAGAAACAGGCCGAGGCGGAGGGGCGTTTGACCCAGGCACGCTGCTAGAAGTACGCTCCGAACTAGGCGGAGGGACCGATACTCGATTGTTGCGGACGTTGGCAATAAACGCGTCGACGTCCTTCTCCTTTTGATTGTATGCCGAGTCCCGCTGACGCTTAAGTTCAGCATCAGCCAAAGCATCCAGCTTGGCTTGTTTCTTGGCCTCCAGCTCCGCCATCCGTTTGTCGTGCTCCTCCTGCTCCTCCTCACGCTGCAACTCGCGCTGGATCTTCTCCTCGAGCTCTTTCTGACGTCTCTTCTCTTCGTCCTCGCAGGCCTTGCAGATCTCTGGCGCCCCTTGGTGACATTTCCACCGAAGGTTGTGGCGATTAGCGTCGCATTTCTTCGAGTACTGATGTAGGCACTTCATTGTCGCGTGGTCGTCGATGGCATGGCACATGAGCTTGCACTTGTGTATTCCACAGCTAAGCATGATGTCGCTATTATAACATTAGCAGGCTGTCTCGATGAGCTAGCGAACGGAACGCACCAAGCTTCAGCGCACCCGCCGTCGGGGCAGATCTCGTCAAACTCCTTATCCGTGCTCAGAGTAGCGGTGCGATCGGGGTGGCGCTCACACTTCACGGGGAAGCCTTCGTACATGTGCCCGTTATCCTTGGCGAGCTTGAAAAACTTGGACCATAGCGCTTTCGCGTCCTTTTTCTTTGTATTCAAGAATGTGCGGGAGTTGCCGATGAGGATCAGACCATTACGGGCTCGCGACAGTAGGACATTGACACGCTCGGGGGAGTCCATAAATCCTATATCGTTTCTCTGATTGGATCTCGTCAAGCTGGCGATGACTATGTCGCTCTCTTCGCCCTGGTAGTTGTCTGCATCGCCGTCGATATTGAGATACTGAAACAAAGACACAGAAAAGTCTAAGTCACATACCAATGGTCGCAATTCTGATACGTTTCTTTGGTGGACCCGACGTCTTCGGGTCAAGTATACCGGCACGGATAAGCTCGAATGAGTCCAGGTCATTGAGTACTGGGTCGCAGTCCTTCTTGAGCAGGTCGCGCATCTTCGACATCTGGCCCAGGTACGGGGTGAGCAGAACGAGGTCGTCGGTCTTGTACCCTTGCTGCGCCAGATAGCGGACAATCTTGAGGATCATCTGGACCTCGTAAGTGTTCTGCTTAGACGAGGAAGAGTCGCCGTCGGCTTTGTCGGCGATGCGGGTGTCGGTGTCTTCCGGATGGGAATGGTCGATGAAGACGATATTATTCTGCACTCCGCGGATGTTGGCACGCCCGATCGTCTTGGGCGCATCGCGTAGGTCAGGATAGGTGAGTGCGCGAATGAAAGCGGAGATTTCGGGACGCATGCGGTGTTGAGCGCTCAGCGCATGGTGAGGGTATCCTCTAAGAACGAGGCGCTCGAACAAAGACCTATTGAGCTCGTATCCCTCCCCCTTTTCGACTGTCAGAAGGTAGTTGTTGACCTTAGGCCGAAGCTGTCTGAAAAGAAATGGATTAGTGGCATGCAGCGAGTGAGTGAACAGTACGCACTTGTGATCCCCGATCAAAATCATCTGCGATACACTTTCTCCTAACGAAGTGAGAACGTGGCTCTCAAGGATCTCGCCCGCCTCTTCAACGAGTAGAACATCAGGACGCGCTTGGCGGATCTCCTCCGTGAGTTTAGCTGCGCCCGTAGTTGTACACCCGATAATTCGCATGCCCTTGAGCACCGCCGCCGTTGGCTCGCGGCTGAACTTCTCCAAGAGCTGGTCCTGCACACGGTTATAGCTGTCCGCGGCCGAGCAGACGTTCTCGATCGCCTGCTTCAGTATCGCTTCCTTCCATTTGGCAATGCGGTCTAAACGCTCCTGCGGTGACATCTCCCAGATTGCGCGAGCGTCCTGGACGTTCGCGTCGTCCTTGAACTGGCCCGCGTCGTAGCCACGGTGCCAGCGGTACAGGAGCTCCTCAGGCCCAACTTCTTTTCCATCTGCTCCGACCCTCGTCATCCCGTCATCATCCTCGTGCGAGACCTCAAACGCCGCGAAAAACTCCTCGTCCTCGAACTCGAGGTACTGAAGCAGGTCTTGGTATGCAACCCGTGACGCCATTGCGCCCTGCACAGCCCGCTCGAGGTCTTTGCGCAGCGTGAGTGCGCTTTGCTTCAGCCGGTCGATGATTGTCCAGTCCGCTTTAGAGCGCCGAAACGCTTGACGCCGGTTATGCATGCCGAGGCGCGCCATCTCGGAGTTGGCCCGCCCGCCGAGACGGATGATGGTGTCCTCGGAAATGCCGATTTTGATGAGGTCCTCGAGGAACTGGTCAAGTGCGTGGTTGGTGTAGCAGACGACGAGGATCTTCTGCTCCGTATATTTGTGTATCGCTTTCGCGAGGAGGGCTCCGATGAAGGATTTACCGGTACCTACGGAGAAATGTCAGCGGAAACAAAGACTTCAGACAAGTACATGCGTGCCTGGTGGACCCTGGATAAGGGAGACGCGTTGAGTCAGGCCCGCGAGAAGGGAATCTGACTGAGATTTGTCGAGGACGATGCGCGTTGGCGTCTCCAGGAGTGGCTGGATGTCCGTGTCCGGCTTGAGAGACAACGGTGCCACGACTCTCGTAGGTACGACCGATGCTTCTTTGAGCGCCTCTCTGTCTTTCCAGAAGAGTAGCTCGTCGGCCAGAGGCACGCTCTGCATGCGTTGCAATGCCTTGAGCACCGGATCGAACGCGAAGACGGCGACGTCGATCTGAGTGATCTTGATCTTATCGGGGACTTGGAATGCCTGAAAAACTCTGGAGGTGCTCGCCCCGCCCTCCAGCTCGAGCACGACTACAGGCGGCTTCTCGGCAAGCAGCTTCTCGACGCGATTGACGTTGGCAAAAGCGACGAGCTGGTCGTTGTCGATGATGCAAACAAGCGACTGGTGCTTGAGGAACTTCGAGTCGTTCTCGAGGTACTTGAGCCGGTCCTTGTCTGGCACGTTCTTGAGCGACTTAAAATCGTTGTTGCATTTCACCTTGATCCCCCACCGCTCCGTCTTGTCCTCCTTCCCCGTATATGCACCCACCAACTCCACATTCTCTATCGTCACCCCGCGCTTCCGGCCCTTCTTCTTCCCGAGCGTGATCTGCACCTCCTCGCGCATTTCGTGAACCATGTCCTCCCGGAGTAGACGGAACGTGTTGTCCAGATAATCGGCGACTCGTGTTTCTTCGCCTTCGGGTTCGTCAAGGAACGCACCGGGACGAAGAAACGCGGGCCGTCGAGAGAGGATTTCATCTCCGGTGGGGAGGATCGCGACGCTGCGGAAGTCTGCGAAGTCGTTGTCGTGACGCCCCCCGGGTCCATCCGGCGAGGCGACACCCTTGGGGGTCTTGCTAGACTTGTAGGTAGAGCATATATGGTGAACTTGATAGCCAATTTCTTTGATACGGGAGTCGGAGGAGTTGATAAGACGATCCTGGACTGTCTGTTGTTGAGCGACCGTTCGGTAGGGAAGAGTGTCGGTGTGGGTGAAGGAAAGAAGACGTAGCAGGATTTCGGCGAACGCCAATGAGGCTCTATCATCCAGCTGGTCATCATCGAACGCCTTCACGAATGCTGTCCAGAAAACGGGCGGGTCGACGACGGGAATGAGAAGATGCTCGAACAGGTTGTCGAGCTCTGATGCTTTGAAGAAGTGTAGCAGAACGTCGGTAGCTTGACCGTTGAGGAATGTGGTGCCGGTGTCGTGACGCATAGCAAGTTGCAGCGCAGGAAGCCCAGACGAGCTCTCGATAAGGCGTTGCACACATCGCGCGCTATCCTGGGCGCATATAGCCTCGAGGAAGATGCGTGCGTTCTTCCCGTCTACTTTGACTTTGTCGTTGAGGACATCGTTGAACCGCTTGTCGAGAAGCTTCTGCCTGTTGCTCGAGCTCATGGTTGCAAGGGAAGGACAATCGACTGATTGCACAGACGCAATGTAGCCTAGGCGCTCGTACAGCAAGAGACGAGCGAATCGTGGTAGGCGGCGTCCAGAATAGAAACGATCTGCGACGCGTTCAATTAGGCAAAACCAAACGACGCGTGTTGTACTTACGTGCCATTGTACGGTGTTGGGTCACTCGGTCATGACAAATATCGAATATAAAACAGAGTTTTGAGGCTGAGACATGTGGAGTATATGCGCGCAGTCGACCCGGGGGACGTTGCACTAGGGCACCTCCAATAACGAAGCAGCGCTGAGTTCGCGGCCAAAAGCGGCGGTGATTAGTCAGCAGAAGTTACCGAAACCGTCGTCCCGTCCTCGCAGCTCCCCGCTGGCCAAACCTTAGCCATCACTAAGTTTCGCCTTGCTCAACTTCAAGGCAGTATCTAGCAGCTTTGTCCTGCTGTGCGTTCTTCATCTCGTCTGTTCTCGCCACCCGCATTGATCGACGCGTTCCTCACCCTCCGCAAACGTCCTCTCCGCCGCGCTCGACTCGGGTGTCGCAATCGATTATCCCCATCTTCTTCTGCCTGCAGTACCCGCGAGACGGGGTCGATCGGAGCGAACAACGTCGCCAAGTGATGGGCCAACAACGTGTCCCTCGACACCACCGATGGACAGGCGCTCTTGAGAACATGGAGACACCACCTGGCGATTCGCCCACGCGCGGTCACAAGGGTTTTGTGCCTCGTGGGGCAATATCCTGCGATTTGAGACATGTACTCGCGCGTTTGGGTATGCCACATTGACCCGTGAGGGTCAGGGCGCTCCAGGAGACGCCCACCGTGAGTATTCCACCTCCGACAGGGGTTGCAGGTTAACCGAAGCGGATTGCTGCGCAGCCGCGTCGTCTCACTCTCAGCTGCGAACCACCTACTCCAGGCTTGCTGTGAACCAAGCCATCTTTCACGTTGTGCTCCCGATCAACTACCCCCACACTTGTGACCAGATGGATGGCCATGCACCAAAACATGCGTCTTGACCGATCCTCAGTTCTTGTGCCAGTCTCGCCTCCCTCTGAATCACAATGTCATCTTGAATGCTACGTTCGGATGACGACTGGAATCTCTCGATGAACGTGTTGTTCTGGACTTGTCTGCCATCTTATGTGGATGAGTTGAACCTCTAATTGGACTCGCCAACTCCTTCGAACAAGCGCTACAGTCCTAGGATCCTCAGCCTCCGGGAAATTATGCCAGCCCTCTTAGAACCTTGGGAATGTCGTCACATCCCTTGGAGAATCTCGAAGCGTAGTTCCCAGTGGTATATAAACCTGACTTCAGGCTTAGTCGCAGAATCATTCTCCCCTTCGCCTCTTCTCATGCGTCGTCTCCTTACGCGTCGCGATGGCTCATCGCGGATGAGCAGCCTCACCGGTGCCTCTAGAGGGGATCGCGATCATAATACGACTTCTTCGTCCCCCGATGACGCTGTGTCAAACACGGGCTCCGGCGACAATGTCGATTTATCCACGAGCGAATACGCCGTTCGTCGGCGTGAGCTCATGGGCCTGATCAACGACCTGCGGAACATGGGGTACGTCATTCATCACCTATTTACCTTGCAAGGTCGTCGATTAGTGCTGACTTTTGTTCCTCCTCGTAGAGCCGGTGGCCTCGATATTCACCTTCCTTCCATCGCTGTTATAGGCGCTCAGTCAGGTAAATCAGCGTAGTTGCTCCATTCTCCGCAGGTATTGACTGACTTTGGTTCAGCTGGGAAGAGTTCGCTTGTTGAGGCAGTTAGCGGGGTAAGCGTATCGTGGTCTGACAAGTTTTGATTCTGACATAGCTCTAGATTAATGTTCCTCGCGATAGCGGGACTTGTACTAGGTAATTTCGGATACGAGAGTTTCTTTCGCAAACTAAACAAAACTCGAAAGGTGTCCGATGGAGTGCACTATGTCGAGCGAAGCGACGGAGTGGTCATGTACAATCAGTCTGCGATATGACTACCACGCCGATGGCACACCTCAGGATCGGCCTATCGTCACACAGTTCGGCAGCCCAATCACGAGCCGGAGTGAAGTCGATATCTGGCTTCGCCGAGCCCAGACCGCGATTCTCAACCAATCCGTCTCGCATGAGCAGTTCTACAGCAGAAGCTACGAGGAACTTAGGGCATGGACACATCCGCGCATGCTCAAGTTTTCCAAAAACGCCATATGTGTGCTCATCAAGGACCCAGAGGCTACCGATCTTTCGTTCATCGACCTTCCCGGTATGCTTCATTCCAGCTCCATGAAGCGATGATAGTGCTAATGTGATGGGCAGGGCTTGTTCAAAATGAGGACGCCGAAGTCATTGATTTGGTTCGCGGTTTGGTTGAACATTACGTCGGCAAGGATCAGACTATTATCCTGACAACTATACCTATGACTGGTAAGTGATTTTTCTGAATAGCAATCAAACATACATTTAGCCAATACGCCAATAGACGACTTAGAGAACCAAGGCTCAGCCCAGCTCGCGCGGGAAGCTGACCCGGATGGAGACCGGACCATTGGTATGGCGCTGTCTATTTTCCAAGCTTTCTCCTACTGATGTTTTCGTAGGTATCTTAACTAAGCCAGACATGCTGGGGAGCGGAGCCATCGGTCAGCTGCGCAGGTGGCGAGACATACTCGAGGGAAGGGGCGAGAATCGTCGCCTGCGCCTCGGCTATTATTGCATGCGATTCTCAGATGATGCTGAGCGATCCCAGAACCTCTCTAGATCGGAGAGCCAGAGGAGAGCTACCGAGTTCTTTGAGACTACCGCACCTTGGAGCCAGGTCACCGACAGAAGACGCTTTGGCGTGCCGAACTTTGTGGCCGACGTTAGCAAGTTGCTGATGAAGCTCATTCAGGACTCGTACGTCGCTTCATAGCTTCAGATTGACATCCCTTCTTACTGTATCGACTGCAGACTCCCTTACATCAGACAACAAGTCGATGAGCTTATTGCGTCGACAAAGGAGGAAATGGATCTACTTCCCAAGCCTCCGAGCCTTGATGCACGCGTTGAAGTCCTGAGCCGGATTAACAACTTCTGCGAATCATTCAAAGAAGCCGTGTCCGGAACTAACGCCTACAAGGACCTCGCTCAGCGCAACAGGGCGGCGTACACAATCTTCAAGCGCTCGATACGAGGCACCGCGCCGGACTTCCGTCCTTTCGAGCGTCCGTATGAGTACACTGACCCCATCAACATCCCGGAGCTCAGAGAGGACATTACCTGGCCGATCGACCCTCGGGTCTCGCCTATGGCTCTCTATGATGTCCGAAAAGTAGTTAAAGCGTGAGTGCATCGTCATAAGGGGTGTACCTCAGAGCTAGGCTGATTATCGTCTTCGAAGGTCGCTCGCCTGGGAACTTCCTGGGGATGTGCCTTTCGAGGCAAAAGCCCAGCTTATCAAGGAGTTCGTCGCGCTCTGGGAGGTACACGTCAACACATGTTTTACATCTGTCTGCGACATACTGCAGGATGTTGTGGAAGAATTTGTCGACACCCATTTCAGTCAATTCAGGAGGTTTGAAGAGCATATGCTGTAAGTGACCTTTGTTAATCGCATCGTCGGGGGTAGGTTAACACGCCATTTTCGCAGGAGACATGTTGATGACGGCCTCCGCACTTGCGTCACTGAGGCCGGCCAGGCAGTCAAGGCCGCATTATCGCTAGAGATGTCGCCCCACTTTACGCAGGATACGCTGACTTATAACACTCTACGCCGTGTATTGCTTTCCCATTACAGGAGCCAGTACACGCACTCGAATAGGTGGCCGCGGCAGATGGCCGCATCTCCGGTGTTCGACAGCGACACGCCAGCGTTCGTGACACCTGTGGCACCTGATCCGGATGATCCGTTGGTCACTGTTAAGGATAGTGGAGTTGATGGCCTAACCATATCTGAAGTATCAAAGCTTTACCCAGCCGATGGCTTCGAAGACGAACTGGGTGTGATGGCGGATGTCCGAGCCTACTTCCAAGTAGCGTACAAGGTAGGTTTTTCTGCTGGAATGGCGTCGATTGAGCTGTATGCTTATATCGCATAACGTCTAGCGCGTCGTCGACCATATCCCCTTGACTATAGAGCACGCACTGCACCACGCTCTATCTACTCGCCTTTCGAGTAGCTTGCTCTCGAGTGTCGTGGATGTGTCGAACTTTACGGAGCTGGCTGAACGACTTGTCAGCGAAGATCCAGGAATTGCCACCCGACGTGCTGCTCTTCAAATCAAAATGAGGCGGCTTGTAGAGATCAAAGACAGACTCAGAGCTATTGCGTATTGACGAGGTTTGCTGTGGATGAAGTACTACGGTTTCTTGGAGTTATAGAGCAATAGTCGTATAGCGCTGTGGACGAACAAGCCAATTTTGTATGTATAGCAGAATCAACATAGGTGGAATCGGATTGGGATCTGAACGAAAGCCTCTACTTATATCACCTGTGCCCCGGCTCATAGAAGTGTCTGAGTGTCTTAGTCGAAGGCTTCAGGTCACTCCGAATCGAACGGGCATAATTTGCCAGGTGTCACGTCCTAAAACGTATAGTTCCTACAGACGAGATTGCGAACTTTCATCCTTCCTTGCTGATTGAAACTCCAATACCGATGCAGTCCCCAAGTCCAAGAATTTGACGAACGCCAATTCTGCTGACGACCTATATTCTTTACTGTCAAACACATCTCTCGTTTCAGAAAAGGATGGAGGCATGCTTACGCGAGCTCTATCAGCTCTCCAACAGTGCGCTCCTTGGCGTTGAACGTGAGCTGCATGGTGAAGTCAAGATTGTGCCTCCTGGATGCGCCCCAGCCGAAGTTAGGCAGCAGCGGTTCTGGGGCCTACATTTGGTTTGATATGATCGGACGTCAGAAGAAGTTGTCATCGGATAGAGGCAAGTATATAACAGTCCATACAGTTCCTACTTTATCCTTCTCTGTGAGCAGCATCCACCCTCGGTGACAAACTGTATGTGAGTCAATACATACAACAAAACCATCGCCTTGGGCTGAGGTCATATACGACACTGACGTGCAAGTTGAAGGGACTAGTAAGCAAACACCTACGAAGACCGCATATTCTCGTAAACTCGTAGCTAGACTCGTCGGTGAGTGACAACGGGAAGCTCTAATAATATCTGCCGAGCATCAAACACGGTGGACATGGCTCTAGCACTGCAATCATTTCTTAATAACTCGCAAAAAAAATTGAGAAGCGTTTTAAAGATTAATGTGATCAAACAGGTTTCAATGATTAGTTCCTCATTATTTCATAGCTTTAACAGAGAAAGGGATGTCTAGCTGTCGGTAACAGGCCTCTTCCTTTCTGTCTTTCATAGAAATTTAAATAATGAGTAACTAACTATTTAAACCCGCCCGCCTTAATCTTTAAGATAAATTTCAAATGAGAATGTCACTATTATTGAAAAAAAAAAACTTGCAGTGTAAGCAGAGGCTGCCGCTGGATCCCTGCGGCACCAACGAGTAGAAACACCCGCTTCTCATGGATTTAAATATCTAATAAAGCACGCTGAGCAAGCCTAATACACAAATTTTCGTGTTTTTCACCTATCGTCGGTCGATATATCAACTTGCTACAGCTCGGATCACATAGTACTCTTGTCAGCTGCGTTGGCTCCAAATTCCGACACGCAACTCTCAGCGGCCGCGGCTTATCAAACAGTCACTGAATAACAACTTTGATATCGTCATCAACGTCGTTACACCTTAGCGCAGTATTTGCGCAAGTCGCTACATATGAGCTCCTATCATATTCCCAGTTGCACCCACATCAAACTCAAATAGCCAGACAACACCTAAGTCTCGGAGCTCGGCAAACTTGAAGCCAACAGACGATCTATATGTTTGAGTCAGTATGAAGTAAATCGTTACGAGATGTATACCGACATGAGTTCTACAAGTTCTCCGATAGTACGCTCCTTGGCATTCACCATGATCTGCATAGCGAAGTCACACTCGTGCCTTCTAGAGCCGCCCCATCCATAGTTAGGTGACAGCGGCTCGGGGGCCTAGAGTGGTACAGAGAATGTTAGTAAAGGTACGCTGGTCCTAGATCATGCGTGAAACCAGAAAGCTCTCACCTGCTGTATTCCGTATCTAGCAGCTTCTCCAGCACCCCGTTTTCGATTTTGTGGCGCCAACGAATACTCCTCTATTAATGGCATTGAGTCTATTATCAAATTGATTCATGGTCTACTTACGAATCAGGAGGCGGCTGTGAGCCCCCATTGCCTTTCGAACATTTGTGAGGATCCGGCGAACGTCATTGTCAGTCCAGTTGTGCACAATGGCGCGCATCTTTGTGAGATGTCGAAGCTTTAGCATATTCATCGGGAATGGAAGGAGGTCACTATACGTAGTAATAATCCTGTCCTTGAACCGGAGGATGAACAAGGAAGTCTAGTGGTTCAAATACCACGCGCTTGTCAAGCGTACAATCCGGGAACTCCTTGCTCCACAGCTATCGGCTGAAGGTGAGCATGGAGTCGAAAAAGGAAAGAATGTATTTGCCACCTGCAAAGCATCGTCCAGGACATGGGGCTGGTCTTGCAAGGTGATATGCAAGTCAGGACGTAACTTTGCCAGATGTAGAGAGAAAGAGCCAACACCAGATCCAATATCGCAGAAGGTCGAGTAGGGTCTCCATGGGACAGCTGGGAATCAAGATGAGCTCAGGCTTCGACCAAAACAATGACTTAAGGACCATGAATGGTAGCGTGCGCCGCGTCAGCTTGTTCGATTGCGATCATTGCGTTGTTACATTTCTTGAGTGCCATATAAGTATGTATATGCTCCTCGCAGAGAAAGATGCCGCTAACTTACTGTCATTAGCTCAGGCTGATATCATATTTATTCATTCAGCTATGGAAAACGATAATACTTGGGAGTAAATGCGTACATGCTTTCCCCAAGCGGTGTAAATTGAATCTTGGAGCTCGCCCGCCGAATTCCGCCGAGCATAAGACCATAGGCCCTTGTAGTTGTCAGGTACGTCTGCAACATCGACTTGCTTGTTGTTAAGAAATTCCCAATAACTATCCAGACCGTAGTGACACTGTGTGACTGCGAGCCACGTGTAATCGCAAGAGCGGGTCTCCGAGTCCTTAAATAATGCCTGAGAGATCCTATTGTTGGCGTATGTATCTGTGTCAACTGAAGTGTATACTCCCGGTGTGAGATTTATTAGTGAGGCCTTCACAGACTACTCACCTTCAATGAAACAGTTGCGGCTAGCAAGCGCACGCATGATCTGAGTCAACTTTGGCTCGGGTAAACCGGTAGCTTCAGCGATATGCAAGAGATGCATCCCTTGAGGACGCCCTTCGAGGATTTCGGCTATGCCAGCATTCACGGCCGTCCTCAAGAGGACTGGGCCAAAGTCCATGGTGTTCTTCATACATGTCGTTAACACATAGACCCAAGATCAAGACACGCGTGCAACACGATACTAACCTTGCCTATATACTCCACCGGTGGTGCAAGCATATCGTAGAGGTGACGACATGCGCCCTCGAGCTGTCTCAGCGCCCTCCGTAGCTTGATGAGGTCGGTCGCACTGTCTAGAGGATGGACGACCGGACAGCTGAGAGCAGGTACATCTTGCCCGTATTTCTGATACTCCACGACTGCTTCAAATGCAGCGTCGGAGATGAGCACAACGAGTTTGTCAACGTCAGCGTTGCCAGACATGAGAGAGGGGATACAAGAATTCAGACAATTGAGTACCAACCGCTGGAGTCTCGCTGATTTTAAGGCTTCGGCACTCCCTTGCGTAACATTCTGACCACGAGGAGTGGCAGAAGCCACAAGAATGCAGGGAGTAATCCAGATAGTGGCGAGTTGATGGCGATACGCCGCACCGTATGGATGACTCAACGGCGCCTACAGACTTGTAGCAAAGTGCTTGCTAAGTTCGGCCTACACCTTTTTGCGTACACGCAGATCTATTGTGTTTTTCACCGCGCGGTTCCCAAGAAGTCAGCAGGTCACCTACTAGTGTAGTCGATCTTCGCAAGCTTCAAGTTTAGCAGTGAAACTGAGCACCGTAGTGTGTCAGAGACGATGCAAACGGGTAGTATGGTGCTGCACGCAAATTACGGACCATCAATCCACAAAGAGACGGGCTGATGACCCAAATCACGGCAGGTAATTTGTTTCGCCGCCGCCGATGCTACACCAGTCATGCCATCCCGACGGTAAGAGAACCCATTCAGACCGTATGCACGTATCAACTTTAGTCACTAACAAGTAGACTTGGCGCCGTGTATGCGTCAGGCCAGCGTCTCAGGTCCACGGTACTGCGCACGCAGCCAGTCAGAACTGCCAGAAGGTGAAGTCCTCGGAAGTCGCTTTTGATGGTGGCCTGGACATTATCTCTGCATGTGTTAGGGCGCGAAAGACTTGGGGCTGATAAGCGATGTTGTTATATGAAGATGCACAGAAAAGCAAAAGGCGTAAACAGTGCGTGAACGTAGTTGAACGGAATAGGACGGAACTCGCGTCCCGCCTGAGGGACATCCCGGAAATTGCCGGCGGAGGTTCGATGCGATGAGTTTACGATCAGCTTTCTTCCTTAACCTCTTTCCAGAGCAACTCTGGTGTCGCTGAACGCCCTGCTTGATTATGTCGATGTGCCAGGATCACCCACTGTTGTCTGTTTCTCTCAGCGCATACCTGATCGGTCTCACTCGGGTCATCTCGTAGCCTCAAATGAAGAAGGCCTTCCGAAGGTCATCCAGCCCAGGATCAGCTGACGTCAAGCACCAAACGCCGTAATGAAGTGTCTTGTGACGATGCTTCTCCTCCCCACACCTCGGATGAATTCTCCGCATCTCCTTTAGATGCTTGCTGCGGGGTACGCGTATAAACCTTTAGACTGTCGTCTTTTATCTTATTCCCTACTTGCTTACCATGTCCTCAAAACACGTCTTCAACTCTCCTGAAGGCCTCGTTCTCAAGGCTCTACGGGGAACGGTTGCGCTTAACCCCAACATTAGACTGTGTGTGATCTCCGCTTACTCCGTGTCCTCGTCCAAGACTTACCGTTTCATCTCATCGTAGACATGCGCCAACTAAGACCGTATACGTCGCTCATCCCAAGAACTCGCAGGTGGCCGTCATCTCAGGAGGCGGCGCAGGCCACGAACCCGCGCATGCGGGATACACGGGGCACGGAATGCTCACCTCCTCCGTATCAGGCGACATCTTCGCCAGCGCGAGCGCGAAGCAGATCCTCGCCTCCATCGAGTTCGCCGCCTTTGCAGGGCTTCCTCCAGGCAGTAGAGGACGGGACGTTGTTGCGGTGATCAACAACTACACCGGTGATCGGCTCAATTTCGGGCTGGCGATCGAGCAGGCGCGTTCCCTTTACCCGACAATCAAGATCACGAGCGTGCTCAACGCGGACGACGTCTCGTTGCTTGAGCGGCCTTCGCTTGTTGGGCCTCGTGGGCTGGGAGGGAATATTTTTGTATGTAAGGTGCTCGGTGCGTATGCACAGTATGCCCTAAACGCCTCGGTGGAGCGCGCGAAGGCGCTTGGAGATGCCCTCGTCGCGCATCTTCGCAGTATTGGGGCGGCAATGGAGCATTGTCATGTTCCGGGGCGGTCGCTCGCCGAATCGGAGGTGGCTATTCCGAACGGCGAGGTAGAGATCGGGTTGGGCCTGCACAACGAGCCGGGGGTTAAGAGGACCACACTAGAGAGCTCAACGTTGCTGGTGGGTGAGATGGTGAAGAGGGTCACGGAGTCTGGGGCGGGATGGTCAGGGGCTGAAATCCATAAGGTGAGCTTCGTGTCTGCTACTATATACGCCTCCGTCCTTATGTCCTGTACAGCGGGCGGGATCTTCGGGAGTCACTGGTGGGGGCCCTTGGATTCAGCGCGGCGATGAACTCGTCCTCTTCATCAATAACCTCGGCGGTATATCGCAGCTTGAGATGGGCGCTATCGTAGAAGAAGTTCGGGAAGCTTTGGGTTCGTGTTCTTCTCTTGCCTACCTTCCCCGGCGATGGTCTGCTGAACATCAATCCTAGCAAATCTTCAAATCATCCCTGTACGGATCTACGTCGGACCATTCATGACATCCCTCAACGCTCCCGGATTCTCAATCTCTCTCGCGAACGTCACACGTATACACGATCTCGTCAACACGGGTGTGTACCCTTTTTCAGTCCCATTATGTGTTTGGTACTAAAGACGAAGCCGTATCCAGGCAGCGCCGATAGAATCGACTTCCTTTCTTTACTCGACGCCCCCACGGATGCACACGCCTGGCTCGGCGTCCGCGTCTGGCCAGAAACACCCAACAACCCCACCGAAACAGAGCTCGAAGCCGACTCGCTCTTGCAGTCCATCCGCTCCGCGTCTTCGTCTGCCACCATTAGCGGTGCCTCAGCAGCAGCCGATGCAATCACGGCTGCGACGCAGAAAAAGATCGATCCCCTCGCGGGCTGGACGAGCGTCGGGCTCACGCCGGAGCAGGTCGCCAAAGGCGTCGTGGGGGCATGTGCAGCGGTGTTGAGCGTGGAGGAGGAGATGACGCGGTTTGATACGGTGGTGGGTGATGGGGATTGTGGTGAGACGTTTGCGGCTGGGGCGAAAGGTACGTGCGGACGCGGCGGTTCGGCGAATCAGAACGCTGACTGATGATCTGGTGTTTGGTTAGCTGTGCGAAGCGCACTGGATGCGGGAAATATCAACGCCGAGCTGATGGGCCCGGATGCGCTCGTTGCTGCTGTGGGCGAGATTTTGGAGGGCAGTATGGGAGGGACGATTGGCGCGCGTATGTCCCTTATCTTTGGACTGCTGTCTTCGCACGATCGCTGATATCGCCGCACTTGTAGTGTTCGCCATCTTCTTCACAGCATGGTCCAATGCCCTGCGCAGCCCTTCGTCCTCTTCCACATCATCCTTGGGAGCAGCGCTCACAGCCCTCGGCGCCCATACCCCTGCCCGACCGGGTGATCGCACTGTTGTGGATGCTATCACGCCGCTGTGCGAGGCCCTCTCGAACTCGAACTCATTGGTCTCAGTCGAGATACTCGCAACAGCTGCACAGGCGGCTAAAGATGGTGCGGAGGGCACACGCGGGATGAAGGCGCGTCTCGGCCGGGCGACGTACGTCGGCTCGGAGGCTCAGGGCAGCGAGGGTGTTCCACCTGACCCTGGTGCTTGGGGCGTTTCCGCGATGGCAAGTGGGTTCGTAGGTGGGATGAAGATGTGAGGGTGAATGCTCGTGTATTACAAGTTATGGTGCTGGGACGTGTAAAGCGATTATGTATCAATAGAGCATGCTTGGTGTCTATGACCAAGTATGACATGTTTTCCTCGCAGCGCAACATCTAGGCAAGAGGTACGTTTGCGTCACAGCAAGCCAACGGCAGGACAGGACGAGTGTACGAAGTAAGGATGCGTCTCGTGCGTACGATGCATTACACTAGCTCGTCAGGTGAGCGTCGCCGAAGTACTCCATTTAATCCGAGATAGACGATAGTGGCTGAGGATTTCCTGACAATGACGATGCGAGCGTGCAGGCATGTATATATACTTTCAAAGGATTGCACACTGGGATGTGAATCGATTTGAGTGATACTGGTGACTCTATCCTGTTACTATCAGAAGTTCGCCGATTTTATGATCCTTTGAAAAACGGCCGCGTGTGAGACCTGACCCCATATATGAGCAATCATTAGACCTCCTCTTCAATATAAGAGTCTTGGGTGTGTGAAAAATTTACGACAGAGACCTCGAGTGATTGAGATGTCTGACTGTTCATGGTTTTCTCGTCCCTGCTCCGAAGACTAAGGATCATCCAAGGACCAACTACGCCGTATAAGAAGGCCTCGGAAATAGCAACAGCCATTGTGTAGACATTTGACTTGAATATTGAGAGAACTCAGTATCGATGCATGGAGGATGGCAGTGGACTTGAGACCTACCTGCAACGAAAAATCAAATGTTTGTAAGCAGGCAAGAAGGAATGTAACAAATGCCCTAGCAAGCTCTTTATATCAGAAAATGTGCCAGTTAGGGCCAATATGTTGCTCACACGAAGAAGTATAGTAGGTTATCGCGGACAATAACATTCTTGATCGAACGCACTGACTTCGTCTGCGAAGTCATTTGGGTTTTCTTAGCCCCGTGGTATACAACCAAGCCACATAGGATGGCTTCAAATGCCATCATTATGGCGTTGTACACTATTATAGACCACTTCATCAAGGGAGAACCCAGTGGATCGTCTATCTCAGGAAATTAAGTTATCGCATGGTCATATCAGAGCCGGCCGACCGTCTCAAATGGTGAACGCACCGTTTGGAGCAACAAGGAGCTTTATCATGAGAAGCGCTGATCCGATGTTGACAGCTTGGGCGATTGTGAAAGAGGTGAGCAGGACAGATAGAATCTTCCTGCTTTTCCCGAGCAGAATATATACTCGCAGCGTCATTATTCCTAGCTAGGTCATTTCAAAGTCACAAGGAAAGCTGGGTGCCAGGCGTACCTTGTAGAAGCAGGGTAATGATGGTGGCAAGGTAGTTGGAGGTGACCCAAACCGGAGTACCTAAAGACGACATCAGCTTTGAGTGGTTCTGGCTAGTTAAAATATCGGCCCACTATTATGAGGCGTGGTTAACCATGGTTATATCGTTAGTATCAAAGTGTATGTCTCGACCTAGCGCATAACATAAGCTTCCAAGAACCTCTGTCGTAGAAAATGTGCTGCTAACTTCCCTTGCGGACGTTTCAATGAAACTATAGGCTTTTAAGGCTTAGTGCATAGCTTCATTAAAAACTACAAATGCACTCACCAATCTCGATTCTATTCACTCCCAGATAATTCAGAGAAAGTCATTTCGTTGAAGCAGAACTCACAAGACAAATGCTAAACTAAGCCATCGCAACTAAATAGTGACATCCTACATTAGTAGAAGCTAATAAGCATAGGATAGAATTCAACGTACGAACCATGATATAAATCCATGATACTAAGGTAAACTTTTTTCTCTGGAAAACATTATAAAGTTACACTCCCTCCGAGGATTTTTCTACTGTACCCATATGAATCCCACCTAGTCACGATAAGCTGTTAGATATATCTCATGTCGCGCCCCTAGTTCACATACCTCGAGATCAACATTGAGTACTTGATTCGGGACATTGTTTGAGATAGAGTGAATGCAGAAGAAATGGTTCCATACCATAATCATAGGCTACCATTACTGCGCAAGCCACTGGGAAAGGCTTTGTCTGAGCCTATGCAATACTGGTGAAGGGTTAAACTAGCCTACAAGCTGAGTACCGCCCCACCAGTTGTGTGTTAGCGGCAGAGATGAGGTTTTGCTCGATCGAAGAGATGTTAAACGACATTGTGGAATGCTTGGAAGGGCACAATTTTTGCGGCCGGCTATAAGAAGGTAAACCTCTTATATATCCCCAAGTAATCTATTCTAGCAGTGCAGAGTACCGCACAACAACTTGTCGTGTTTCAGCAGCCTTGGCGATTAACCGGGATGTTCCGACGGACTTTCGAGTGATAAAATACCAATAAGCAAGCAGTACACAAAGTGGTATCACACGTCGACGGATAGCTCCGATAGTGGCACCCACGAACATGAGTGTACTCCGTGTCTCCCACCAGATGCACCCCTGCAAGGCGTCTGGAAAACTCACTAAGGTAGGTCTGGATTCCTAAACCCTGAAACCGAGAGTCTGGTCGAATCTGAGTGTTTTATTGCTTTAAAAGCATCATCAAGGAGATAAGAGGTGGTACTACAGAGCCGGATTGTTACAAACAACAGAACGTGACGCTCCGTGTGCTTGATGCCACATCACCCTACCATGGATACTACGAATCAGCCCAAGGCCAAGTAGCGCGGCCATGTCTTTGGCTTATCTTACGAAGTATGTTGGATGCGGAGTTACTGTTTTTGTTTGATGCGGAGTTACTGTTTTTATTAGATAACAGAGGTGTTTCTTCGGAAATCCGCGCAAGACTGGCTCAGCCCCGGGACATCCCAGAATGCCCACGAATGTGGGTCCTACGTGTACCCTGCTTTGGACCGACACTTGAAACATGGCGTAAAGCCGGCGGTTGGGGAATGTACATTTATTGGACATGGAAGACGGAGCAACAACTTCAGATCAAGCAACTATGGGTAATACACTGGCACGGCACAGCCACGCGCGAGACTTCGGCCCACATGTACCCAGGCTGTCTGACATCCAAAACAAAATAGCCACGAAATGGAAGGTGATGAGGTATTGAACCAAAAGTGGTGCTCTGTGCGTAGCTATAGCAGGCTCCTTGTTGAGCCTACATTGTTTGATCGGACAGTCATCAGAAAACGATGCTTCGAGTCGACGCCGCAGCCGGCCAAACCAGTTTCCGAAGTCATGTCAGCGGCTAAAGCCGGCGGAGTTTGACGCGCACTGCCTGCAGCTCTAATATCGACCAATTTCATCTTGTTTTCGACACTTCACCCACTTCTCAGCTTGACGGTCATAACTTATGCCGCAGTCGCCCATAGACATGTCTTTTCTGAGACTGCGGTGCTACTTTGAAGGGTAATACACTCACCCCAATACTATGTCGGGACAATTGTTCAAGTTCACGTATACAGCAGACTGTCAACATGTCCGATGGTGTGAACATTCGCACAAGAAAGTAATGTTTATTCACTACCTCGTTCAAGTTGGGACTGTATGCTTGAAGAAACGCAGATAGATTTGCCGCGAATGATCTGTTGACATCAGCCGACTGTCGCTGGTGAAGGGCCCGACTTATCTCACATGAAGAAGTATATTATGTTGTCCCGTATTATTATACGCATCATTGAGTGCATCGAGCGCATTGGACTTGCCACCGGAGTCATTTGAAAATGTCTGACCCATAATAACTAGCCAGGACACACAGAACAATTTCATAGCCTAAGAGCAGGATAGTTGATGTCATCAACGCCCGTTTTACTGCGGGTATGTCCGCAAGAGAAACAAGATGTTCCACTATCATAAGAGTAAGACTATTAATCGAGGGCGAGGGGTTAAAATTGAGGTGACCAGACTCACAATCAGATCCAGCGACACCTTGAATTGTGAGTATAGCTGATATAAGGTTGGCGCTGTTCACAGCAATGAACGCTGCAAGCAGCGAGACTGAAAGCCATTTGGGCCTCCCGAGAAGAATATACACGCGCAGAGCCATCATTCCTAGCTAAAGTTGACTGTGGCGTTGTGTCCATAGGTAGGATGTACATGCCTTGCAAGAACATTAAAACGACCAACGAAAGAATAGCTTCAGTGGTGCATAACGTCCGGTCTGAAGTACTGTTATTAAGTAAAGTATCACACAGATACTGTTCACACTTACACCTGCAAGATAATATCGTTAAGTGCAATTCAAGCAGAGTCATTCCTTCACGCGATTCAAACGAGCCTATGTACCTGGACTTGAAGGTGAGCCGTTCAACGCATTTGGCGCCACATAGGGAGAAAGCTTACTTACCTTGTTACATTCAAGATAACGTTGGTCGATACTTTGTAGAGGTTAGCGTTTGATACTTTCATGTCAGTGAGATCTACCGGTGCGCACATATATGTAATCTGTGATCAATCAGAATAATGATGCAAATACCCGTGGTCGTGAGCTCACATTAGGTATCGAAGCTATTGATATGCGTGAGGAAATTATCGAGGATATTACAGTTTATCAAACCAGGATGTAAATTCGTGTTGTCTATGACATATGTTTTTTCTAGGATAAGAAAGCTAGCTCTAGTTGAGTACTCTTCGATCCAAATGTGGCTTTCACACACCCATATTAATTCTATCTGACAGCATCGTTCTGTGGGGTACTACTAAGACATTTGGCTAGAGTGCGGCTCACCTCGGATTCAACATTCAGTACTATTTCAAATAGTGAGAATTTATGATTCGTAGCATCAAAGGCCTTCAGAATACATACAATAGTCATAAATCACCACAGACAGACATGCGGCTAAGCGTGGGTTCTTCTTCGGCTGGACTCTAACTGGATGGCTTGAATGGACTAAGGACTTACTTGAAACATGCGTGAATACTGAGTTTCCTTGGGAAGACAAGATGGCTGCTTGCTCCGTCGGAGCAATACTTGCTAACATACTCCAAGCAATAGAGTATGGGACGAACATCAAGCATTCTAGCAACTTGACCCCTTATAAGCTATGGGGAACCATCAAAGAGGCATCAACATGGGGATATTAAAGCCACAACTTGCCATGAGTACTGATTATGCTTCCGGGATCATAATTATTGATGACAAGCTTTGAAATATGACAGCTGGCCAATGTTGACTAGCACTGAGCGTAATCGCCCGCTCGTCGGAATGTAGTAGGTACCCGAGTTGTCTGAGACAGCTCAGATCTGGTGGGTTGGAACACATGGTCGATAAATGATGAGGTCTGTCGTAAAATATAGAACGTAGAATATCAGAAGGAAACGCGGACAATGCATCTGTACCAAATATATTGCTGGTTTACTCCATTTGTTGTCAGTCTAGTAGCATTTAAAGCGAATGTATTTCAAAGTTAAGAAGACATCTACAATCCCTCGTGCTGGCGAGCACAAGCGTCATGAAAAATAATGATTTTTCCTCCAGTACGATGCTGTATCTGACTAAATTGTACACCGATTTCCTTTCTGACCGGAAGGAGTGCAGTGCATTCAATCGATCAAGGTAGAACACCCTTGCTGTGTGACGAAAAAAACACTAACATATCATAACTGTGCCAATGCTGTGTAGTGTATCCGGCTGCTATTGTGCAAGCTACCAAAGAAGACAACACCTCACATCACCCCGAACTCTATGGCGGAGGTATCAGCAAGGTCCCACAGCTTGATGAATCGAAGCCCGGACGACGCTCTGTGCTGCATGATAAGCGGGTGTCAGACGCCGCGTTTTTCAAGGTACTCACGCAATGGCAATGAATTCATCAGCGGTTCGCTGCTTCGAGTTGAATAAGGAATTCATCCAAAAGTCCATATCATGCCGCCTTGCGCCGCCCCAGCCGTAGTTCGGGAGAAGTGGACTAGGAGCCTGGATACGAATTAGCATCAGCATCAAGCGGACAGGTATAAGTGCCAGTGAAATTGATGATCCGTACCTGGTCGAGGCCGAGCTGAATGAGCTCCCGGGAAGACCCTGTTGGGTCTAGATGTTGGAGTATGAATTCCTCTGTCCGCGTGATAGGTATACTAAACGACGTGTAACAGAACGACATAAAACAAACTCACGAATTATTAGTCTACTATGAGGTTTCATGACTTTACGGATATTCAGAAAGATCTTGTGCAATTCGTCGTCGGGCCAGTCGTGCGCCACACGGCGCATCTTGACTAATGGTCAGCGCGAACCAATAAAACACGCTTGCGAAGCGCGTACATAATAGACATCATGGCCTGGCTGAGGTGATCCAGCAAGAAAATCCACAGGAACAAACGAGACGCGGTCTGAGTCTAAAGCATCTGAGGAAAGCTCCCCCCAGTACTCAAGCTGACGTTAGATGTGTGTTGCTTCGACTGCAAGTGAGGCTCACTTTCTTGGCACCTAACAAGACGTATTCGAAGTCTTGCAATGTGACCGATACCTCAGGATGTGTCTTCAGAAGGTGGAAGGAAAATGAGCCAATACCAGATCCGACGTCGCAGACTTTCAACCCAGGCTGCCATGGCAATGCTATGGAGAAATGTATGTTTGTACTTCACAAGGTGATACGTGCGTACCATGAAGGATGCTAAGGTTTGAGTCCGATTGTTCGCAGCCAACCTGTGCGTTGTTGAATTGCTGTAGGTAGCGCTCAGATAACCAGCATCATGCCAGGGGGTACTGTACACTCACTCTTTGCAAATCGGGCTACAGTGCGATCAAGGATCATGCAGTTGAGGAGACACCGCAGGAGTTACGGGACGTACCTGCTGCGCGTACCATCCAAAGAAGTTATCCTGTTCAGGGTACGTACCACCCCCTATCACGCGGCGCGCATATGTCCAAGCCGACTTGTTGACGGTGTCATAAGGCCCAAAATCGGGGTTTTGGAGGTATTCCCAGTACTGTGTCGTAGCCAGATGTCCTGATTGGTTTACCAGGGTATAATCGTGCGCTTTAGTGGTGGAGCTACTGCGAAGAGCGTACGAGATACGATTGTTGGCATAGGTGTCCGTATCAACTGAATCAGGAACAAGTGAACGGGGCACGCATAGGATATATGATCCGCTCTTACCTTCTAGAAAACAGTTACGTGTCGCAAGTACGCGTAGAACCTTGCTTAGCTTGTGAGCAGGCACGTTTGTAACTTCAGCTATCTTCGAGATGTGAAGGCCGTCCGGGTGCTGTTCTAGCGTATCGGCTACTTTCGCCTCCACCGCCACCCCCATCAACACGGGTTCAAATCGAATCGTCCGCTATTCATACACGGGCAGTGTGAATAGATGCTAGTTATAGCTCAGGTGACTTGTGCTCACCTTGACCACGGAGGTCACCGGTGCCTCGAGCATATCGCAAAGGTGATTACACGCCCCTTCAAGCAGCCGCAGTGCCTTCCGCAGTTGAAGCACATCAGAGGCGCTGTCTATCGGGTGCTCCGCTGCTGAGCTGAGCGATGGAACATCTTGACCGTACTTCTGATACTCCATCACCACCGCAGTCGCGGACTGAGTGATGAGAGCGAGGAGAGTGTCAACCTCTGCGTTACCTGACATCCGTGATGGTTGAGGAAAGAGGCGCAGGTTCATACATCAAGTCCCGAGCTGTCTCATATAACTGCCTACGGCCACTAAACCTTTGGCGATAGCAGGATGGAGAACAAAACCAGCGGTGATGGCCGCAACATTGGAAACACAAGAGTGAAAGCCGAATCCATGTCTGTTCGGCTGTGGAGCTTCTTGTGACCCGTGAACAAGGAAAGAAGCGAAAGAATATATTGAGAATAGGTCAACTGACGACGTGGAAACAGTGGTGAACACCGAGCGTATGTCATAAGTAGCCGTGTTTCCAGGGCTTGGGGTCGACCCAAGTGACGACTAACGAATTGATTCATTGGTCCAAGATTGTGAACATCGCACCAAGAAAGAGCCTCGTCTCGATCAAATGGGGCCAAGTGCAACTCGTGTGCGATTTTGGCACGGTACCATCATTCGCTAGGCCTTATCTGCAACCACAAACTCGAGCGCAGACGTATCGATCAGGTCCCAGTGCTTGAGGAATCGCAGCCCCGCCAACTCTCTAACGAGGCGTCAGCACCCACCTGTTACTAGTGCATGTTGTAGGAAAGTGGCGTACCCGATAGTGACGAGCTCGTCCACAGTACGTTCTTTGGCGTTGTAAAACGAGTGCATCAAGAAGTCCATATCATATCTTCGTGCGCCTCCCCAGCCAAAGTTCGGCAGAAGAGGCTCGGGGGCCTATGGGGCGGAGTGGTTAGTCATGAGAACCAGAATAATGGTACCACTCGTTGCATACCTGTCCGATGCCGTACTGCGCCAAGTCCCGAGCGGCGGCTTGATGGCTCATTTGACCCAAAATGTACTCCTCTGGTAGAGGATAGAACTCAACTAACCGGTTCACGGTCTCAGATGGCACTTACGTATGATCAGGCGGCTTCGCGGAGACATCGCCTTCCTAACGTTTGACAGTATCGTGCGAAGGTCGTCGTCTGGCCAGTCGTGCGCTACGCATCTCATCTGAGCATATTGTCAAGGTTTGAGCAGGAAAGGTCATGTCATGCGCTTACATAGTAGACGTCATGACCAGTTGTTGGTGGCTCTTTCAGGAAGTTCATCGGAGATAACTGTACCTGTCCGTGAGTGATCGCACTTGGACATTCTTGCGCCCACACCTGTTGCAGTGGTGAGTTTGATCATGTACGAAACAATAGATATGTCAACCATTTACCTTTCTAGCGTCTTCTAGAACTTCCGGGACGTCGTGCAATGTAATCCGAGCTTCAGGATAGACTTTGAGAAATTCGAGCGAGAACGAGCCTATCCCCGACCCGACGTCACACAGACTTGTGTCGGGATTCCAGGGTAGCCCTAAGAAAATCATTGCGTGTGTCACAACGACAAGCTTTCTGGAAAATCGACGAGAAAGCTCACCACGCAAAATAGAAAGATTGGCGTCTGCAGTTTGACGACCGATCATACAGAGGTTGAAGTTCTTGTTTACGTGCGTATGAGCGTGAATCCAGGGTGAATGCCGGTATCAGCGCTCACGCTAGCCTTACCTCTTGCATCGCTGGCTATAAGAGGAGATAACACGGATGTCGAATGTCGTCAGCAGGAGGCGAAGGAGACGAGACAAGACGAGACTTACATTTGTTCCATGCCATGTCCACATCGTCTCACGAAAGTCTTCCTTGGTTCCAATTCTCCTATGAGCGTAGGTCCAGGGTGCCTTTTCGAGCGTTGTGGAAGGTCCAAACTCGGGGTCACGTAGGTAGTCCGGGTACATGATCGTCGAGAACGTGCCTTCGCCCGCACATAACCAGGTGTAGTATCGAGTCCTCGTTTCAGATCTTGTTCGTAGCGCATGCGAGATGCGGTTATTAGCGTAGACGTCTGTATCAACTACAAGAAAATGTTGACTGCTGGCCCTCGTTAATTGAAAACATCATACACGTACCCTCTTGGAAACAGTTACGTGTGACTAACGTCCGAAGAACGTGCCTAAGCTTATGTGCGGGGAGCTTGGTAACTTCTGCGATCTTCGAGATATGCAGACCCTGCGGATTTTCATCCAAAACATCAGCAATCCGTGCTTCCGAAGCGATGTGCATTAACATCGGATCCGCTCGGAGTGTACGCTAAGCACGTTTGAGTCACCATTCTGCGTGGGATGACAGGACCTTACAAGGCGTACCTTCGCGATGGAGCTAGCAGGAGGCTGTAGCATATCGCACAAGTGGTTGCATGCACCTTCAAGCTGTCTGAGAACATTACGTAGCCCTATGACGTCAACAGCACTATCGAGCGGATGCACCACAGGCGAGCTGAGCGAGGGTACATCCTCCCCGAGCTTGTGGTACTCTGTGACCGCCGCGGTCGCGGCTTCGGTGATGAGCACGACAAGAGCGTCGATATCCTTGTTCCCAGACATAGGTTAAGACGGACGAAGGAATAGGCCCTGAGAGTCGCCTTCCGTGGGTCAGAGCAGAAGGCGATTCGCATGTCAGACGCTTTATCGGGACAAGTCTTGTGGCTCAAGGGGGATAAGCATATTGCCCGTTGCTGTGAATGTCAGCACAAAGCGTCGGGTCCGGTATCAAAGACACCAAGGAGAAACGGCAAAACTTTCACATACTGCAAAAATAAACATTCAGAAAGCTATCTGGAACTTGAACGGGTAGATCAGTGGTGAGAAATTGGCAGGGTGGTGCTGATATGCAAGGGAAGAGACTCGATATCGCTGTCCGTCACGGTGTTGGGCATATACGAGAGAACACTGAGCTCGAGATGTGTTGACATCGCTAGCGAAGGACGGCATGAACCTGGAAGATATCTAATCGTATCTTCAAACTTATGACACGAACGGTGTGGTTGTGTTTGGTTGCGGCTCCTGTCGGCCCGCACGTTGCCCGCTTTTGAATGTCTCCCCTGTTTTCAGAATGTAGGTCGGTAGTGGTTCTATTCTTCAACGTGAGTCCCTTTGTGGCGCAGCTGCTGCGTACGCGTTGACCCTTTTATTTTGAATGAGGTTCGCCCTATGGTCCTTGCCGTTCAATAGTTATTCTCTCCTTTGTCATACATTACCCGCCTTTGTATTCCATACTTTTCTGTCACCATACATCCATTGCTCGATCACCCTCTCTGTGAATATTGCCGTGTGGAAGCTATCGACCCTATCTTAGCTTATAACGGCGGCTGCAAGGCATGATTTCCTCATTCTCGTCTCCCACAATTGCATCGTATCCATTCGTCTCATTGTTTCTGCCGCTCACGCATCATGCCCATTGTTTTTTCAGCCTCGCGAACAGCGTGCGGAGCGTCCTAGGGAGCAGCTAGATGTGCTTCGACGCCTCTCCCGGTTACATTCGAGTTTGCATCCATTTGAGTGAGTTTAACCTACGCGACGACACACTCTTTCGTTGCGGTAAAAGTTACCTTTGATTGCAAGGGCCCGATCCTCGTAGAGGCTCAGCCCCAACAGTTCTTCCAAGTTCTCCATGCGAACCTGACGATGCGTACTACGACTACATTCCTAAACTTGACATCCCTCTTCTTTTCGTAATTGATGCACTACTTCATCCACTGCAACACTTTGATATCTCTATGTCAGAATAAGTAAGAGATATGGTACAGCACAGCAAGGCAGAGTCCGTCCTTCAATACGGTTCGCACCATAAGCATGTACTGCCTTTTTTCAAATGGGGTTCAATAGTTCAACCTCAAGGCCTCATGATGGGCTATCACGCCGACTCTTACCGTAAATAGAAGCGTTGGCGTGCTAGGCATGAGCATTTGAGCAGGTTAACCGGAGGAGGTTAATACTCACAAGCGAGAGTCGCTGACCTGGGTGGAATTCTAACTCATCTCATTTGTCTCGAAGAGATAGTTTCTCTGACGGCAACTTTGGCTTTGTGGCGCCGCCCCTCTCGGGAATCGCACCGCCACGTCGTGCACAGTAGCTCTATCCCTGAACTGTACATTACTGCCTTGGTCTGTGGCATTTCCCCCTGTCACAATGCTCGACTGAGCTGTGCTTAATTTCTTGATCCGCAGTTATCCGCTATTCGATGGGTTAAGAATCAGTGTACATTCAGTTGTGCATTGATGTCCCTCAGACACTACTCCTTCCTAGCTACTATTTTAACGGGTTAAACCCCTTACACCCGTCTTCAAGTATAAAACAATGCCACCCATCTCCTCAAAATGCCATGTTGTTGTCGTCTCCCTGATCTCATTTTTCTCTCCCACTATTTTTTTTTGCTTATATTTACCTTCTCTTCGAAGTCCACGTAAGTAGTTCCTATATGGATGCGAGCTGTTTCATGTTGCCCCTACAGATCGCGTACCTTATAAGCCTACCTATAAGCCTTCCTATTGCGACACCCTCAATTTCGCGGCCTCATGTCTTAAGCGACTGTAACGTCGGACTTGCTGTTTGCTGCTCCTGGACACCGTCGTACGTCGTTAACTTTGGGTTCTAGCGATCAAATTTAACGCACCTTATGTTGATAGTCTTTCCTAGACTTTTTTTCTTTGAGGGAGCGCGACGCTGCAAATGAGTTACCGGTAGATTTCACCTTAACCCGTTATACTGCAAGGTGTTTGGATTATCTCGGCGACGACCTCGAGTCGGCTCAACGTGTAGCCAGATGTATTCAGATGTTGCTGTTTTCCGAGGTGTGCATTTTGTCTGTATCGCTTTGCTGCTTTTTGCTCACCATTGAACAGCGCCTCTCCACTGAGACATATGCCATTGCGCATGGTTTAAAGATACTTCTCGTCTGGGCAAGGGCATATCACCACATGCGATACAACAGACAAGGCGATTACTGCATTAATTTTCATGTCATGGGAGGGTATGATCTTGCGAACCGACTAGCTGCATTATCTTATCACTTTTCCACTCAACACTTACGCCCCCATTGCCATCACACTCAAACTCAGTTCATGCCTTCTGCTAACGTGTTTGGTGTGTTCGTCACCCGCGACGGAGCTTCATACTCCACCGGGACTACCGTTTGCACCAAAAGCTTCGAAGACCAATTCGAGTCCGTAGCTATTGAATGTTCGTTGGACATTTCAGCAGAGCATTTTTGCCACATGCAAGAGAACGTAACTGTCAACGACGGTCTCAGTCGGTCCACTCATGAACTTGAACCGGCTATTATGAGAGCGCTTCTCGCGGCCAGGTATGACTACGCTATCTTTCGTGCAATCTCATATCACTTTCTCTCTCAGATCATTAAACTTGATGTAATTTGTCGTTGTCAAATGTACAGTATTATTGTCCATGTGTTATATCGTGAAACAGCCTGCATGAAAAACTACTTCTTCGACGTGTGACTACACCTGTACAGCGTGGGAGACGGAGCGTTTACGCGACGTCGTGTCTTGTAGAGGAAGAAAGTTGTTTCCCGCAACACTCGAGGCCACGTGGCATGAATCACGTGGATGTTGTTGATCCAGTGGCTGTGCTGACAGAAAGGCTTCGGGAATCGGCAACGGTTGCCCTTTGTCCTCGTCAAGTCCTCGAGTCCACGTCTTTTGGTGATCCCGTCATGCACACCAATCTTTCACTCAAGGCAGGGCGCTTCCTGACTTTACTTACACCTCAATGTCTACTATATGGAACCAAAAGGCTGTGAAGAGCTACACGAACTCTACATCGCAAGCAAAACTGCGAGTAGGCTCCTTGCCGATGATGTCTTGTTCACTCAAGAATAACCCTTAGCTTCTGGTTTCTTGTCTTAACTTTCCAGATGTCGAGTGAAAGCGATTGACAGCATATTTGGTACGCACCTTTGCAACGTCCGGGTGCATATATAGATCGCTACCAGGTTTTGTCAAGTTCCCCCTCTCAGACAAAACAGGACAACACACATACATCCCTACGTAGAGCAAAGTCTGCGTAGCGGAATTAAGGATAGTGTTTCTTTTTCTTTCTCAAATCACAGTGACGCGCCAGGAGTAGTGGAAAGGGATCCGCTTCACTGGCGCGCCTGGCGTTTGGAGAGCTTTAGAGGTCGGAATCATGCACAGGGGACAGGACGAACGAAGCACGTCAGTGGAACCCCTCCTTTCTGTATCTATGTCTTACTATGGTAATTGTGGATTGAAACCCCAGTGTCCTCACACCGCCGACCCTTCGTGCCCCGCAAGCGCCCCATCGCAGAGCACCCGTCCCACACAGCGAATTGTTACAGCCTTATATTCCATCTATTCAATACACAACTGGTACATTTGGTATCATAGCTTTGCTAACGTTGCTCAATGTGACGACCATTGAACGCAGCATACACGTGCACATGAGAAATGCGTTCAGCACTTGCAGGCGCCAGCAGCGCAACTGCAAGAACCAGCAGCACACTTGCAGCTATCAGGATATGAGTAAGCTTCGTTCAGATATGGCGGCAGAGACTCACGCTTCGGTGCAGCTGCAGTTGGCACAAGAGCCGGAGTTGTTGACGGGAACGTGGGTCGTCTGGACATGTGACGTTAGTATGAGGAGAAAGGGTTGGATCCAATGAATGTCCAATCAAGAACTGAGCACGTACGGAATACATTGTAAGTAGTAGTCGTTCGTTGGTATCTGTGTCGATGCCTCCCTAACACCAGACACGCCGCCCTCTTATACGCCTTGAGAGATTTATTTGCATTCATTTGCAGGGCCATCCCAAGGAAGTCTAGGCTACAGCCGGTGGAGTCCCTGACTGGCTTCATTGTTCCTGTGGAACTCAAGTCGGGAATGAGCTGGCGAGGATCATTAATCGGCTGGCGCATCTTCCTTCGGAAGCCTGGACCATGCGAGGCGGCGTGTCACACGCATGATCGGAGGACAACCTAACTCTAAAGTCTTGGAGGCGGTCTGGTCTTGCGGTGAGGCGTCCTGTGCAGATAGGGCACAGAAGTGCGCAGCCTTGATCTAGAGATAAGGGACTGGGTAATTGACGAAATACGATATGGTAAGATGATAATGCAACTATACTTGGACCCATATTGATGCGCTCGATATCCGTCTGCCCACTGAATTGAAGCCCAATTTATACTGTTGTTGGGGCCTGCAAGACCCTTAAAACCATGGTTGCTCTCAAATAGGCCGGCATAGCTCGAAAAAGGGTCAGTCTATTTCGATAATGGTCCGAGCCGTGATAAGGATAGTCGATGTGTGGGTACAAACATACTCACATATGCACTGCCGATATTTACTACTACGGTCGAGCTACGCAGCAGAGGTAGCATGGTAGTTGACTGCCCATATCAGATTGTGTGGATAAGTCACAGAAGCGTGGATTCGAGCGACCGCTGGAGTGTACCGCATGTTGCTCAACAGTTTTCACAATGTAGTTGGCACCCGCCATTATCCACAAGCCAGGAGAACAGGGCAGGACTCCGGGATGCTTTGGCATTATATCAGTGTCCGGTTCAGCCGTTCTGTGCCCCACGCAGTAACTTGAATGCGTCAAGGCAAGTGAGTCGAATGGCGGCGCGTTCTTCGCCACTGGATGCCCACTGTGTCCCTTTTAGGACAAGGTGTATCATAGCGAAGTAGTATATCATAGAACTTGCTGTCGAACCTGTCAGATCTCTCTCCTGTTTCGAGTGTAGTTTATGCCTTATCTGAAGCAAGGATGTTGCAGGGAGCCATAGCAAACTTAACCAAGTTGAAGGTGTCGTTTATGAAGAATTCAAAGAAATGTCTCTAACCGCTTCGCCAGCTATGGTTTGGCGGAAGCGGCTCAGGCGCCTAAAACAACAAACAAAACATCTATACTACGGGAATTAAGGATACCGTGCATTGTACCTGATTGAGGCCGCGCTCATAACCTTGAAGACGTGGACCGCGTGCGATTATTATGTTCATTTCGTCATGGAGCTGTGAAAGCCTTGAATGAAACACCTACACATATAAACTGCTTGATGTGCTCATTCCACAGCACTATCCGGAATCGTATTGTGTTGCTATCAGGTACACGTATTCGCTCGCCCGATGGAAGTGCCTTTTCTGACTGCCTGAACCTACAGTATTTGGAAAGTCGGCGTCCCTGAAACTTGTTAAATTAGGGTGAGTGAGCGATTTGTGGGTGCTGGGGTTCATGACTACGGCATGGGTTTGTGGATTGGGAAAATGGTAATGGTGACAGTTGGCGACAGTTGTCCCATTTAACAAAGGCGAGATTATTCTGACTTCATATATTATACTCTGCGTTTATTAGCAAGCCTGTTATTCTTCACCAATTTACCAACACAACTCGGAGCCCGGACGCACATGTCTGGCGCCCGCTCGGGGTTCGCCGCGCTGATGTCTGCGCGTCATATGATCTTCCCTCTAATTATTCTCGCACTGCTTCGTTTCGAAGCTCTTTGCTAATGCGACCGAAACGTCTTCGCGGCCATTTGTTGTACTGTGGTAAGCAGCTGAATAAAATGGGCTCCCAACGAACTCGTTCTGGAAGTAGATTAATGCTTACAGAAGTGTCATATGAAGGAGCTACATTAACGAACTCGAGGCTAGCTCTTGTGAGAAAGCAAGTTGAGCGAGGGCTTGTACAAGGATCCACTGTAGAATGTGTGGATTAATCTCGTATGTTATAGACGAGTTCTTCCCGCAAGGCACCGTTTCAAGGGAAAAGCCAAGCTTAATGTTACGTTTTCAAACAAAGAATCTACCGGATTTCCCATCATCAAAAGTTGTCGAAGCACCAGGCATCTTGTCAAAAATTGCTTTCAGGAAGCACTCCACGCAGCTGTTTCGTTCCCTGCGATATGTATAAAGTACTCTTGCGATCACGTCAATGTCTCGATGTCCTCATTCACCGCCTATCAACCATGCCAGTCGTCTCCAACTCGCCAACATGGTTAACGCCACTCGTCTACTATCAGATAGATTCCTACTTATTTGGTGAGTGCAAGTGATCTAAATCCTGACGTCGGTGTTGATCAGGGATACCGATTTAGTGTCGCTGTGTGCAGTTGTCTGCTATGACTGCGGTAAATCAACGCGGCCTTTCAGTATCCACTTCTTTACTGATTTTGGTCCGTTAGCACTTTGTTTGGGAGATGAGGTGAGTCAAGCCTCAAGTCGGTATTGATATCACGTTGCATATTATAGTACGTTCTCGAGGTCGAGTTCATCTGGGTAAGTTGATACTGGCTTCAGGTGCGGCCTTATGTGATGTGTTTTTCTTACCTCGAACGGACCTACAGAAGCGCAAGGTGTCATGGTTGACCTTGGCTTATACGTTCGTGAGTACTGGTCGAATAAAGTCATTAGCCTTTCTAAAAATAGCACGTGTTTCCTAGCTTCGTTATGCTGGTGTGATAGCTACTGTGTGCGTCCCTCGTGAATTATTCCCCCTCCAACTTGCTCGAAGTCTTAACCTTGACATAGGCTCCAAATGAGTGAGCGTTACTTTCTCTTCTTTGATTATCTGATAACCGTTTGTCGCAGTTTGTAGTACTTTGCATATTCACCTTTCCGATAAAGTGAGTCAGCATCAACGTTTGTAGAGACTTAACTCACAACACTCTCTTAGAGGTTGGTAGATCGTTACAATCTTCCTTTGTTAACGCTGGGCGTCTCGCGTTCTCAATTCGTTTTCTTAGCTGTGAGCCTCGTTCACCCATTCACAGTTTTTGGCAAACGGACTCACGTGTGCTGGTACATGATGCATGAAGGTTCAGCTACTTATATTGTGAACTTCCTAATGTCAAACCTTTTGATGTTGGCTATTCAAGGTACTTCTAATGACGTTTCTACCATGCGTTCACTTTCAGGAGATTTCTCTCATATACTCTCCCTCTACCAGGCGTAATGACTGCACGTGTCTGCGCGCTCTTTGACAACAGCAAGAAGATTGCCATTCCTCTAGCAACCTTTTACGCTCTTGTGCAGTTGTTGAATATTGCGCTCGCAATTATCAATTTCATCCCGCCTTATGGTTGGACAGGTATGCAATTAGATCGGTCACTTATCAAACGATTTTAATCACATTGGCAAGATAGAAACCGAAGGAATATTTTTCGGTATCCACACGTGCATAGGCTTTGTACCCAAGTCGCCTCTTGGATGGTCACTACCAGCGATGACAGGCGCCTACATAACCTACGAGCTAGTGTTGCTGGTGATGGCGATATACCGCTCGGTGGAATATCTAAAATCATATAGCCATACGGGTTCATGGCTGAGTGGCGTCGTCAGCATCCTTCTGCGACATAATATCTTGTACTTCCTCTTGTGAGTTTACGCAGATCGATAACTTGAGAACTAAAAACTAAACTTTACAGACTGGTTGTATACCAGATACTAACTCCGATCGCTAATGATGATACACACTTGGTAGGTGGTCTCAACGGAAATTTAAGACCTGCGCTCACTTTAATGGAGACTATTGGAGAGGAGGTCGCTATAGGAAACCTTGGACTCGCCCTCCAGACCCTGCTTCCTTGCATCGGCGGCCCATGGATCATATTAGAATTGCGAAAGAACCATGTGATGCATCTGAATGGGGGTTATGGTATGACACAGGAGAGCATGACCTCCATTGCATTCGAACGAGACGCAGTCTGGGCTAGCAACAACGAGGTGGGAGGTAGTCAAGTTTACGTGGACCTACAAGTATTTGATAATCCAGCCTAACTTAAGGTGAGATTCAACTTGTTTCGTCCGCATGGACTCTACTCACAAAAGCAGCTGTTCTACTGTTGTTCGCTCATTGTTTTTGACACATCAACGGGCACAAAGTTTTCTTATGACGTCGCTTCTATCAACGACTGTATCACGGTTGTTTTATCTTTACCAAATCCTTACACCTTCATTTGGAGGCCTGTCTTTAATTATGTGAAACGTCTTGCCCTTAATTTGTATTCACGTAATATCAGGATGACCCATATATTGTACCTATATCTTCAATATTTACTCCGGCTTATGTTGTTCTCCTGTTTGGTAGAGAGCTGAGGGTTAGGGTTAGGATGGGTTATAATCCTTTGTCTTATATAGTGGACGAAAGTTCTTGTTCTAATTGTTCAAACGTTCATACCTTCGGTCATCAATTATACCGTAGCGGAGCCCGACGTGTCTCGTTCCTATATCATGGAACCTGGGGATTCGACAGGTATATTTCAAATGATTATCCCGATAACTTACACATATTCGTATTGGCCATTAGATACAGCAACATAGCTCAAAGGAAGACTCCCTTAAAGTACCTCTCCATCCCGTCAACACCCCTCACCACCGCGCCCACATACCCATCCGGACGCACAACCACCACCCTCTTCTCCCCTTCCTTCGCGCGGAACCCTGCATACGCGAACTGATCTACGTCTCTCAACACCATACTCTGCACCTCAGAGGTAGCCTCCACCTCGGCGCTGGCGGGGAGCACGACAACGGCGCGCACAACGTCCTTCCTGCTCTCCATCCCCTCGATCGCCTCGACAACGTCCCTTGCCTGGCCAACTGACGGCGCAAACACCAACACAGTGTGCCTCACCGGCTCGAGAATATCAAACATCCTATACGCCCGCCCCTCGCGATCCACCATCCCCGGTGCATCCGGCGCCCTGTCGCCCGCAACAAGCGCGCCCGCGAGCGCCTCGTCCGCCTCGCCGTACGCCGGTACCGGCGCGCGGTCCGCGGCGGGGGAGAGCTCGTCGAGCACGAGGGGAGAGGCGCGGTAGTTCACGCCGAGCATGCGCAGCTTGTCGGGGCGCTCCCAGGAGCGGTCGGAGCCCAGCGCGGCTTGGTTGAGGATCGCGGTGGTGATGTTGAGCATCTCGGCGATGATGGGGCGGCGTTCGGTTGTGTAGGTTGTGAGTAGGGAGGGCGGGGAGAGGCCTTTGAGGACGAGAGAGAGTTTCCAGGCGAGGTTGAACTGGGACGAGGAGAGGTGGGTTAGCGCTTCGTTGCATGGGGAAAGGATAGAGATCGGAGAAGACTTACGGAATCTTGGACACTGGAGTTGAGGCCTTGCCCGCCGGTAGGACTGTGGCAGCTATCAAGGGCGTCAGAATTAAGCGAGAGGAATTTCGGTTCGTAAGGTGCGAAACCTACTGTGCAGCATCGCCAGCAATAAACACTCTTCCCTCACCAAACTTGTCCGCCATACGGATGTTGGGCCTGAACTCGCCAAACCAGATGAGCTCCTTGAAGTCGAGCTTCGTCGGCACGACCTCCTGAATGAGGGCATAGATCGCCTCTTTCCCACCAGCGATCGTCGCAGAGACATCGACCTCCGCCCCGCCCATCATGAGCTGGTAACCGTCGCCGTCACTACGGGCAAACCGCAATTTCTTGCCCCCGAAAACCAGGCCAAAAAGGCCGCGAGGTGAAAGCCTTTTTCTCACGATTTTCTTCGTGAGAAATTACTTCCATTTCTTTGAATTTTCCCCTGTATTTCCCCGAGAGCAAGGATAAGCTTTTTCTTCGCCGTTTCCCGGCGGAAAAAGGAAAATGGGATTACCGTTTTAGGCCAGAGAGAAGGCAATCGAAATGATGACCCATTTATCCGCGTTGTCGCGATGAGAAAATATTGTCTGCCGTGCCGGTGGGTGGTCGGCATAGAGGTTAAACCTTTCTCACGGGTTTTTGCCCGTTAAAAATTTAAGCTCTTCAAAGCCTTTTGTCAACTGAGAAAGGTAACCATTACCCTGATCTTTTCCACCTTAACTCTCAGCAGACAAAAGGTGTGAGGTACAGGACGTCGACGGAGTCCTGGTCGAGCTAGAGCATCCCAGTGACTCAATCGTGCTTGCCAATTCATAAAAGATAGCCGTTGCTGCACCGGGTGAATAAGCCGGGCTGCCCCACTCAACGGGAGAAAACAGACGAACACGCGCAGAAAAGGTACCAAGGCGGTGCAATTTAATGTTGGAATGGTAGAGATGTCGAGTAGGTGCCGAGTACGAAATTGACGGAGATGATGTCACATGCTGAGAAGATGATGGAGATGTCAGCTGGTCCTACTAGCATTAGTAGACATTAGGACTAACTCGGCAGCAGAAATATTGATTAAGCGAGGTAGGTGCTGGGTAGGTGCTAAATCGGCAGCAGACATGCTGATCATGTCAGGTAGTTGCTGGGTAAGTGCGAAGTCAGCAGCGGAGATGACTAGTACTTGCAGTGTAAATGAGATGACGTGGCGAGTGCTGCCCGGCAGGTGCCGGCGTAGGTACCCGGTACGGGAAGCAGCTGCCAAGGACCATGTCACTCCCTGACGGTCGTGACGTCGTCCTGCGCGGGTGAAACCCCACTTCAAGCAGTCTATAATAGTCTTCGACATAACACGTGTATCCCACAGACTACACTGTACAGTTGAACCCTCCGTTAAGTTTCAATAAAACTGTACACTTGTGTGCGAGTCGTTCCCTCTGGGCAGCCGGCAGTCTGACAGCTGTCAACAGCTGTCAGTACTTAAGTCCCTGTCAACGTGAAGGGTCTGGATTTCCACCCGTGCCCGAGACCGCTCACCATCCCCGACAGCCCCCGACGCTTACTCCCACCGGTACTCCCGCCCCTCCCGCTGTCCCGAGCACAAAGTCCTGCATCGGGCTTGAAACAGACCTATTATAGTACACTATAGTACACGTATTAGTAGGCATTGAAGTACGGATGCTGAATCAAGGTAAATACAATAACAATAATACCAATAATAATATGCTATTGGACCCTCGGTCCTCTTCGCCCTCGTCGTCGCCGCCTTCCGATACCTTGAATACTGACATAACGGTGTCAAGCACCGAATCCTCCTCCTCCTCCTTGTCAACATTGACATTGGTGTCATTGATGTCGTCAAGGTCTTTAGCGCCGACGGCAACGTCGCGATCGCTCGGATCACCAGGACAAGCATGCTCTGCTACCATAGCGAAGGAGGGGAGTGGACCGGCACTGTCACCAGCCTCCTGGGTCTTGAAGACGCCAGGCTGGATGGAGCTATTAAAGCCGGGGAGGTTGGCAATCTCCTGAAGTCGTGTGGTATGCAGCTCGGCGAATATGTCGCGCTCGCGACGTAGACGAGCGATGTGGTGTGCGAGGAAGGGGTTTGTCGGGCGAGCGAGATCTTCGCATTCGCGCAAATACTTCATTTCGTCCTGTAAATACGTTGCGACACGGCGGATCCCGACACCGAGGCGAGCCACCCCCCCGCGAGCACGCAGCGTCTAGAAGTGTTCGTCCATTAGAAGCCGGCCGGCCGGAGTAGCTCATGGATGCATTGATACATTCCGCCGGCTGTCACGTAATAGATCTATCTCGGTGAGGAAGCTATACTTCACAACATCATCCCACTGAAGGGTAGGGCGCTTGATAGCTCGGGCTGCAGCATTGTAACGGTCTAGCGCCCGCCGTATAGCGGCAGGCCGAACGCCTTCTGTATAGCCTGTTGAAGACATGGGCTGTAGTGTCACAGACAAAGTGTTGACTGGGGCCCTGACCTGTCTGTGACTGGTTCATCTTCCCGAGTTCGAAGACGCGCACAACGATGAGACCTTCGAGCGCATCGAGCGCTCGTTGGTACTTCCATCGCCCTACTAGTAGGCCGCTTTCCTGCCACTGCGGAGAGTCAGGAGTCCACCGAGTGGGTACTTTGCACTACAGCCACCTTAGCTCAACCAATAAGTAAATAAAAGGGTGCACTCACAGCTCGCCACTCCTCACCATATCAGCAAATACGAGTGAGAAACCATGCCGGCATACTGACCCAAAAATCCCAGTCTCTTCGAAAACCCCCCACTTTGTTCTTCCATCGGCCCACACACGGATTATCATCGTTATTACTCTACAGAACAGAGGAGATTCGTAAGTACTGCAGTGATAATCAACAAGACATGTAAAGCACTCACCGTTGATTGATCCGTGACTATATCCTTTGCATCTCGTTCGGCCCATTTGTTTACGACCTCGCGTGAGAGGTAACGGTCGCTGTGGAGTTCGAAGGCGGTAGGGACGTCAGCGGTGTTGGGGAGAGAGTCGTCGTCGTCTTGATGTTGGCGACGATGAATGCGTTTGAGAGAGTTGTTACCGTCCATCGTGTATAGCATGGAAAAATGAAGTTCCTCTTCGTCCTCGAGTTTGTACATGCAAGCCGAGCAGGCATGCTTGAGTCTCCAGTCCGGTACGTCGCGCTGCAAGGCTCGCTGGACTCTCTGCTAGCCCTCGGACCGAATTTGAAGATAGACATCGAAAGCGACCGCCATCTGCCGCGTTAGATGGGGAGCATACGACACCTAGGATCTAAGGGTTAGCCAAACCGAACCTAGCGCTGATGTATGACTCATGACCTCACGAAGATCGCATAGCATTTTTGTGAACGCTTGGATAGAAAAGTGCGGGCATCGCAAACGGGACAGGCGGAGGAGCTCGAGGGCGTCAATACTGATGCAGACAGAGGGGGGTAATAGATGTGCAAGGCACGAGGCCATGGCGCACGAGCGTCGCACAGAAGTATTTATCGGTGGGAGCTCGCTGACGGAGACGGTGCGGGCGTCTACTCAACTAAATAGGCTAATATGAGCGGTTACATCCGTGTACGTAAACAAAGTACCACTCACCGTATACATCAACTGCTCGCACTTCTACGCACACTGGGGCACTCCCTTCCATCTGAACAGGACCCTCCGTTTGGCCTGGGCTCTCTCTCGCTCGAGGAGATTTCGTTCTGCTCGAGCTGTCTTGCACCATCCCCGCGGTGACTCAGGATCCCTCCGGTAAGACCATTCCATGTATGCATCACACATGGCTAACATTTGCTGTAGGGATGTGCGATCACGACGAAGCCCGCGATCACAACGAGTACGTTGGTCCACGCGCTTTGCTCCCCTACACATATTTCGTAAGCCTTGAAACATTCCATATTTTGGCACTTACATGATACTTCTAAGTTCATCATGAAACTGGCGTGCCAGCTCCTCGAATTCGCCTCCAGTGTGTCTGATCGTGATCTCTTCTTCACCATCTAGCACGTAGTCAAGTCCTCCGCGGTGTCGTCCACCATCGTCACATCGTCGACATCTAGATCACGAAGCAAGTGCCCTTTTTCCATCCGCGGTCATCTTCAGAAATCAAGCAGGTGAGTAAGCTTCTGGGATTTTGTAGATAGCATGCTCACCTGCATGTCGCTGCTGCCTCTGCCGCTCGAAGTCTTGGCGCCATTGTTGACAGCCTTGAGGCCCGAAGGGTTTCCCCTTTGTTGAGCCATCTTTCCCTGGAGGGGGCACTTCACCTTGATTGGTTTGAGTCGGCCAGAAGTACCCATACATACGCATTGGGATCACAGGAACACAGATCGCGTTGTGTATACTGAAGTGCTCCCCTCACGTGACGGTGTCTCGTTCGCTCATGCAGCCTGTTGGCCGTTCGCTCTTGCGACCCATTATTAGTCATGGTTACCGTTAGCGAGGCCAGTCGACCCTCCACACCAACAACTAGTAAGTCCCTGATACTTGCTGATAATGAAAGTGAACGGACACTCATAGCGTCGTAGGTGAGACCACGGCATCGCCGCCCATCACCCCTCCGGCAACGCCCATTGCCACCCGTATAAACACCACCACTAGGTCAACCACCACTACCCCGACATATACTCGGACAACCCACAAAACAGAGGAGAAGATTACCTGGTACACCACGTCTCCCCCTCCGCGATTGCCATCTATTAGAGCAAGCTTTGCGTCATCTATTTCCTCGTCAACACCGCCCTGCACACCAACCCCCTCTCGACGATCGCTCCTATCAGAACCTGAGCAGCGTTTGAAGGGGGAAGCGACGATCAAAGTCGACTCACGCGTCTATCGCGAGAGGCTCGGCCCCAATGATCCGCCGAGCACCGGCCCAATCCCTCACCCAGACGATTTGATGGAGGCTCAGGACAACGAGCACATCCAAGGCTACTATGTAGTCTTCAAGGGTCAACAGGTTGGGATTTTTTATCTGTGGTGCGTCTCCTCTTGTCTGCCTACTTTGCCGCACGACTGATGCAACAGTCAGGTCGGATGCGGATGCACGAGTCACCGGAATCCGTTATGGTTCGCAGCACGGCTTCCCCACCTTCGACGCTGCCAAAAAGCAGTATCGCCATCACTGGAATCTCGGCACACTTCGCGCGTGGCCTCGGGCTGGGGGTCCGTTTTGCCCACGTCGTCAATCCGAACGTGAGTCCCCCTCGCCCATTGAAGGAGATGAACATTGGCGCGGCGAGGATGACATCGCCCATTTATTGCAGTTTTTGAACCTTCAAGATAATCAGGAGGTCGAGGGTGGCGAATGAGGTGTTTAACAGGGGTAGTTCTATAGCACTGTATCTCTCTCTGAATGCATATAAATTACCCACCGCTCCGATATGACGAAGTTTACACGAGTGTTGGTAATGGCGAGATTTGTAACAGAGGCTACATCACAACCTCAACACACTGACTAACTTGTGCTCAAGCGAACACGTATGTTTAATCTGTGAAGACGTTCACATGGTAGTCTGTATGTCCCTTGGATGATACTTAGAACTCTAGAGCCTGGTGCGTGAACATGAGTTTGGTTCGGACCACATTGGGCGCGATCCAGACCCTTCACAGACGTTGATAGCAGGGGCTGACAGCTGTTGACGCCGGCCAGACAGAGGGGACAAGTGTACAGTTTTATTAAACTCTAACGGAGGAAGCTGGAGGATAGTCTAGGAGCCGGCTATGGTCTGTGGGATACACGTGTTATGTCGTAGACTATAGACTGCTTGATGTGGGAGTGACAGGTGGCCAAGGAATTGCTTCAGCATCCATCAACATTAATGGCAGTAGATAAGGATTGTAGACTCTGGCCGGAGCAATTCTGGAATAGATGTCTTGACGAGGGATGCCGGCACCGAGGGGGCGGAGAGGGCGGGCACGAGCTAACGACTCGAAGCCGAGATTAACTTGCATGATACCAAGAATATTACCATAGGGCCCTAGCGATGAGCGCTAAGTGCTGAGCTTCTACTGTTTAAGCAAAGCTCCGACTACTGTTTCGTCTCAAATATCCTCTATTGCTTTGGGGACTTGCAGGCGAACACTTGATTTGATGTGCCCCGCCTAGTGCTGCCGATCCGCGAATTTGATCAATTTGAGGGCGCGATGGGTCCATCTTTACCTTCGCCACACCAGATAACTAACGCACTCTACGAGCTGGTCATGGAAAGAGGGGGGCCTTTCGCCTTTGACATCTCGCAGCGGTCTCTAGTGACGAAGAGCATCGAGGACATTGATGCCGAACTAGTCATGCTCACCAAGTATGCAATCGCCCTCTGTAATCGCCGCAACTCACTCGTCGCCATCTCGAAACTCCCTTCAGAGATCCTAGCGGCGGTATTTCAAGCATTCTCTGACGCCTCACATGGTCCCGCCCGCCACTCTCCGCTCCACCTCTGCAGCATTTCATGCCTCTCGTGGATTAGCGTCACCCACGTGTGTCGATTCTGGCGCTTAGTAGCGCTGGACCATTCGACGCTGTGGAGCCAGCTCCCCTGCTTTCATCGACGGTGGACAGTTGAGTTCCTGGCACGGGCGAAGAGCGCGCCGCTTGTCATACAGGCAGCTGCGAGTGCAAGTTCAAATGTCCTTTGGGGCCCATCCGAGAGCGTGAAGACTGCCCTCACGCACATTGCCCAAACGCGTGAACTCACGCTCATGGTACCATCTAAGAAGCTTCTGCAACAGCTGCTGGGTGGCGTCTGCGATGCAGCACCGACACTTGAGTCGTTGCTTCTGAAGTCATCACACAGTGGCTTCCACGACATGCCGAATGACGCCTACCACGTCCCTACACAGCTTTTCCTAGGCGCAGCACCTCGTCTTCGAAGGCTTAGCCTGTACAATTGCAACATTGAGTGGAGATCACCCTTACTCGCAAACCTCACGCACCTCTGCATTTCCGATATCGCCCCTGCCCTGCGTCCGAGCGGCAATTCTCTGGCCGAGACACTCTCTCGCATGCGGGCGCTCGAAGATCTCATCCTCGAAGATTTTCTGGCTCAGGCCTCACCCCCTACATCACCATTTCCAAATCACACCCGCACAACGCCAGTGGAACTCGTCCAGCTATCACGTCTGCACATCGGTGGCAGTGTCACTGATGCCTCCGCCGTATTCTCTATCATCCGCCTCACCAGGCCACTCCAGCGTCTAGGTCTACACTGCAAGCACGTCAACACCCCCAAACAAGACTTCGCCGCACTGCGGCCCATCATCGCTGCCCTAAATCACAAGGCCCACCCCTCTGGCCACTCCCAGTCACACTTACAGACAAACCCAACGCCTCAGTACTCCCACAGCCCATCCAGCCTCTACTTCGGCAGTACTTCGCAGCACAGCGCCCGTTTCATCTACACAAGCTGGTGCGGCTCCGATCCCGACTTTAGGTTGCCTTACTCCTTCAATACCACATCCGACACCACATGCGTCCCCACCCTTCCCACTCTCACCAACGACAGTGTCATACTACGCCTCTCGTACGAGTCCCTGCCTGAGACTGCCACCGAGGTCATTGCCGCGGCCGCAGACGCGCTGGACCTGGGTGCAGTAGCAGACGCCGAGCTTTGTGGCAGCGCGTTGCCCAGCCCGTGCTACGAGCTGCTCCTGACACGTCTGCGGACACTAGAGACCCTCCGCGCGTCCCATCTGGACGCGGACATTCTCACGGCGTCCCTCCTGCCCCGAGTCGTTGACTATGCCACTGATGGTGAGGACGGCAGTAACGATAACACCATCGCCATAGCCGCGCCATCTTTGCGCAAACTTACCCTCTCCCGTGTGTACTTCGGGGCAGACTTTGGTCTGAATATAGGTGACATGCCCGCGTTCGCTGCGTGCATCTCGCATCGTCGACAGTACAGCTCCCTGCTTGACAAGCTGGAACTGCGAAAGTGCTGGAACTTTGCGGTATACGACTGGGCGTCGCTCAAAGGACTTGTCATCGACCTCGACTGGGACCGCATCGAGCGATGGGAAGAAGAAGTAACGGTCATATCAAATAGCTCAGGAGAATGAAAAGCTGTTCGTTAGAAGCTCCAGATTCTTATTGAGACAGCTATTGCTCGTGATTCGAACGAAAACCCAGAGAGCTTTGACTGCCCCTTGCCTTGAGGCCCCCTTTGAGGCCTGGGAGAGGGTATCGAAGATAGCGCGATCTTCAGAAGACGTTCTAGGCACAAGAAGCATATGCTGAAGGGTCCAACCACTGGGATATACAAGTAGAACTTCAGTCCACCGTGTTCGGTAGATGCACGTCGAACCGATCGAGGAGCTAGAGGGCGGCAGTAACAGCGCCTCCTATTGTCCTTCACCTTAAGACATTGCTGCTATCTCGCCGTGTGCCCAAGTCCGACAATAAATCAATAAGCAACCTTTGGCCAAAACTATGACTTGCTGGGCCTCACTGGTAGCATGATCAGATAAGTGAAATTCTCGAACGAATTATGCTCGATTATAAGATCCTAAGGTGGCTTACTATAGAATAGAATTCACGATAAGTCTCCTTCGAATCTTATGAAGATTTCTAATCCGTAGCTCGTATCAAATACGACATATGTGACCGGGGAATCATGTATATCGATTATTATGTGCCGAATCGTGCGAGGTGTTCCGCCCGCACACTAGTAGCCTCCCTCACTGGACTACTGGACTACAATTAGACCCCAGCTTATTTAGACCTTCACCTTGAATCTATGAATGAATCGGGGTGTCATAAACGCGATGATAATGATGAATTCCGCGCTTTTAATGCAAGTCGAGCGCAGCTGCTGTGGCCAGAATGTTACGAAACTCTCCGATAACAAGATGATACTCATACTTAACAACGAAGAACAGCAGTTTTAGTTCGACACAAGGAAGATTAGAACCTACGTCCTAGGATCAGTGTGTCCTGGGCATCACAGCAGGAGCTTCGCTCCGTTGAGCTAAGATTGTAATAACTAGATACCGCATGCGATATAAGTAGTGGACTATAGGGGCTCTGTCTGTTTTAGAGTAAGCACCGCCATAGCTGCTAGATCCGGATCCGCGAGCTTTGCGCTCGTCCCCATGCCTTCTACACCATCCCGACTGGCTCGCTTCGAGGCTTCTGCCTATAGGCCCCCTTCCTCAGCGAGAATCCCCGCTAGCCATGCCGAAGAAAAATACACCCGCTCCAAGAAAGCTTTAGAAGACCCTCCTTCCGAGTCTAGAAAACCCGAGGTTGATGGCGACTCAGACGTCCTGGTAAACCAAGAGGTAAAAAACGATCTCTACCAGTCATTTACCCGCTTATTAATAAAATTCAATACCGTCATAGCTTATAAATAACTTTATCAGAACCCATGACCTCTTTCTCAAATCTCTTGCTGAGCCAGGGCCGGCGAGGCCTGACGACTCTAAGTCAAAAAAAGTCGATGTCGATTCGGCGATCGACGCCAAAGCCAAATTCGGAGACGCAAAGTACGCAGGAGCTAGAGCTGTTCTTGAAGAAGCCAATACCCCGTCTGAGGGTGTCCAAGTCGATCACAAGGCTACGACTTACGTGCAAGGCGTACAACCTGCGCCTGCGAAGAAAGATGACAAGGTGAGTTACTCTTCAAGCCGTCTTCAATCCTCATATATATATCCCGTATATTTCAGGTGCCCCGCAAACATTTTCAAGCCATCGTAACCTGTGCGGTATGTCTGGATGAAATGCGGAGGCCATGGACGTATGTCCGTATCATTTAAATGCCAAACTAATACTGATGATCCGTCAGCTTCAGTTGTGGCCATACGTTCTGTCTCTATTGCATTCGTAGGCTGGCAAAAAGAGCCGTTCAGCGGTACTACAAGGAACAGAATCTTCCTATTCCTGATCATGTGCCTTCTCAGACCGTGCTTGATCTTTTAGAGGGTGGCCTGCTTAAGCTAAAATGCCCTCTATGCAGGAGACGCATTACTAGAAGCCCTGTTCGTAACGTACTCGCTGCCGAGGTGCTTGATGCTCTTGAAAGCCTTGATACCTTGTTTTTCTTCTGAATCAAAACGCTCTTTTTGTCAGTTTATGGATACTGGAAGAGGCTTGACCGTAGAATGGATCGTGAATTGTCTACTGCTGTATGGCATATGGAGAGATGAGGTCGTCTGGAAACGGGACAACGGAATTAGCGCCGTCGGCTGGCAATATTTAGACCTATACATCCGGATAACAAGAGTGCGGGAAGCTAGTCAGCCACGACCATTCAAACGAAGGCCAAACTTCTTACTTGAGACACCGCATTCTTGATAATGAGAGGAACCATCTGCTCATCGTCATGGTTCTCATCCTCCCCACTTTCCCCCGCGCTGCCATCTCAGGCGACGTCGCCCGTCTATCACTCATCAGCGGCTCACGGCTGGCTAGGTCAATTCAGTGCGTGGTCTCTAGAGCATAAGACGGTGTTGCAAGTCAGGATTGTATTGTACATCTTCTGATCAGTAGTAAGTAAGAGTCAGTGTCAGAACATTCGCTCTCGCCACGACTGCTCTACTCATGTTTGGTAACCATGTACCCCATGTCTTTTTCGGAGAGATGGAACGACGAAGTACTGGTCGTTCATAGGTCTAGGAGGGTTGGATGACACTGAAGTCCCGTAAGAGCTTGTTGTTACGGACAATCTCAAGCCCTATCGGCAGTGGCCAAAAATACTGAACTCTTCATGTGCTATAACTGTGTTGCGCCTGAGGAGTATGGTCATGATATTAAGAGCTTGATAATTCGGGAAATAATGTCATACGAACTCATAGTAGTCTTGTTGTTACTCTTAAGCAGCGCCATGCCTTCGAAAAGAAGATGTCGCAGGCCTTCAATAAGGCATCACCTAAAATAAATGGACGAGCGTCTCGAGCTGTAGTCAGTCACCTAAATTTGTCGGTCTGGGAATTCTTGTCTGCATCGCAGGTACGATGAACAACCACAGTACTTGCAGTCGTGGCCGAGTTGCATACTGGACTCTATTGTGAAGCCGGACAAGGTGTGGCCCAAGAGGGTTATGTTTTGGTCACTGCTAGGATGAGTGCCATCGTTTGTGAATCGGAGGTATCACCAAGGGCGTAGAGGGTGGGGAATAACACCGTTATTCATTGAAACCATGTGGAAGAGAAGCAGCGGAGGGTTCGTCGAGTCGATGACTCGAAACGCCTCACTTGTTGTCGCTGAGCGCTGTTGAAGGGTGGAACGGTAATAGGAATTTGGCTAATCGCAGATGAGATCTTCGCATTGTGTCGTAGAAACGACCACATACTTGATCATGTACTTCCCCCTGGCAGTAGAGCCATCTGCAAGGGCTTCTCTGCAGAGAAGTGAGGTGTCTTCATGTTGTCCCCGTCAATGTACCCGTTCTGTATCAACGAGAGATCATCGCTCTTCTAGCAAGCCTGAATAATCTAGTGAGTCTAGAGCAAATAACTACAACTGGGGAGAAGCGGTCAAGCTAACCCCTTTCAAATGTTTACAATCCTACCATAACTCCTTGTACTTGAACCGATGATCAGTCAAATGCTCGGGCCTAAAGGCAAAGGTGGTGTTAGCTGCTATTACAGCCTGGCCTGTTGCTGGCAGACCAACGAGACGCCGGCCGTGCTTGATGAAACCGATGGCAGAGTAGTTGTATAGGTGCTCTCCAATTTCTCAGTGAGATGATGGCTTACCCTTGACGAACGAGATGCAGATATTTGTCACACCTTCAAACCGTTCAACATCGCCAAAAGGTACGTACTGAGAATTCCCGCAGGCGGTCACTGCGGTGGATAATGCGGAGGTTCGAAAGCATACCTACCAGAGTTTGCGGTCTCCAAATACACGCAAACGCATGTGATAGGGAAAGAAAAGAATCATGCATTCACGTGTAAGAGAAAATGTGTGAATGGTCCAGGGTTTGCACGCGAGATTAACGAGGATGAGACGAACTTAAACGGCGCGGTAATTACAACGATGCCATGTGAAAGGCATAGTTGAAAACTGGCAAAAAAGCGCTTTTCCCATTTTAGCGGTGGGCGTAGGATCTGGAGGATAGGATCGTGCGCTTGCTTCGTCCTTATTGGGCCATATTTTTAGAATCACTTTAATTTTGGAGGTTATTTTTATATAGGGAGTTGAAAGGGGTGGCACACTGCCAGGACCAGTGATGGTGGGTCGACAAGCTTGGCTGGCCCGGTGTCGATGTCGGTTGGACTGAGCGGTGGTGAACTACAGGCGAGCCTCAGCTTCATGCTCCCGGCACGATTGACGGGACCAAATATCTATGTACATGGTGTCATCGATATCGGTAATGGAACGCGAAGAAGGGGGGAACGCACCCGTGCAGCCTCGCCAAATGGAGAGTCTACGCAAAGCAAGTTTTGTCAGCTCCGAGTACAACTCCGAGTATAACGGTATCAGTTTTTGTACGTGCCCCAGCCGAGCACAAGCGAGAACACAGACACAACAATGTAGAACATTGTGAGTCCATCATCTACCAGCCCTAATAGAGGTGAGAGAGAAAACCCGGCGGGCATCCGATAGAAGATGGCGCTGATCATGGCATCAGTGCGATCGTCCGACCGCTTTTAGTGACAAATAACGCAAACTAGCGATAGTAGCAAAGGTGCTTCTCGTGTCATGCTAGATGAACAATCGTGGACGACGATTACGAATCACTTCATGGAGATCTCGATGATCTCGTTCTTGTACAGGTTAAACTACTGGAGGGATCAATCGATCATGTGTTAGCTCCAGTAGATCTCATGCTTGCTTGTGCCAACTCACCGTCAATAACAGCATAAACTCCAACCATCTCGGAAACGGTCTGCATTTTCGCTAGTGAGATTATGTCAGTTTTCCGGCACGAGCGTACAACATGAGCGTACAACAAATGATGCGTGCGATTGGCATCGCGATGGCTTTGCTTTTCAGGTCAGGATCCACTCCCTTAACACTGAGAAAATCTGTATTGGTACTCAAGAGACGTGCATAAGTGATGAATCAGAGCGCAAGAAACGTACATTGACAAATCTGTTAAGTTCGATGTCAAAGCAGCCTAAGCTTGTGATTTCTGAGCATCTGTGCCATACACCGTGATGGAAAGCGTCTCCGATCCAGTACTAGAACAAACACGTTCTCCGCATTGAGGGGCGCAACAGCAGATACCGACATCGCAGATATCTTGTTTGAGATATTACTCGACTCGGGCGGGTGATTGATGGATAGGATGAATAACATTGATCGGTGCAGCCTCTAGAATGATAAAACATCGTTAATGAGATATTGTGAGAGAGGTGGGCACGCTGTGTACCTCAACGATAAGCGACAATAAATCCCTATCCGATGGCGAGCCCTGCGACGTCACTGTGACTCTCAAATTTCAGTCCATCTCTCCATCGTGTTGATCTACTTAGATGAAGCATGTTCCCGATCTGTCCAATGTGTATGGGAGCACCATGTCCGCTGATGCGCGCTGGGCCGTCTCGATCACGACTGAATCCTCGGCGCGGGGCGTGGACGAGAACATCAAGTGCGTGTACAGGCTCGCTTTGACCTCACTGAGTGCCGATGACCTAGCGTCATCGCCGTCCAGGGCGGCACCGTTGTTGCAACGGTTGAGGACGAAAGTTTCATTCCCTGAGTTTGGCATTTGCGGTCGCGGAGGTTGGGTTTGCCCATGGTGAAGCAGAGGATCGATGAAGGGAGGGTGGTATAGGTAAAGGTGACACCTATGGATTACAAAACCCGCTAAGTATGGGTGAAGAGACTTCAGGATGAAGGAAGGAAGAACAAACGTTCCAACCTGAGCGCAAGGATGAATTATGAGACGGCGATGAGAAGGAAGCCCCGGCACGAACATGGCGATGTTGTACTTCTGGTTTGGTACAGTGCTCGGTACCAAGCTCCTCTTCAATCGCCTGCATAGAATGGATGTAAGCAATCTCCGTTGTCCCGGGAGACCATACATCCTCACCTGGTAAACGAATGTAAGGCTTGCCATCCATTCCAAACCTGCTTGGACTCTGGACCATATGCGCTCAGAAATCACCTCTCCAAGCTCAGAACAAGCAGACTCACACCCGAGTGCGACAATACCTGCTTCTGTGCCCCCATCGCCCAATCATCGCCTCTGACTCTCCATCCCATCCTATCCTCGTTCTCATCCCATCTCGGTCCTGAGCATCGCGCTCATGCAAGGTGGCCTTTCCTCTGGTTCATTTCCATCAAGGCTCCTCCGCTTCCCCTTGATCCGTATTGGGATGCAAAGTTCCATTGTGCGTTCAGTCATAAGCGGTCACCTTGGGTGCTGCGTGCAGTTAGGGCGGCCGAGGATCGGTGCGTGAGGAGAATGTGTACATAATTAACGGTAGGTGACCAAAGGGAGCGGTCGCTGACAATCAGAATAGATGGCGGAGATGGGGTAGCTGCTGCAGCTGAACGGAGACTCGGGACCAACGAAGGCAGAATAGGGGTAAGTGCTTGGCGCGCGCTCGGTAACTACCGCCGGCGCCAGCCTGGCATAATGTACCTTCGCTGGTAGCGTGTGCATGATTCGTATATGATGGCGAGGGCTTAAGTCATCTACGTGCAGGCAGAAGAAGTTATCATTAGAGTATCTTCCCAGCTACTTTATTTTCAACTCGACATAATATGAACCTAAGGATTTACCAAGGGAAACCCTTTACAAGTTCAAGCATTTTCTTTGGCAAAGGAATGCCAAAGACCCGAAGAACGCGGTCATCCGTTTGCACACTGTCGGGCTCGAGCCTGCCTGCACTATAACCGTGCTTCCGGTGGTACGAAACGTTATTTCCATCACTGTTGTCTTCAATAATCTCTGTGGGCTGAGGTCCCAAAGGCCTGGTAGCGACGGAATGATGAGAAAGGCGCTGTCCTGTAAGGAAAGTGGTAGTTACCTATGGGATGTAAGGCGATTGTTCCGCCCAGTACAGTCTCGTCTAACGGATGCTGCTGTAGGTCCCTGGATCTTGCGCCGGAGATCAGGTACATCCATGGGTCGTCGAGAGATCTACAGCGCTGCATCAGCCTACCAATACTAAAGGATTTCACAAAGGGAAACTCCCACCGCAAGCGTCCGCCCATGCCACGACAACCCGTTCAATCCTACTGCTCTGTCTGCGTAACATGCTTTAGTAAAGCGAATCTCCGCGTATTGTTCGACGCGGTAACCCTCGTAGTACTCGGGGTGGACCCTAAACTTAGGCATGAGAAGGCCTCCGATGCACACAATGCTTAGGTATTTAATAGTTCCGCAGGGATTGAACAACTGCCAGAGATCCCCTTCCGTAGTGCCCGGGACAAACTGTAGTACGTGTATATAGTCAAGCTAAGGTGGACGACCAGGAGATGACTCACATTTCCAACGAAAACGTTTCTCTGAGCCAACAATTTCTTGGTCTTGGCTTTTGTCTTGGCCGCTTCTAGTATGTGAGCCTTGTAACGGGCTTCAATGAGCCTTTGACGATGCTTTCTCTCGCTGACGTTGAGCCGTTTGCGAGGAGATCCCCCCGTTGTGAAGCTGACATCGGATATGGTATCAGGTCCCTTGAATTTCCCAAATGCGTGTCGGTCATAATGAACATAGATAAAACAAAGATGCGGTACTAACCAGGTTAAGAGCCCGTCTTCTGTTAGCCTTGTAGGTAAAGGGCATCCTCGTTTGTGTAACTTCGCAGGTTGACGCTGAGGTCATGCGACTGAGGGAAGAGCGTGAGCTCAAGGAAGGACATCGGTATCGGCCCATGAGGTAGCAGATAATGTGAGGGAACAAGCCAGAGGGAAGCCCGGAAAGACGACGAAAAAAAAACAAGGATTATAAGTGCGACCGAGAAACGATCCAGGCCCGACAAAAAGATCAGACGGATGCGGTCGCGTCAGCATCACGAAATGATACCTACGTTAATAACAATCTTTTCGGAGTAATAAGTTCAGCAGCAGAGAAGCTACAGCGTACTAGAAGTTCATAAAAACAAACTCATAACGAAAAGTAGACCCTCAAATGGCCACGAGCGAAAGTATCAATAATCAAGTCCATTCATTTACGCGCCCACAAGCGATCTAATTTAGGTGCTTGTAGCTTCCCTAATTTATTCTTACCTTACGCGTATGGTGCAGCCACTGCCGCCACTTCGCGTCTGATCTAGATCTGGAGCAACAGGGTTTACCCTTTTCGGGAGGATTTACCTAACTTCGCACGCTCCCACAGGATCGTCGAGCGGTCTCCAAAAATTTCATGTCTTGAATCTCATCTAACGCCATGTCTCAATCATCCACAACCGACTTAGAATTAGGATACCAGAAGGACCATTCTCTCTATTTCTTTGACGGCAACATTGTCATCGCCGCCGCTATACCGGACGAGGAATGTCTTCTCTTTCGTGTGCACAAATCGGTGCTTGCAATGCATTCCCCAATTTTCGCCATCATGTTCACTTTACCTGCCCCGCCGACCGAGTCCACGGATCCTGACAGCATATTCGAAGGCGTACCCCTCTTGAGAATGTACGATGAAGCAAACGATGTCCGTGATCTGCTAAGGTTCTTTTACCACTCAACGTAAGTGCCCGCTTCATTAATCTGAATTTATATTAACTGGCGTTAGCAGAACATACATGCTTATACGTTATGATCCCGAAACACCAAGGAAGGTTGGAGGCCTCCTGCGCCTGGCAAAAAAGTACCAAATCAACACTTTGTGGGATATGGTAGTCGGCCAACTGCAGAAGGACTGGCCACAGACCCTACCAGAATGGGAGCGCCTTGAAGGCGAGGTTGACCTTTGGCAACGACGTCGCGACGAAGAAAACTGGTCCCCCCTCCCCTGCAGCGACCACGTTTTCCCGGAGCCCGGCTCAGCAATACAACTGGCGCGCGAATTCGACCTTCATAGAATTTTACCATCAATGTTTTACCACCTCTCCCGCCTCGACATCTCCTGCGACCTTGCACAGATGGACGACCACCCAGTTCGAGAACGCATTGATGACGCCCGGTCACTTGGAGACCGCACCGCAAACTGGTCTTTCTTGACCCTCCAGGACCTCAAATGTCTGTTGCACGGACGAGAGGGCATCCGCCAGTTCATCGAGGATGAATCTCACCGGCTCAATATGCCGCCCAATTGCCGCAACTCCAACCCCAAATGCGACAGGACAACTTTCGACATAAAGGTACGAATGCTAGCTCACTCGACCGACGTCTTGAGAGATCTGAGAGCGCTCTCGGATGGAGATCAAGATGGGAATGGAATCGGGATGTGCAAAGCCTGTCGCAGCACGGTAAAAGCGATATCTAATAATCTGCGTTTGGAGATATGGGAAGGTCTTCCAGAAAATTTCAAACTTCCAGCTGTTTCCGACGATGACGAGGACGAAGCGTAGATTGGTATTTTCTAAAATTTAGCGCTGTAACCAACGATATACCTTTACTCAAAAATCGAACGCAGTATCATTCTTATTGGCATCAGATTAGAGTTTGCGATTGATCAAACCCCAATGTTATAAAAGTTCTAGCGGTAACGACTCGACAAGCGCTTGTAAGCAACAAAGAAGAGAAGTAGCATAAGATAATATTAACCTAAGATTGGGGAAGGCGGCCGAAAAGTATACCATCGCCTAGGCTCGAAGATCGAAGCCGAATGACATAGCCCTCGGATGAAGCACGTGGGGAAGGGCTGGTGGGACGTGTATGGGCGTCGTTAAGGATTTAACGAGGTTGTGTATGCTACAGAACATATCAAAGTATGTGAAGACTATGACATAAAAGGTTCGTGACTATCAAATGCACTGTGATATTATACTCACATTTTCATTCGCCCGATCAACAACTTCCCGAGGCCAGTGAAAACTCCGCGAGGAGCTCAATTGAGGCTTTCCGAAGTTGATATCGGGAATCTGCTGGTTGGGGGTATAACACGCATTATTACGGGTCATTACAAATCTTCACCAGCAGGTATCTCTTCGCTTCTCAGCACACAGAGCCATGCGAGTCCGCATTCTCCGCCCCTGCATTCCATGTCAGAACCAGCGCAAGCAGGAAGAGAAACGGGAACACCTACAGTCCTGAGCGCCCGAGCCTTTATGTACTCTCGTGCCCTCCCCATATTCCTGTCCCGCTCTTGCTCGTCTCGTCTCCTTCCCGCTGCATCTTCCCTTTGACTCTCATCACGGGAGCCAGAATAATACCCTGGCGGGCCAGAATTGGCGATTTTGCACCAAGTCTCCTCAGCCGGGAGATCGACCCCGGCAACAACCATGAGCTCAACAACGACGAATCGGATCGGGTGCATCGGCGATACTACAACGCCTTTCTTTGACACGCGCGATGTACTGTAGAATAGAAAGAGAAAGGATGAGTCGATGCGGGAAGATGAGCGGCAAGAGGGCTGAGATGTAGTGAGATTATAGCTTGGATGAAAGGATCTAAGGCCGTACTGAGGCGTTCAGAGGATGGAGATCTACAAGTTCGCGGAGACTTCCAATGTTGAAGCTCGGAGGAAACGCATTATAGTGCATCGATGTCGGTCCAAAGTCTTGATCAACTCGCGAAGGAGTGGTATGGGATAGGACCTGAGCAAGGCTTGAAGTTACCAGTGATGCCCACGTCGCGACGTACGGACTTAGCCGAAGACCCTGGGTCTGAGAACGCATTCGACCAATTAATAGCCATGGTCATGCATTCATATTCATGATTGCTTTAAATTTATACCTCATTCTGAACCTTTAATGAGATTGTCGAGGGAGAGCTTTCAGACGATGAGCTTCTCGAGGAACTGGGAATGGGCCGGGAGCCGCAGTGGATCCAGAAATATTCAGCTTACGTACTCAATGAATGCACAAGGCCGGTCGGACCAAATCGAGCGTGGAAACTGTTCTCCCGAAAGAGGGGGGTTTAGAGTGAAGCTGTCGCACTTAAAGCCAACGTCGACATACTGTACCAGTCCATCCCAGTTGGGATGGTGAAGCTTAAGGCTGACACTGTTGTGTGTATCATCATAATACGCTCGCCCCCTTCATATACCTGACATAAAGGACCAAGCCCTTCTAGCTCAACTACGTCCCTGTGGCGAATAGTACGGCGACGAAATCACTGACTTTCATCGACATTTACCTTGGACGCGATGAACAATTCCTACCGCCTGCCTCTACCACCGAAGTTACAACTCTTGCGCGGCTCTTCGCCTATCCTGAGGCGGGAAACCGCCTCGCATTCATCCTTGGAGACCCTTGGACGAAGACCCGACCCGACACGGACAAGAAAACAATTGTGCATGCACACCTCCTCCCAGCCGGGTCGACCGGCGTCCGCGAGCCCATCGTGAATACGTTCCGCTTCTAGGTCCAATGGCTCTTCCAGCGCCGTTGTCGCATCCATTCTGGTAACACGTCTACCCTAGCTAGCCTGGGGACCGCTTCTTGAGGATGAGCAAGGGAGGGGAGGCCAAGCAGGTTGGCCGATCCCTATGCTTCACAGCTTCAGTCACGCATTCCAGGTTTATGCGACTCTGAGCAGGGTGGTTCTGTGGGGCAAATTTCACCAGTGCGTACTCCTTCGCTCCCCATATATGCGTTCAACATAGCGGATGACAAATTCTGCAGTACGGAACGCATCCTCACCGTGGCATTTTTTGGTCCTGGGAACTCTCCAAGCTCGCCCCCATGCGTTCCTTACCCATCGCCCCTCTTTCATTATCCTCTATCAACGCGTTTTGGTACAAGCAAGATCAATGACGACCTTCGCGGCGTTCGCATGCCGTTAGTCTTAACAGGCTTTCTGACTCAATTGCCTGCGCACTCCGTGTCAGCTTCGCTAACTCGTGTTTCCAGAAGGACCTTCTCAACCTCTTCTAGCCTTCGGAAGTAAAACATCCCCCCGATTTTACCAAGTGCTGGTGTTCGGACGTGGGATGGGTGTGTCGGAACCTGTGGTTCGCCAAGACAGCTGCTGACACATCAAATTAAAACGACCGAGGTATGTCTGCTGTAATACATATTCATGAACTTCTTCTTCATGCACTCGACGTTGTAGTAACACACCTCTACCCCCGGACTCGATTTCAAGGCCGACACCGGCGTTACTTGGGTTTCCCATCCATCATGCTCGTGCAATCTTTAATCACCGAGCGCGCCGAGGTTTTTGTGTACGATCCTCAAATACTTTGCAAAAAGCAAATCATTGGATGTATTTGTACATCGCCTGCGACGCCCAAGCAGGAGTATAAGCCTGTCTGGTTCGATGTTCTCACATCAATAAGAGCGGTTCGTAGGGCTTTATTTAAGCTTGACGTGTATTCATCGAAGCGTCTGGTCACCTACCTCCCACTAGCTTCATCCGGGCAAGACAAGCTGTTCAAAGAACATCAGACCGTGCGGATGGAGCACGGAGGGCTTCAATGTTGGTTGAGGATGTCATGACTGCGATTTTGCTTTTGGATGGGTTACAGTAATGATAAACTTTAAGCACTTTACTCTACTATCAACGCTCGCTATACTACCCGTCTTGGACTTGTAACTCCAACCCCTCGTCTCGATTTTGTGACATCCTCGCTAGAATCGCACAACGCAGTAATGACCCATCACGGCTAATAGGTGGTCAATCTTGCTACCTGTCGTTCAATAGAGAGGTAATACAATAAGGATATACACAACTTAGGTAGTGAACGCGTTGACCCGTGCAGTTCCAAGAACACCGTGGCTTGGAGATTTATGTTTACTTGTTCTTGGTGTTTCTCCTAAGTCTTGATTACATTCCTCACGAGACCGCGCACAGTCTTGTCCAATCAGGTTTCGCTTACGAGGAGTTTTCAATCACAATATACAGGGCATAGGAAGCGTTTCGTCAGTATTACGACCAGCGGCTAGTTGAATTTACAGTATGCTGTGGCTATATGGTTTGCAGTGACACGGCATTATCATCTATTGTACAGGTGCCTCCGAGTCGGAGGTACGTATAGTACGCCTTCGTTTTATCAAGGGCGATTTGTCTCAGTTGCCACGTTCCGACTTCAAGTTGAGATGATCATGAGCGAAACGCATAGTAAGTATTATCGAGAGCCACGACTACAAATTAGATGAGCCTCGACCTCGTCCAAATTGCCGTTCAGTGACTTATTTCAAGTCCCTCAACAAGCTATACAGTCCAAAAACTGTTTAGGGCGGCCAAGGAAATATGATATGGCTCTTTGGAGAGTCCGACCTAGTCAGGGTCGGGAATACTAGTCGAGCCGTGCGACGTGCGTGTCCAGCCTATATTAGAAGCGTACTTCACTCAACCATATACCATCATCAACATACTGCCACAACCATCTGAATGCGCATCATCCTCTAGCATCATCTCCAATTATAACTTGGTGCTGATGGAAAACTCTTTGCCTGCGTCTCCTGGCCATGCAGACGCACTATTCCTTAGTGAAGAGGATACTTCAATCCCTGCCTTTGATGGCGACTATCATCACCCGTCCCGGCTGCCCACCGACCTACGCCCGGATTCAACTATTCAGACCTGGCATCCAATGTGCCGAGCATCAACAACATATATGACGAATAAACTAAAAGATGCTGAAAAGCGGGTGGATGAAATCAATGAGATTGCCAGCCGTTGCGATGATAAACTTAAGTTTCAAGCCCACAACATCCGGAAACTCGTTTCGCAAGGGGTACGTCAGGCACTCTGGCAACTTACCTTCGTCACTGAGTCTTATGGCTTAGGCTGGTCATACCGCAGCCTTGGCTACTTGGGACGGAGCCCTGAAACAAGTAGAATACCAAGTGGACAGTGTTCGTCAAGCCTTGAGTTCGAATGCTGAGAAACAGACAGGTAAACGTTCATGGATATTCCCACTCCATGGAACTCAGCGATGATTTAGCATCTTCAAAAGACATTGAACTACGACTAGCAGACATCGTGGAACGCCAATCTGTCGATTCCGGAGCCAAAGACGGCAGACTTGCTCAGGCGGAAGCAGCTTTAACTTGTTTGAAGAAAGAACAAGCTGGTCTTAGGTCACAGTTCAATACTCTTTCCAACACGTTGCAACACGTGGAGAATTGTTTGCACTCATTGAAGGAGCAGATGTGCACGGCTTCAACTCTTGAAGAAACTATGACAGATTTGCAGAGCAAATTTTCCTCATTCACAATCGAGGTCGACGAATTGCGAGAGCTCATCGCAGAAGTGACCCTCAACGTTCATCAACCTTCCACCCTCGATAGCGAGCTAGAGACTTCTAAGTCCCGGCAAGGTTCAACTGGAGGCCCCTCAACTGTACGCACGGAGGACTCTACGATATCGCCATTACTCAGGGTTAGATTCTCAAGTGGTCAAATCGTTGCTACTTGGATAACGGCTCCTTTTAGGAGGGAGGGTGTCGCTGAAGATCGCACTGCGTTATCGTTCTTTGGCTGGTGGAGCAAGTATAAAAATCAAGATCTCCAGGAATGGATTCTCATCCTCAAAAATGTGCGTTATGTCCGTCTTTATCTCCTTCAGTCCCGCATTAATGTTGTACATTCCATCGTCTTGTCAAGACTGTACCTCTTCCCGCCAACGTCAAGTTTAAAACCATGTCGGCGGCTGGAGTCTGGTGTTTAGCTGGCGTAGCCCTAGCCTTATCCTGGGTCATGATTATCAGAGTGAACCACCCGTCGTTGTCTTACTCTTCTTACTCAACAACAGCCTATCGCTCTCGGAGGTGGGGTGAAGGGTTTCAACTCTGAGCTTTCATGAAGAGATACAGGATGCAAACGGTAGTTACAGTACTTGAACCATCCATGACATATCACCTCTCCTTACAAGATACCTCCATACGTCGGGTCTGTTGTGGTCATTCTTAGCTCGACAATGTCCACCGAATTTAGAAATAGCCGATTAATGGTTATATTATTACCGCCGCAATAACTTATGGTGCAGCTAAGCGCTGGCGAGCCAGTAAAAATGCAGAGCGAGCGATTAAGTCGTGCGAATGACATAGTAAGAGCGATAGAGTATGTTTGGTTGTAAGTAGCATGCGAAAGCTATCACGTCGTTGGCTGAGTATAAAGCAGAGCGTTTGCTGTAAGTCTCCATCCTCATATTTGTCCCACTCGGCCTAGCGCGCTTCCCCCTTCGCTAGCAGTTTCGATCCTACTGCCATCCAATGTACGCATAGAAAAGAGTATCGAGGTTTAACCGAGTACAACTTCTGTTGAGTCGCCTTCGGAGAAGACTTCTACAACTTCCAAGGCTAGGCGAAATGTAAATCGGGCTATCTGTTCACTTCAGGAAATGATTCTTACCACGATATGCTTAGAAGATTAAACTGATTCAAAACATCAGCAAACGAATTTCAAAGAATCATCACTATCCGATTAAGTAATCCTATACGGAAGCTCGTCTTGAAACGCCAATCAGTTTCATAGTTGACAACAGAACACCAGAAACTTACACATAGAAACCATGAGCAACGATAGAAACACCTCCTGCTGAAGATTAAAAACGTGGCTCTCTCAAAGGTGCCTTTGTGAGCAGGAGAATCTAGCCCGCTGACGTGTGTTAGTTTGATGATGGTCCCGAGGGGCGGTATGAACATGTCTGCCTATGTCTTTGGGTATGGTAAATGGAACAAAATGGGTGGGAATCACCACTGGATTGCCCGCGTTCGGTCGTCGGATGTAGATGGTTATGTGGATGAGAATCCTCTATCCTCTGCATTGTGAGCGACTGATCAAGCCCTTCGCTCGCTTCGAACCTTCTACATTTATGAACTTGCCAGCGAGATTTTGTTTTAGTCCCTTTAGCTAACCGAAGTGGAACGTTAGAGTCGGAGTTGTTGTAAGGATATTCTAAAAGCACACCAGCCTGCTGTTCGCCCCCTGCCTCGACTTGGACTTCTCGTGCTCGAGGAAAAATAGTTTCCTTGGTGGGAACGCGGACAAAGAAGGTCAGTTGGGCTGTCATATACCGTCCATATCGGCCGAACCGATCTTCCAAGAAATTTCTGGAACCTTGGGCAGGCGTGTCAAGGGAGACATTTATATCATGGTGTACCTAACAAGAAGCAGAGGGAGAAGTCGTCAGTATCCACTCGAAGCAAAAGTGAAGCGAGGACACATTTTAGGCATTCAGGCCCATTAGTCCGCCGTTGGAGCTCACTCCGGTGTACGGGGTGAACTTTGGATTAGCCTATACCATTCGTAAATGTGCCAAGACTCAAACCATCTCCGAAACGCGTATGTGTACACCCTGTCAGTTCAACATCTCCACCGGACCGTCTGTCATTATAGCAAAAGTCTAACAGATGTTAATTCCAACATAAAGGATTGGGAGAAGTGGCCGACGCACTCGATGACATGCTACCAGCGGTTGAACTTCGACCAGGTTTCATTCGAGTGTTCACTAATGTCAACCTAAATGAGGGCGTCACTAGAATAGAACAAACGTCTGAATGGCTGTTCGGATATAACAACTCACGTCAACGTCCTTGAAGTGATATTCGTTCAATGCCAAAGAAAAGAAGATCATGTGAATCCCCTAGATCAGATGGGATATACGTCCGTAGTGAACAGACCGCTACCCTGGGAGGTCATTCGCCGATACGATACCTCACAGTTCGCACTAAGGCAGACTACAGAGTACATTTTTACCCAAAGGATTCTAGATGCCTTATGCGCCCAGCGCATGGCATCTAGAAATGATATCAAATTATTAGTTGCCTATAATCAGAGTCAGAATGCCGCACGTCATGAGAGGTTCAGTCCTCGGCTTCGCCCGCTGGGTTTGGCGAGTAACGAGCCATTGGTACGCCGGCTCTACGTATATAGAATTAAGCATAAGTTTTGCGTCGGAAGGTAATAGAGCGGCATGCCTTGCGATGTTCTCTGGAACTCTCGGTGTTTATATCCCGTTCGTGAGGGGTGTTGTAGGTATAATCTCATAAACCAAGTTTCTCAGCTCTTGAGATCGCGGGACATCAACACCTGAAAATTCTGAGAAGTTCTCTTGAGATATACGAGCTTGCTATTGACTCTTCTGCTCCTACATCCTTTCAAGCCCGCCAAAAGGAAAAGAACTCTCTTGCCAAGGATATAGCCAACCACAGAAGTAAACCAGGCTGGAACACATCGACACGTCGCTTAGACTGGCATTTGGGCGCAGGCCGCGTGCTGGAGAATATAATATCAGCCTACGTAATCTAAGAGCGTGTTAATGCTTGAACAATGCGTAAGATACGCTATACGAACCCGTTCCGCTGATCCAGTTTGATTGAATTAGGGAAGAGTTGCTATCACCTGCCATTGTCGGCGTCTTGATAGGCGATCAAGAGTATATTGGGATAGTTGATGACGATTCGTCGTTGGGTGAAGAGATTCACTTCTGACGATTCTAAAATTAAGGGTTTTAATCCTGGAAGTTTACTCGGCTAAGTGTTGGTAGGACGCACAGTAAATGTGTCAAAGCACATTCGACCTCGAAAATGTCCCTCTTTGCTGCCTATCTATGGCTTCCCTTGAGACCACCTTGAGACTCCCGGCTGGGGTATGCCATAGGTCGTCCTGCGATAGAAATTATTAGTACTGAGTGCTAAACCGCTCAGCGTAGTATCAATGCATGGAAAAATGAAAGGCTTACTTTTGTGGCACTAGAGCGACGGGATGCCTTATAGACTCTCGTCACTATCCAAAGTGACATTATATCTGCGAGCTAGATTGAGTGGAGTCGCTAAAGCCAGTATTATCCGCGGCTTAAATTATAACTCACTGAAACTGCAAGGCAGATGACTCTGCGTCAGGTACTTGTCGCTTGTTCGTGCTTCCGAGAATTTCGTAGTGGTCGCAATCGCACTCTCGAACGTGTATATTCGGGGTGCCTGTGTTTTGGGGGTGCACCTCTGAGTAACGAGCATACATACAATGTGGACGCCGACAACAAGCAAATCGTGACGAAGGGAGAGGAGAGGGGGGACCAATGAGCGCAATGTACTACTGCTTACCTTTCCTCAATCCATGCTGACATTTATCCGCCTCTTCGCGCGTTGCGTCCGTCCAGTCTACTTTTCACTTTGTCTTCTTCTTCCTCTGATGCCGCAGCCCTGATCATTCCCTTGACCTCCCAAACTTCCGGAGTTTAGTATCCCCCTAGCAGCGCCCGAAAGGGCTGCTGCCATGGCTTGTCGTCGATGCGCCCGGTGTATGTAACCCCGATGAAGGTGAGCAGGGAGCAGAGTGCGAGACGGAAAGGGAGCTGTGATTTGTAGTTGTGCGAACATTGAAGAGACGGGCGACCGCGAACGAAAGCCAGATAGCAAAGAAGCGAGAAAGCGACCCTGCACAGGTGAGTGAGGAAATTCATTGCTCCTCCATGTATCCGCTCGCCTTGAATCAACTCCAGTCTCTATTTGAGAGCCTAGCTACGAGGACATGTTAGGGAACTTGGGTATCGCTCGAGGAACGTTGGCACGGACGTACACTATGAAGTTCAGCAAACGCGGCAACAGGTTGAGCTCAGAGAGGTTCACTTTGGATGCCTTCCTGCTCTCTTGTGAATCTGAGATCACGGGTTCTTGAAAAGCAAGCGCAGATGGTTTATTTCCAGCCGAAATAATTGAGCAGCAGGTAATCCAGTCGAGGGCCGAGTGGAGGCACCACATAACAGATGGTGGTGACAGTGTTCAGAGACTCGAGATCGGAAACAGTCGCACAGGGGGAAGCGTAGAATCCGAACACATGGCTAAATAAGGTTTCGAGTCCTCAAGATATATATAGTAATCGACCGAATTCAGCGCTTCAGCTTCAATGTTCAATAGTTCCTCAATATCCTCGACAATTCAGACTCCCTCGCATAGCAGGTCTATCGATACGCAAGTCAGAGCAATGCTTAGTTTTATACAGTTATCATCTAAGCAGTGACAAAGGATGATAAGGGTCGGTGACCACTCAGGGGCGTAACTTTAAGAGTCATGATCGATATAGCCGGCGGTGTTTGAGGGAGTGGAAGCCAAGTTGCTGGTGCCAGTTCCGAATTCAATAAATGGCTACCGAAAGTTTAATTAATCATAGGCGACCTGTCGCGTGTGCTTTACAGGCCGGGAAGTGATACTGGCAGTAGTTATGAACGCTCAACGGCACTCCCTTGGCAGGGTCTCTTAGACCAAATACTTCAAACCTTAAATCCCATACATATGCTCATACCTATCGGACGCTGGTCGACTTTACTTCATTAATTAATGCCCCTTTGGTATAGACAGTTGAGCTGCTTTGACTAATACTAAGAGGTAACGGGCATACCTGTCGACGCAATTCCCCTTTAGTGCGACGCATCGTGGGCCAGGTTCATCCTTTGCAACCTTATGGAAGTACTAGCGGCGCTTTTCTCCTTCTGAGTAGTACTAGGGCGGCCCACATTCGTCCAAGGGTGCTGTTCCACCTCAGCGATGGACAACCTTTGCTTTGAGTCGTGCACAAGCAATTTGCGCAGCAGGCCGCAAACTTGAAACAAGAGGTACGAGTATCAGCATGCGCCTGGTGGTCAAGGAAAGAACATGCTTGCCTCTGCTGCGACGTAGCATCGCATCAGGGAGACGACCCCATTGTATCTTACGTTTATCCTCGTAATCGGGAGCAACAGGTTCATCTTCCGTGCGAAAGGGGTATCTTCCACACAGCCTGATTCATCAAGCGTTAGAAGCAAAATATATATGCCACAGGGAAGCGCCTACATGCGGAAGAGGGTGACACCGAGGCTCCAGGAATCTACTTTGAAATCATACGAGTGGTCGACCTTCGCTCCAGGAGCATAGATTTCCGGTGCCATGTACATAGGGGTTCCGCAAATCGTCTGACATCTAAGAATCAGCAGTCGAAACAACAAACAGGACGGATGAACAACCCTCGAAAACGATTTGTCTGTCACCACCTTTGATATGCCGAAATCGGTCAACTTCAAGCGGAGAGGTAAGAGACTGGCAATGAGAACGTTCTGCAGAAGAGTTATCATACAAGTAAACAACGCTTTGGTCTCGGAAAAATAGTCTCACCTGGGGCTTCACATCCCGATGGATGATGTTACACGAGTGAAGGTACTACCAGTAGGAGCAGCTCATGTTCAGTAAAGCGCCGGCAACATGAGACGGCTTCTCACCTCAAGCCCAGAGGTTATCTCTCGTAGTGAGAGACGGCTTGTTGTCTCATCTAGGAGAACACACGAGTTACAGGTTATTCACAATTTGCTGGTGGACGGTTGCACTCACCCAGGCTGTTGCGCTTCCTGATTAAGCCATCCAAGTCGCCGTAGCGCATCAGCTCCATGACGATGACTGTGAACAAACGAGTCGATGTCAAAGGCCCAAAAATAAGAATAAATATAGGAAAACGAACAAATGTCTTTCTGGGACTCATATACAGCGTGGAGGTTCACGACGTTTTTCTATTCATTTCTAGATTGTCAGCGGGTTGATGACTTAAAAGACACGATGACTGACATGACCAAGCCCTTGCAGAATAAACACCTCCTTGAGAATGGGCGCGTTTCTGCGATTGATCGGAGGGAAGGGGAGTTTGCGTAGTACTTTTACAGCGTATGACTTTCCCGTGGCCAGGCGCTCAGCCTTATATACACTCCCGAAGGAACCTTGGCCTATGCTGATCAAGGATGCAAGTCTCAGATACACCAAGTACACCAGTGAGATACAACACTAACCGTCCCGAAAACGTGTACTCGAGGGAAAACTACAGGAGTGATTAGATGTAGAGAATGATATAGTTGCCAGGATTTCCTTACCGCATCAAAGGAACCGTCACGAAGCTCGAAATCTAGACGATGTTGTTACGGACATGGCGTCGGTTCATGTGAAATTCTTACAGTATCCTTTGTTATCGAGAGCCGTAGCTATCTTAGCGCCTGGGTAAATGGCAAGCTTACGCCCGCGGGCGCAGCGAACGCCATTGACCTAACACACACTGTCAAAAAACAAGGATAACGGAGATGCCACAGAGCTTTGCTTACCCAGGTCCCTGATGTGCTAACGTCGGTGATGTGATACTTGCTTACGCCGTTCATGTCCGTAGCGTGAAAGAGAACAAAGTGCCGAGGGTCTAATGAGTTCCGACTTGATGTTAGACATCTGAAATGTTCTGGAACGAAGGGCCTTACTTAAATGGATGCCTTTGATAGGAATGTCATTCCCAATTGGAGTTGCACCGACTCGGTAAGAATCCATGTCCACGGCGAGAGGCATGTTCCGGAGCCAGCCGCGGTCACCCACGTAGATAGCCATTATTCCCCAGAGCTCAGGCAGGTAGGTTTCAGGCATTTCGAGAGAGTGAGTAAATGCTCAGCGAGGCGTGAAAGGAAGAATCTCTTGTTCCTTTAAGGAGCCGTTGCTGGTGGGCCAGGACAACGGCGAAGACTCGAGATCTGTCAACAGGAAGAAGATTTTTCATGTGGGTGCAGAGACGAAGAGATTCAAAGACGAAAAGTAGATCTCGACGATAATTTGGCGTTGATGCAAGGCGCTAAGTTACGCCTTTTACTCCTTGGTTCCATCAGGTCTCACTCTCTGATACCAACGTTGTTTCCAATATCCGAGTTAAGGAGAATGGGCGGTACGCAATCCATAACATTGTCATCGTGACTACCAAGGCCTGTCAGAGGGTGCTCACCCAAAGAGATGGCTGGGACGCCATGCGATTGACGACCTGCACGCCACAAGAGCTAGCGATGCACAGCCTCGGCCCGAAGCTAGGCACCAGCAGCAGCTGACAAGCGGCTACGGCGGGGTTTCAAAACTTCATCCGTAACGCTGTCGCTTGCGGAAGCAGCTGCTCCGGAGATCCGGGCGGACCCGACGGAATTGACAACTGAGTGGAGTAGCTCCAAGGTAAGATCCAGTGAAAGGTAACAATTGCACCCGCTATCATGTGTCAGGTGCTGAGCGCTGAGCGCTGAGTAGCGAGCACGCCACTCCGAGGATCTGAAAGGATCTGAAGCGATCGGGCAGCGCTTAGACTCGTGATCAGCCTGCTTCTGCTCTGTTCCCCAAATTTTGGGGACGAGGGCGTACTAAAGGTGCTGTACTCTCGTTGGTATTTTTCGGACCAGAGGTCTGGCCGTGTAGTGGATTACGAGTTTAGGCAACGTTATTGACCGATTACCATGGCCGAATGGACCGGGATTAGGTATGGCGTAGCTGCTAGATCTTCTGCCCGCAGGAGATTGCAAAGTCCAGCTTCGTCTCCTGCTCGTCGTTCACGACGTAGAGAGATCGTCGATCAACACCTAAAACGTCCGGCGGCACTAATGGGGTTGGGCGGAGCCCGTAACGTTAGGCTGGGCAAGACCGGCGGTGAGCAGAGCAGCCATATGCATGGGTGTCAATGGGCGAGCATCGCTGGCAGAATTCGTGCCGAGAACGTCTAGGCGCTTAAACATTGCTCCTGGCATGTGCTGTACGATAATATGATACCAGACATAACAAGGGCTAGGTGGACGGGACGAAAGGGGTGATCTATGCTCGATTTTGCTGAGATCGGAGCCTTCGAGCAATGAGGAGTGAGAGGCATTTGTTCGTGGCAATCTTGACACACTCTGCTAGAGTTCAGGTACTTACCTCTGGTTACTGCGCTCGGCACTCCACACATCAATACTTCCGCATAATGATCATCCAACCGCAATGAACGTCAGCGCGTGAATTCGAACGCTTGAGTCCGGGTGCCGTCGTGCCAATCATAATGTGTGCGTTCATCCATTTAAAAAACATTGTACTATGTAAGTGCTGAGCTGCATGCTGACGGAATCAACATGAGTGCCTCGTGCGGCAGCGTTTTATCTACGTAACTACTAGTGCCTTCCTTCAAACTGATTGCACAAAGCCCGGTCTTCGTCACATATGATTGAACGCAAGCAATCGCCGCTCAAGTCCAAGCCACTTCCATTTTCCATACCCTGCTCTTCTGCTAACGTAGCAGAGACCAGTACTGGAATGTGGCATGCGCAGGCGCAACCACCGCCACCGATGGTCTGTTCAAAGCTCTCTCGTACATGAGGCGACTTAAACTGTATCAACCACTCCTCTGGAGCTGGCTGAACCTCTGAAGCCTCTTTGCACGTCGGTCCGATCAGTGAGATAAGTGACGCTGATGATCCCTAATGTCCTCGAGTCAACATAAAACCGCAGCCGATTAATAAGCGCTAGCTGCCATCTACTCACCGTTGCGGTAACTCTCCACATCGGAGTCAGCTTCTGTTGAAGATGAATCTGTGGCTCAGCTCCAAACGGTGATTTCGTGAACAGTGTAAGGAAACCTTGGAAATATCGACCGGTTATAAACTGGCTCTAAAAACCTTGAGCTAGACTCACGATTGTGGCCGAATTCGAGCACCACAGCCCTCACTCGGCCCACGTTACGAAACATGTTTGGGAATGTGCATAGGACTGCTATGGCTGGCTCGTCGAAACAATGGTGTAGTACCATAGGAGATCGTTGATCTTCGCGAGAATGAATCTAAAGACAGCGGGAGGTTAGTAGCAGAACTCAGAAAGTTTACATACAGACCATCTGCATCAGAGTTCGAGTTGATACCCTGATAAGCTAAGCGACTGAATGACTTATTAGGATTAGGTCGGCACGTAGTCGACGAGTTGCACCACTTCAAGGTACCGAGTTGACAAGTTACCCGAGGGTCTCAGTGGCCTAATTGACGGCCTAAGATGACAAGGCAACATTAGGAAGGTAAGAAAAAGGGTTTCAGTGACAGCAACCCCTTCAACTGACCGCGCATCAAGCTATTAGGTCTGACGTTTAACTCCTAATCAGTCCGTAAAATAAAATAAGATAAAATAAAATAAAATAAATACAAGCTTTGGTGATCACCAGCAAGCTAGTTGATTCCGTCCGCTACTTTCTTTTCAGTCGAACGAACAACCGCCGTGAAGCTTGAAGGCATCCGCGCCGCGAAGTCACATCTGAGATCGTCTTCGTTCTTTTATCCGACCCATAGCCATGTCCGAAGACTCTCCTGAGAGTTCTGATTCGGCGCAACCACAACCCGCCTCAAGCGCGTCGGACCCGCTGCGAACGGTCTGTTTGCTTTCAAAGATAGACAATATCCTAATCTGATTTACAATCCACGAGAAGCAGAGTCGAGCTACTTTTCTACTCAGACCGGCGAGCTGGGATTCAGAGCCTGAGCCGGGAACTAGTAAAGCTTTGATTTTGCCCGAGGCGGTAGGTTATTTTTCTCCTCTCCCTCCATGCATGTATACTGAATCATTGAAGGATCAGCCCCCTATATACCCACTGAAAAGCCGCTATGATTCTGTCCCTTGGACAGAGCAGCACTCTGTTCAGGTATACTTGAATCTTCGAATCCACTAGACTGGTGACCTTACTTTTTGTATTAGGAGATGATACGTGCAGGACACCCATCTTCGCAGAAACGGAAGAACCCTCCTCCTCGCGACCCCGAAGATAAAGAATCAGCCCGTCATGCTGCAAAGAAAGTGAAAGCGCTCTCCCAGCAACTAAGCATCTATTCTTTGGACGAAGAAGAACCTACATCTTCGCAGAAACGTAAGACCCCTCCTCCTCGCTGCCCTGAAGACAAGGAATCAGCACGTCACGTTGCGAAGAAAATGAAAGCGCTCACGCAGCAACTAAGCATATATTCATTGGACGAAGAGGAACATAACCAGATCGAAGAAAACGCCGTCGGGAGAATCCTTGCTAGTAGCGAGGATGAAACTGGGACGTCAAGCAGCAGTGATGAGGAGCCATCATCCGTCTATCACGCATCCATGATTGGCCTGGATTTGGGCAGCCCCGAAAGAGATTTCTATGCCAGTCAGCTGAAGCAGCCCTCCAGCCCTGATTTTCCGACCACTAGCCGACCGTCTAAGGTATAGCGAACCTTTTTATTTTTATACACGTGAGCCTTCGCTGATGTTTCGGACAGGATGCAGATCCCAAACGTAAAGATGATACGGAAGCCAGTCAGCGCCTGCTAGCGGCGGAAACGCCTCAACTTGTGCAGCCAGGACACGAACAAACTCATCCGACATCTCCCGACCCCCACCATAATCCCTCACACGTCGATTCTTTCAACTCACAACTAGTGAAATTTGTCGATTCTGCCGCTCAGATGGTGCAATCTACACATACGAGAATAACTGTAGACGCTGCAGATGAGGACGAGGCGATGCATGAAGCGCAACCTCACCACCAGCAGGTGGTCCAGGACCGCGGCAATGATCTCGATCGCATCCCATCCCTTCAGGATCGTCAGGCTCGCGCGATGTATGCAGTTTCAAACTCAAATCCGCCTCAAGCTTATATGGCTCAGTCTCAAATGTATGGCGTACAACCCTACCTTTATCAGCAGCTCGCTCCGCCACCCGCGTCTAATCAGGTGCAAATGTATGCCCACTATCAACACCCCAGAGCATATCGACAACAATCCGACTCACGCTTTCGTCCATATCCTAACCCTTACGGGCCATTCCCTGTGGCGGGGCTTCAGAGACATTACCCTCCAGGATACGGTTATTACCACTTCGGGTTGCCCTACGGTGGCCGGCAGGCCGAAGACGCGGGACCCGCGCAAATTACGCAGAACCAGCCGCCTGCGATTCAGCCGCCTTCGATTCAGCCGCCTGTGAACCAGCTAGCTGTGAGCCCGCCTGCGATTCAGCCGCCTTCAAACCAGCCACCTACAGACCAGCTAGCTGTGAGCCCGCCTGCGATTCAGCCGCCTTCGAACCAGCCACCTACAGACCAGCTAGCTGTGAGCCCGCCTGCGATTCAGCCGCCTTCGAACCAGCAACCTGAGAAAAAGCGACCTACGAACCCGCTATCTGTGAGCCCGCCGCCTGCGATCCAGCCTCCTGCGGACCCACTGCAAAAGCGCGCACAAGGGACCAGCTCGAAGAAGCGCCGCCGTCCACATAAGCAAGGTCCGTCACAGAGAATGCTGCCTGAGAAGGCTGACTAACATTGATCTCTAGATGGTGCTAACAAACCTGCTTGCGACTCGGATCGTCTTCCTGATAATGAAGTGCCTGGAGGGTCTGATCGCATTGGCCCTGTATCTCCCATGCGCGGCATCAATACGCCTTCTGGCGTAGGAGAACGTGACGTAGAGATGACCAACGCCACGCAACAACGCACTTCGAAAGCTGGGTATCAAGGCCTACTCATCGGTTCTGAGCTCCTGGAGAAGATGGGCAACGTAACGGAGGCAGTTGAGGTATCCACCGCAGCGCTTCAGAAGACTGTGGAGACCGTGTTGGAACAAATGGTCAAAGTGAACGAAACACAGGCTCAGGTAGTGGAGGCATTAAACAAAGCTTCTTCTTTTTCCCCGAGGAAGAGTCCCAAAAAGAGCCCCAAAAAGCCACGCGCTATAAAGAGACGTCGAATACATGGTCCTTCTTCAGACACGGATGACGCGGATACAGAGGAATGCAAGAAGGACAAGAACGAAGCCGAGGACGATATCAGTGACGACGACAGCGAAGAGGATGATGATGAGGATTGCAAGGGCCCAGCATGGAACGGTTTGCTGGTAGGTTGTATCCAGATCCTTCACGACACCCAGTCAGTCTAAATAACGGTGACAGGATCTGATTAGAAGGACTTTTAAGAAGGCCATTAAAGTCAAAAGGTACCGACCGCAATACTTCATGGACATGCCACCTCCCTTGGATGAACAAACCATCGAGGAGTACGCAAAGGTGGACGCTTTCATACCCTGCACCATCAAGGATTTCCGCGTCGACTTCACGAAACCATGGCGTGAATTCCCTCTTAACGAGGTGGCGCGCCAAGTCTTCGTAGATAACTTTATGCACCAGTGGGAGAGCGGTATACTCAAGAGCAAAGAGGATATTCCCGCCGGTTACGTGGACAGGGAGAAGACGGAAGAAGCTCTGGATCGGCACGTAAAATATGTCAAGACTCGCTATAAGAAGTATCTTGAAGGAGCATCGCTGAACACCACATATGAGGAGCAACGATTGTCAGCACAAAGATCAAGAAGGGACACCGTGAGTTCTCCAATAAACAGACTGTCTCGATGATTCTGATATCATCAAACAGTTGCTAACGAGTCGTCGGAAGGTGGTTAAGGCAAGACGCATGATTAGGCACGCCCGGTTATTGAGCAAGCTGGAGCGTGCGGCCATGAGCACAGACGAGACTGACCCAGATGTCCCAGCCATCAGACACAAACAGTTTAGAATCATCGCTCCCAAGTGGCGTAGCTTTGAATTTACTGCCTTCCTCCATCGACTGGATGGATTTTATCGCGAGGATAAAGCCTGTCCTATTGGACGACGTGCAACTCCGGGGAACCCAGCTTGCATCCGTGTTCCTTGCCGGAGATCGGAACTACAGGCAGTCCCCAAAGGCTTATACAGGAATTGTTATGATGCATCATGGTTGGCGTCTCTACCGGGATGGCAGCGAGACAGGCTGATGGTGATAAACAAGGACTATGATTTCGGTATAGAGGACCAAACATAGAAACAAGGCTCAGTATACTCAATTAACACGTAATGAGAATAATTTTGATTCTTTTGATAACGAGAACAAGCTGTTTTCAAACTATAACGGTATACCTCTGAACTGGCCTTTGAACGCGTCCGAGTAAAACTAGATGCGTAAACGCGCTACGAAAGAGGATGAAGTGAAGACATAAAACTTTCGGATTTGAGCCTTCCGTGTCCAGCATCGTGAATGATGAATTTCGGTAGGATCATCCGCATCTGAAGGGAGGCTGAACAATGTACAGAGCCACCCAGAAAGAGCGCAGGAACTCGAAAAATAGTGATTGAGCTTAGATTTGTATAGGCGGGCAGGATACTCACCGCAAGGTCTCTACTACGGTTGCACCTGAGAAGAATCAACCACAAATATCTAACGAGTATGGCACGCACTAGCAAGCTGAGCGTGCGGATTGGCTCCCTTGGCATGGTTCATTGAGAGAGATGGACCTATTGCATCCCTAATGACGAATTTCTCCGGGGGATGGGACACCGGTCGAGCCCATGCCTGGGCGATAGTTCTCAACAATGTGGGTTATTTACGCCTTTTGCTGTTGTTAGAATGGGGGCATCCTGCCAGGCGTTCAACGCAGCTGAACATCGATCGATGAGTCATGAGTGGTATTTTTGATACGAAGAGAGAGAATACCGAGTTAGTGGTTAGGATAACTCGGAAGCGATACGGGTCACCGCACGCTATTCCCGAACGTCATCGTGCTTGCGTATAGAAAGCGGAGATACGGACTCTGCCTGGCCCGAGGGAGGGAAAGGGAGCATGATCAAGCCTATACGGCCGCCCTGGTGTCGGAACTAGGCAGCAGCGGGTGACCAGATATTTAGAACATCTGTCATGTCATATAGACATTCGTTTTTAGTATAAATATAATAAAGGAGATCCCAAGATGCACGTACCGATACGATCATGCAGCCTAGTTTTTTGCCTTGGCTTAAATGTAAACGAAAAATCTGTGGAGCACGGGTAGCAGATCCGGAGAATACTAACACTTGATGGGAAGGTCCTCACCCGAGACGAGATGAGGTTGATATAAAATGTGTTCAATGGCCGGTACGAGGGGCACTATTGGATGTGATGCTAGCGGGCGGTTCTTAACCAGGTTCTAGCTCGACGAAACTAAGCATGGATCAATGAGCTGAACAAGTTCAGATGGAGAAACAAAGTCATACTAATTTGAGATCGACCTCGAGCACCGTACAGAGCTAACAGGCCATTGCAAGCTGTTTGTTTATGCTATCACGCTGGCGATATAGACACCGACAAGAATCTACCAAGCCCGCAAGGACAAAGGTATCACGATCAAAGCTGCGGGGCCGCCCAAGGTATCTAAGTCGAGCAGCAGCCAGCGGATCGACAACCAGAGCGTATACTATATTCGAATGAAATTGTTTGTCGTCAGCATAAAGTACGCTGCTAGGCACGGAAAGAAGCTGACCTTAAACTGTAACGCTGACATTTACGTGTAGCCCATCCGTAAACCGTACTTCAATCAAGAGCGCGCGCAGTGACAACATCCTCCAAAAATTTTCAAATCCAGAGACAATCGAATTTTCCGAAGTACTCCATCCCCCTCAGCTACAATCGCCGCCTCGCACGTCGCGAGCGATAGGTTCAGAGCGTAGAGCGTCCCAGCGAGGTTACCGTAGATCAACTCAAGTTCCTACTGAGCCAGTAGCATCATCGCCTTGGGCGGCGGTGAATTGGATAAGGGTTTCCAAAGCGACGACAGGCTCTTTTTCCTTGGCTCCTGCTGCGAAGTCTGGGCAGGTCGTATAGAGCACCTTGTGGGCGGAGCTCCTTGACGGCGCCTGGGGTATAACTCTGTCCATCCAGGAGCGTGGCTATATATTTTCTGACGACGAGTTCGATGTGATGAGTAGCGAGATTTTATGTCGGCTTTAGATACCTCGCCATTGCTTGCTGAGAATAGGTTACTTACGACAGTGCGATTGGGCAGCGGCAGTCTACGGGATAATATCTCGTTCAAGAACCAAGCAGTGCGGCTATCCTACACACGCAAAATATAAAATCTAAGCACAAACTCACGCTCGCTTAATTGGGGCTGAACTTACCATGGCGCTCAGAGGATTATGTTATCCTCGCGTACATCGTTCTCCCGAAAGCAACACTATTGATTTGCTTGATCAGCCGAACTCGGACTGAGGGTCGGACAAAGAAACTTACCGAGCCTATGCCCCTAGCTTACACTCCTCACCCCAATCTCCGTCGCATTCACTTTCCAGCATATCCAATGGTGCTCGAGCACACGGCACTCAGCGACAGCGTTGTAGTGCTCCTCATCGTATGGACCGACTTGCATCAGAGTCACGGTATCTACGCGGCACGCGGAACGAGGGCCTGTTCCAGTGCGCGTCGATATGCCGCATGTTCTCCGAGATCAGCAGCTTGCACTGTGTGGGATTAAGGCCATCTGTATAATTGTAAGCTACTATGGTCAAGAATCATGAAGTAGATGACGACACATACTAAAGCAGTCTTTCCGCTCGTAGTTCGCCCCGCGATAGCAGTTCTCTAGGAGGTTAACACTAGCCTGCAGCCTTGCAGCTCAAACCGGCGGCCCTGCGGCAAACTTTCCGTGACGCACAAAGCCCAACAACGTTACGACTGGGCGTCACTCGAACGACCAGCTGTTCTTGCGCGACGGTGACGACTCATTCCTACTGCTGTCTTTCGCTTCCTGTGTGCTGTTCCAGATAATTTGCAGGGACACTTATTCCTTGTTGAGATGAGTTTCGGGACGATGGAAATCATCGTGTCTAAAATGAAGAAATTCATCAGCAATGTTATAATTATCCGGAGCCGAACACTAAATTTTTCTCAATTGAATATCGGAAGCACGTTCAAAGTCATTCCTGATGCACAAAAGATATTACACTCCAAATGCGCGAAGAGCCTAGATGGTGTACTCACACGAATTCTTCGGATAGAACAAATGCCTAAGGGAGGCTGTCAACACGACGGGTAAAGCAAAGCATGAATTCGTGCTGTGATCGCGAAGGAACCCGTAAGCTCTTTTCCATGGTAAAATTAAGTAAAGGGCACGAACGAAACCAGGATAGATGCACTGGTCCAGATCGCAGAGAAGATGACCGAGTTAACCGTGCTGTAAGAATGCAGTCAGAATCCATCACTGAATCTCGAGGGCGCTTTCCGTTACACATTTTTCACGTTCATGCCATCTTCAACGCCCTCTCCTTCAACGCTCTGTGAAACCGCTTGTCTTCTTACACGGAGTACTGGAGGACTTTGACGCTACCTAGGAACTCGCTGAGCACGCCTATGTGCTGGTCGTGCGACCTGCAAAATCCCTGCTGGATTCGAATGAGGCGCCTTGCTACAAACCTATTGATTGCGAAACCGAGCTGGAGATGAGGATGGAGAAGCTGGAGATGGCGGACCAGCCCATTGCGCTGGAGACAGAGGAACTTAATTTCAGCGTGTTCGAAGAGATAAGGAGTAAACACGTACTTATACAGGAGGATGATCGCGATGCTTGAATGGGTGCTGGGGACAAACTTTTTATGTCGTCGACAAGGTTCATACATGAAGTCAGAGGAAGAACTCACCCCGTAGAACATATAAAGATCCGATGTCATCATAATGGCCTGAACCGAACAAGGGGTATGAGCATCGTTGTAAAGCCACCAGTAAACAAAAGAAACCTTTGGAAGCCTTGGTCCTGCGCGCCGGGGGAACTTTACGAGGGGGACGATGCCTTCGACGGGAGCAGATGTTTGACCACTTAAGTTTCGCTGACGACAGAAGGCGAGATCGCTTCCGGGTGCCTCTGAGCAACTGAGAAGCCTAATGTCTAATAACAAGTCTATCAGCAAGTATGAAGGAGGGATGAGCGCTAGCCCAAGCATACGTGTGATGACAGATGCCGCTCCTCTTAATATCCATCTAGCAAGACTTGTAGCGGGAGGAAGCCGCGGAAGCCGTATCGTGGGCGTTGTAGACGGGTGTGTATCGGAAGGACGCAGAATGGACTGGTGGATGGAGGTGGGAAGGAGCTCTGCACGCAAAAGCGAAACCTTGAAGACAATTATTGCTGCTGAAGACGTGAACGGCATTGTGGATTAGAGAGCCACTCGCATGCCGATGTTTGAGCTGCCTACCTTTGACCTCATGCCGCTTGGGTGTGAATGATAGCTCACTAGAGGGCTGAGTGACCGCGATCCAATGAACCAGACTTCCTGTTCATGGTTTGGCACCCTGACAAGTGCGGGAGCCCCACGGAAGAAATTGAGGATATGTTTGGGAGACATGCAAGGAGAAGAGAGCTGTAGTGATCCAAACCAGATACGTATGCAAGGACATAGAGCGAGGGGGTAGTCAAATGGTGGTTCCAACAGGAAAGAACACAATCGGTATTACATAATCGGCCACTTGTGACAACCCAATTTCCACGATCTAGCTAGAGAGCTCAGCCGCCTTCTGCGCCTGCGGGCCGTTGGTGAAGTCCCTTTACTCCGTCGCCTACGCTCTCGACCGCACGAACATTCACTATTCATCACCAAAAACTGTCCTTGCTGCTCTCTAGCGACTCACGGCGCACATCCTTACCGCTCGTGGCTTGTCGGGTCACTGACTCTTCATCCCTCGGTCATGATTGTCTCGAAGGCGGAATCACAACGTGTATCGACATCTCAACCAGGAGGTCGTCGTCGTTCCGGTCACGACACCCCACAAAACGCAGGGGCACGATCCGGAGAACATGGCCTGGTCTTACCCAACCCACGCTCTCCCTTCCCTACAAACTTGGTCCCTCTTTCCTGTCTTGCCCTCACCGACGTCTGCACCCGACCATGCGTCGTTGACTCCGCCGACACCCTTACCATCTCCATACCTTCCTCGATGCTTTATTTAACCATAAAAACCCACAATCCCTTCAACGTCACCCCCGTGAGCCCTTCTCGCGCAGCCGCCGGCTCCCGTCTACTCACCTCCCGATGCCATACACTGACAACCGGTACGAGGATAGATATGACATCATTCTCTTTTCGCAATTATCTGTATCTGACCCTCAATATCTTGCACAGGGTTCTCCGTTCAAGCCGAATCCCGATCAACCACAAGATCGCGCCTTCACCACTGAGGAAGTTATGTTGGTAATTGCGAACCGGAAGCGGCGACTTTGGTTGATGAACGCCCTTTGACCAGAGTCTAGTTATAGTCCCCCGTGAGTTCGAGGACACCGCAGACGCCCGTGCGGTTACTCCAGCTGCAATACCTTAACAAGAGCTGATGACGCGGATTTCGGCTTGGAGGTAGGCGGAGCATGGGGTCAAGCTTCCTCGAGCGAGACACCTTCGGCGAGGCAGCTGATGGCTATAGATCTATCCATAGCTGACGCTGATGTTGGTGTAGGCTCCGGAGTAGAAGGCGACGAGGACGAAGGAGGACAGCGGATCTGTGCGGCTCGACCATGGTTTCTTCAGATGTTGGCTTTTGAGCGTTCTCATCTCTTGGTGGGTTACATGATGGTTCACGACATCGATACCTCACAGCAATAATTTACTGATTTTCTGAATTTTCGTAGGCGGACTTACCCTGCTCGTTGCTGTCTAGATGTCTTATGCTTATATTGATTACATTGATATGCACGCGTCGGCTTGTAAGGTTATCGTTTTGAATTTAGCCATCCAATGGTGACTGTCTTTTGGCGGTGCAAAGTAAGCGCTCGGATCCCTTGGCTCCCGCACACCGCTGAAAATGTCCATAGCCCTCTCTTGCATAACAAGGACAAGTGTCAGACGGAGCGAAGAGACCGGCTGCAGGCTCGAACCTGGCGCAATAGGCTTGAATGTCCTCGGCCAATGGTGATTCGGTAACCCGGTGAGAACTCGATCTAAGGCTTCGCTGATTTTTGACCTTCTACGTTCTGTCAACTGCCACCTCTAATAGGAGGCATTTACCTTGCGCTTTGCCCGTGGATTTCTGTGAACATTTTACAATAGATAGTCGTAGATATTGATAAAATCCATAAATTTCTAGACCTTGTCCTCAAACCATATCCGAAGTCATACTATACGTGCATCCATTTGCGTAATCAATCTACTAGCCTGCAAATCAACTCCTACCATGGATTAACGATCAAGCAATAATAGTTTATGGTCTCGCAGAGCGCGTTCTGACTGGGGGAGATGTGCTACTTACTTTCGCCGTGTACCTGTACACGGTATAGACATGTTGCAGAGCTCCCCCAGTTATCCACAATCTCTAGCACGACCACCTCTGAAGCAACTCCGAGATCGCGCACACCCTCCAACACAGGAAAGGTTTGAACCGGTGTTAGCGAATGTATGCTGTAATTGAAAAAGGCCAGTGGCACAAAGGTTCCGTCTCGGGATATGGGAGGCGATGATCGAGCATTGAGTTCTTGAGTCAAGTTTTGAGGTAATGAAACTGCTTTAGTGAAGCGCTTCCTCTCTGTTTCGTTCACCATGCCCCATAGCACGACTTGCTTGGGAGCCAGTTCGATCTCTGGTGTCAATTGCTTTGGGGCATGTTCGAGAGTGACATGCGTAACCACGACTTTTGTTGCCAAAAGGATACCGAGCTGCCCGTGTCGAGCATCAATGCGCCAGCAGGAGCCCACTTCTTTGTTTGGTTTCAAGGCAAGCTCGGGTGGATGTGCTTTTGGGGACAGGAATGGGATACGGTAGCTCCTGGGCGATGTTGTGAGAAGAGAAATGACTTCGGCACCGGAAGAACTGAGGGCAAAGTCAGGAAGGCTGGCGTGACCGAAGGAATGGCGTTGCAAAGTCTCTTCAATGTGGCTGCTGAGTTCTTTACGAGAAATAGCCTCTAGCTCGAGTCCAATCACCCTTTCTGCAAGGGTAGAACAAGAAAGAGCACTCTGCTCCAACTTATCCACTCTTTCTTCGAGCGCGTCGTAAGCTCGTCGTAAGCCTTCCATAATGTTCTTGGACTCCTGCAAGGCATTATGTTCCTCCCGGTCGGTGTCTAGCCGTGTGAGCAAGATATGATCCGCAAAGCTGATGTCATAGGGTAAACGCAGCCGCCAATCTTTGTTGAGCACAACGCAATTGAAGACCTCGCCAGTTTTATAGACACAGTGAGAAGCATGCGATAGTAGCATAGCACAAGCGACGCAAGCTGTCAGCCCGATGACTACAGCTAGCGTAGGCAATAGGCAGGGCGGAGGAATGGGAGGAGGAGGAGGAGGAGGAGGAGGAGGAGGAGGAGGAGGGAGACCAGGCTGCCGTGGTTTGGCAAAAAGGCGTTTAATGGTGTCGTCTTCACTAGTTCCTGTTGATAGACGTCTCAATCTCTTAGTGTAATGATTTGGAGTCCGTCGATTAGCATTAGCGGAGCCGCCTTCTTCCATGACTGAGAAATTGAGCGAATATCTCAGCACAAAGGGTTAATTGATTGCGAACAGTTTGTACGCACCTAAAGCTGGAGCTGATTTACAATAGAGCAACGCAAGGGCGTCCGCTCGGGATCTGGAACAGCGCGCTCGAGTTCGGAACATGTAAAAGTGTCAGCTCCTAAGGTTCCCCTCGCGCTCTCGTAACCTCCCTCACCTTTCCTTGCATCTTCACCATCCGTCCTTTGAGACCCATAGCATGCACCACTCCCCGAGCCCCTTCTACAAACCCACTCGAAATTTAACAGTCCCTTTCACAAAAGCAGTGACCTGTCTTAGCTTGAGCCCGGGGACCACTCTCATTGCTGCGGGGAGCTTGGATGGTAAAGCCGCTGTCTGGTCTGTGAAGTCGGGACAAATGATGCTTCTGCTCACAGGACCGGTGCCGGTCACGTCTCTAGTTTGGAAATACCCGTCAGATAGCGCCTTCATCCTCGGTCTGGCCGATGGGACAACGGTGCTGGTCACGATCAGGCAGGCATGTACCCTAGTTTCAACCTGAATCATGAGCGAAGTTGTGATCTTGCCTGAGCGGCGCTTTTCTAGGAAGGAATTTTCGCAAAGGGATTCCGGGCCCACAGCAAGTATCCTGTTGAATGCCTGGCATTGAGCGGTGATAGGATCGCCACAGGCGCACACAAGGAAGCACATGTTTGGCTGTTTCAGGAGAACCCCGACGGTGCGGGTCCTTCTCATGCCGTTTCATCCGCTTCTCATGAACCGCCATAGCTGTTTGGACGCCCGATTGCCGTGTGGATCGTATCCCCATGATTGAATCCGACACACGAGCACCTCTTATCATCAGCGGTTTGCACTGGATATCCACCAGTTTTTCTCCTAATGTCCTCCTAGTCTGCTACGTCCATCATGGGGTCATGTACGTAGTCGCTGCATTTTGGACTCGCCCGCTTTCTAATGCGCACATCAGATTTTTTGACGCTGTAGAAAAGCGAATCAAACACCACTTTCCTGTGAACACTTTGATGTGAGGTTTTACATTTTGGTTCTCTTCGCATCCGCCTCATGGTGACTTAGTGGAAAGACCGCAATATCGCCAGATTACAAATCCATCGCAGTGTCTAACATGGCGCGCGGCTTTAATGTATATGACATTACTACGGGTACGGCTTTGGGTTCGTTCAAGTTCCAGCACGGGTCTGCGCATCGTGCGCCAGTATCTTTCTTGCATGGTGGACGAAGTCTTGTTGGCGGCAGTTCAATCGGTCGGACGTGGGTATGGGATGTGGATGCCGAGGATGTGAGACAAGTTATCCCTCACGAAGGTGGGTAACCTTGGATGTTCAATGCCTACATCCACCATACTCACCCTTCTCCATAGACGACGGAGTAGTGCTTGCCATCGATGTTAGTGGATCGGCAGCAGCTATCGTTGTGGTTGCTTACGTTAAAGTTACAGGCGCCCCCCCTCGATGAACAAGGGCGAACGGTACTGGCCATTGCGACGGCCTCAGGTGAAGAGGCTGGATTAACGATCAAGCTCTGGGATAACCGTGACCACCAGGAGCACCAGGAGGGCCGTGACCTTGGTACGTTTGGAATAAATGCGAAAATTTACTCGTTCAATAACAGACAATGCGTTCAGACCAGAAGCCAGCTGTGGATCCTGGGATCCCCTATCGCCCCATTTCCTGGCGCGTTTTCATTGATCAATCTACTTGGATGTGCTGTGTTTTTGCTCCGTTATTAGCATTCGCGGTTGTTGGGCCGTGGTTGCTATGCGAGTTCCTCTTCAGTATGTAGCCTTCGCCCCCGCGCCTATCTCATTGTTTCCTTTTTGGTAATTTATACATGTGTACGATTATCGAATGGGTCTTATGGGGTTTATTCGGGTTTAAACTCGTTTTCACAAGTCTAACCACAAAGTCCGGATTCCTAGCCCCTGAGTAGACTAATAACCAGTCGCTGCATTTTGCATTCCCAAAAGGGATCTGAGCCATACTAGTAGAGCAATTGTGCCATACGGAGGGGTCCCTAATTTCAGCAGCTAGGTCATATGAAGGGGTTGACCAAGTTAGCAGCTACGCCATACGGAGGGGTCCACCTAATTTTGGTCCATTTGGTCCATTTGGTCATAATCGGTCAAGTAGGTTTATTACCATATTTGGATGGTCTCCCTCTGAAGCACCTAAGTCTCTCCGCCAAGCGAGCCAGAGCACATCACGTGATAGCTCTTAAATTGCCAGCCCCTTGCCATTTTTGGGTCCGCTGGAGGCTGAACCCCTTGGGAGCTTCTCAGCTCACCTCTGGCTCGCCAACCAGGACGGTGGAAACTCCCTATAGGGCATGTCCGCCCGGAACCCCTCTGAAGGGGGTCAAGGCACTATAATTTTTGGTCCTTACGGCTGCGCAAAGGTGCTACCGCCCTTGCACCCCCAATGCAACATGACACCCTCAATGCAACGGGGTGAGATTGTTCCTTGTCACATGGCTCCGATGCTCACGCATATCTCCCGCAAACTTAATGAGCATATATATGAGGGTCTTCTGCTAGTGTACATGTCTTTGAATAATATAGCGTAAAAGCTTGAGCTTGCCAGAGGGATGCCGGAATCGTGACTCCTCTCTCCAGCTTCTCTCACTGTAGCACTGATGACGGTCACCGTTCGCGCTAGAGACGGCAATGGCCTACAGAAACTTATACTACGATAAAGTAACGCCATAGGAATATCAATATGAGATTTTGAAGCAGTTGGTCAAGATTAAGATAGGTGCCCTGAGTGTTAATCTCTCAACAACGCCAAAACTTGGGTGGTTTCGAGCACAGATCATTAAATTCTAATACTCACGCTACATTTTTTTGTAGGCAAGCGGAATACATCTATACAAGCTTACAGACCAAATTTTGATACATTTTGCCAAGGATCAGGTCAGGGAGAGCACATTTAGTGGATGTTGCATTGAGGGTGTCGTGTTGCATTGGGGGTGCAAGGGCGGTATTTCGGACATACATGCTACCGTGTGAAAACCATTTATACACTTAAGATTTGGCTGAAATATTTTTAAATTGCATTTTTTGCTACTGTAGGCATGAGTGGATATGGATATGGATCGACTGATGGTGGTAATTGACTTCGTAAATTTTGGTAAAATGTCGGGTCGAACCCGCAACCTTGCACAAAAAGCTCATCACTAACGTCACCTTACCACCTCAGCCACGAGGTCATATTTGAAACTGCCATGTTTTGAATATATGACTACATATCTTGCGTTCACACTACTCTCCTGCTCTGCATGACTTCGTGTCAAGCTTTGTGTGCTTGTAGGACGGTGGAAACTCCCTATAGGGCATGTCCGCTTGGATAGTGCCGCAGGCATGCTCGGCGGCTCTGTCATGTCCAGGATAGCGCCTTTGGAGGTCTGGTGGGCATGATGGGACCCCCGATAAACCTAAATCCTATTTGAACTCTTGATCTGGTGTCTTGACTGGCAAGGTTTTTTGCAGCTTTTTGGAGGCGATAAATGAATTTAGCATGGATAAAGTACATAAAAATGTGCTGCTAAGTACATAACACATTTCTTGTATCCCCAGCTTACTGTCCACTTCAATAGAGTAGATGACCAAAAGATTGTCTATGCCATTGGAGACTACCTCAGAGCCTGCTTGGTGGGTAGTTCAAAAGGTAGTTCATCTCCATTCCTTATCATTGGCAACTACTGGCACTTGAACAAGCACACGAAGCTTGACACGAAGTCATGCTGTCACGCTCCGGTCCCGCTCTGGTCCCTACGGCAACATTCCGAACCACACAGCCACCTCGCTACTCTTCCTCGCTACATGTTTGACAGGTGTCGTTCCTTATTACCTCCTTTTCTACTAGTCTCGTTGCTACCTGTCTACCTTTGACACTTCTTGACGTTTCTATCATTCCACAGTTGCTACAATATCGCATCCGATGTTTTATCTCATGTCTACTTACTAACGATCCGTTCCTTCCGCACGTTCCTTACTCATCGTACATTACCTCCGACTCCGGAGCAGTAGTATAAATACTCGTGTAGTTCAGCCTGTATTCCTCAGTATGAATATCGACTTACTTCTGCCCTCTACTCCTCTTTGCCTCTAAGTCCTTTCTGCCAATTCCTACTCCAAGTGTCTTCCGCGATACTTGTGTCTTCATCTATCTTCAAGTCTTCCCTCGCTTCGTACTTCGGTACCCTCCTGTCAACCTCCGGTGCCTACGTCACCTTCGCTCCTTACCCGCCGGTCCTCCGGTATTGTTCCCATCCCCTCCACGTCGCTACCGTCGACTACTTACCCTATGCTCGCCCTCCGAGTCCTTACGCTAGCATTCCGGGACATGGTATCCCTGGTGGAGCTTAGCTCGAACGTCCCGCATACTTCCGGGCAGGCACGGAGTTAACACATGCAGAGCAGGAGAGTAGTGTGAATGCAAGATATGTAGTCATATATTCAAAACACGGCAGTTTCAAATATGACCTCGTGGCTGAGGTGGTAAGGTGACATTAATGATGAGCTTTTTGTGCAAGGTCGTGGGTTCGACCCGACATTTTACCAAAATTTACAAAGTCAATTACCACCATCAGTCGATCCATATCCATATCCACTCATGCCTACAGTAGCGAAAAATGCAATTTAAAAATATTTCAGCCAAATCTTAAGTGTATAAATGGTTTTCACACGGTAGCATGTATGTCCGAAATAGCACCTTTGCGCAGCCGTAAGGACCAAAAACTATAGCGCCTCGACCCCCTTCAGAGGCGTTCTGGGTGGACATGCCCTATAGGGAGTTTCCACCGTCCTCGCCAACCCCTCCGTATGACCTATCTGCCAGGACTAGCAGCTACGCCATATGGAGGGGTCCACCTAATTTCAGTCCATTCGGTCCATTCGGTCATAATCGGTCAAGTAGGTTTATTACTATATTTGGATGGTTGCCCTCCATTGCGCCAATGCGCTGGATTAGTTTTGCCAAGTGCACCGACTATGCATCACATGACTAATTCTGGGACATTAATGCAAAGGGCCAGCCCTTGGCTCCTGATGTTGGAAATTCAAGTCGCTGGGGCTCACCGACACAGTACAAGCATGGTTTGTCCCAGGCAGGATAGTAGCTCAAAGGGCAATCACGTAAGGATTAACATAGTGTAGTACACATACTATATACCATAGCTGATGAGCTATACAGTCTGTACTTTCAATATGCTTACATAATCACAATTTACAATACCCGGAGGCTGGACCCCTTGGAGCTTCTTCAGCTTGTCGACCCCTTCGTATGACCTAGCTGCCCCAAAGGGCAGATAAGTCATATGGAGGGGTCAGCAAGCTGAGAAGCTCTCAAGGGATCCAGCCTCCGAAGAACCCAAAAATGGCAAGAGACCGGCAACTTAGGATCTATCACATGATGTGCTCTGGCTCACTTGGTGGAGAGACTTAGGTGCTTCAAAGGCCAACTGTCTAAATATGGTAATAATTCTACTTGACTGATTATGACTGAATGGACCAAAATTAGGTGGACCCCTCTGTATGGTGTAGCTGCTCATCAAAGTCTCTCCAACAAGTGAGCCAGAGCACATCACGTGTTAGCTCCTAAAGTGCTATCCTCTTGCCATTTTTAGGTTTGTTGGAGGCTGAGCCCCTTGAGAGCTTCTCAGGTCACCTACGGCTTGCCAACCCCTCTGCATGACCTACTGTACTTTTTCAACCATTTGCTCATCCCATGTCCCACAGGCCAGGCAAACGAACAAATTAAGTGGGACTGCCCCACCTCTACAGCAACTTACAAACAGAAAAGTAGGACATTCGGTAAAATAGTGCCAAAAATGCAGATAAATTCAAAAAAAAAATCCTATGGTATAGTTCTGACTACTCTGGTGATATAAGTACTCATCATACTGCTTGTTAGACCCACTGTTATGCTTCCCTTGTTGTTTACTTGACTCCTGTATGAGGTCTGCACTGATACTGGCATCACTGGCTATTCTAGGACTACTCTGAGTGATGTGTAGCATTAGGGTGGAGGATCTGGGCCATGAGGTTGCTTGGCTGAATCCACGAGTCATTGTTGAAATCCTTGCAAGCCAAGAGAAAATGTACCCTGTCTCTGCTACATTGAGCAACATGATGGACATTTCAATGTGATTGAGGTCACTAACATGACACCAGGAGCTGAGAGTCAGAGATACTAGGACCTAGAATGTCAATTCCTTTAACAAGCTGAGGGTGTCAGACTTAGTCATTGGCGCGTCGCGCGACCATTCAAAGATAAAAATTTGAATATAAATAAACCCATACTATCCACACGTCTCCGAGAACAAGAAAGTGATCTGCTCACTAAAAAGAACAAACCATACTTAAAACTAGATGAGACCTTAAATTATCCAAAATCTACTATAGAATTTATAAGAAACTATGTTCGAGACTCAAAAGTCCGATCCTCCGAGCTGTGTTCGCTGCAAGGGGGAGCAAGACTACTATACGTGCTGAAATAAGCAATAATTGAAACTGAGACCAAATACGAGTGCCGAAAATGGCAACTATATAAACTCAGACATGTACAACCAAACTTAGAAACTACGATGCTTAAAAAGCGGACAAGAATATTACCTAAGAACTATAACAAAACTCCCAACTCAATATTAACAAAAAAAGGCAATGGGCCAAAGGCCATGTCTAGAAATAAATACCACAAAAGGTAACAACAATAATCAGACTAACGCTGAAAGTGGCACTTGTTTAAACTCAGACATTGCTCCGCCTTCACAAGCATGACTTGATAGCCATAAAAAGGTTAATAAAAGACCTCAGAGACCAGGTAAATAAAACCGACCAACGAGACGAATAAACACTATGATGATCTTCCAGAAAAGGGATCAGGTTGTGAGTAAACGCCGAAAAGGGCATGGAAATTCAAACTCCGACAAAACATACTGTACTCGAAAACGTCAAAGACTAAGACCGATGTTGAAACATATCCATAACATTTCTCTCGACTGCTCCATGACCTAAAAAGAAATAAAACCTGCTTTAAGCAGTAACTCAGAAGTAAAGACCTCCACAAATACGACCACCAGATACAAAAACAAAATCTATATTTTCAAACTCTGAAATAAGATTCCCCAAGCCGAATGATTGGCGCGAGGGGGAGTCAACGGTAGATTCTGCGCCATAACCAGCATAAATAAAATGAGACTTAGAACAGCGCCAAACTTGGCAGTATAGAATATCAAAAAAACGAAATAAATATCACTTTGATACAGTTAAACTCGATCAATCATACCTCAAACCATACTTAACTTCTACAAACATCTACGGAAGAATATAAACTAGGTTTTCAATGATGCACTCGCGTGACCTAATCAGAAAAAAGACCATACACCTATACAAGTCAAAACCTGAACTCATACAATATTAAAACAAGTGCTCACCGCTTATAAAGAAACCATTCAAAGTAAAAGTATATCTATGTTATTACATAGCGGATCCTAAAACGAAAAAACAATAATAAAAGTGCAAGAGTGAAGACTTGAAAAGCAACTGGCCATTGCTAAGTCAACACACGCAGAAATATACATTAAATGTTCTGAAAATACTGAATAACAACATGTTAAATTGTGCTATTAAGTTAGCTATACAAAGTGCGAAGATAACCAGAGAATAAACACGAAAAAGCGTGAAGTAATAAAGATAAGGCAATAGCTGCCATGGAAAAGCTCAAACCAAGACTGCCAGCCAGGAATACTTGTGTTTGCAAAACCGAGTAAGGCACGGGCTAGGTTTGAGGGGGAGTATTGGATTTGAGATCCTGCAGTAGTGACTGCGCGTAAGCTCTGAGAATAAATAGAGGCTCCTGCCGGAGCTTCGATGGCAAACCAAGCCCTATACTGCGGAAACCCTCTTATTCATTAAGGAGAAGTCTCCTAGAAATGTATATAATTCTGTTTAGTATAAAAGTAGTCGAGAATCGACTCGAAGCGCAATTGGCGGCTTCCCCCCATCTGAGCGTGATTCCCAAGTTCCTGCCGCCGCAGTCCCCCGCTGTTGAGGCCACGCCGCTACCCCGTTCCTTATTGCGCCGCATCACCCCACCCTCTTCGCACCCCGTGCTTCCTCTCGCTCGTCGGAGCGCACGCACCTGGCTGCCGCATTGCCCCTGCATGCTGCCACCGCTGTTGGACAGCTCGCTGGACCCATCTGCATAAGCCCTCGAACTGAGGCCGCTGCTACTTGTGCACTCGCTGCACCCACCGCTGCACCTCACCTGTGCCGTGCCCCTGCCGCTGCACCCCTCACACACTGCCGCTCGTCTCCGCTGCCGTGCCAGCCCCATTGCTGACGCTGTCATTGTTGCTGCTCCCACGCTTGTTTTTGCTGCCATTTTTTGTTCCCCATCCCCATTGCGTTTTCTCCTGGGAGGCCAAGTCTTGTGACAAGTACCAACATACGGTTGGGAGGGTCAGATTCATCGGATTGTACCAGTCGCCCCCGCAAGGCCAGGTTGACGCAGCGAGTACGGACCGGACGTCCGGAGTGTTGGTCGCTTGCTGGAATGTAGTGGGTTTGTGTCACCATTTTTCCATGAGATCAGGTCATCGCAGCATACGAACCAGATGTTCGGAGGGTTGGACGTTTGCTGGATAGTGGATCTGTGTTTTTTGTGCGTTTTTGTTATCATCTTTTTTGTGTGTTTCGTCTTTGTATTTCTCGTGTGTTTTTGTCATTGTCTTTTTGTGTATTTTCATGTTTGCGTTTTTTGGTGTCCTTTCCCGTTTGCGCTTCAGTGGGTGCATTTCGTCTCTCGTTTTTATGTGTTATTTTATTTCTGTTGTTTTTTCTCCGCCGTACTCCGTTACTTCGCCGAGTGGGTGTATTGTAAATTGTGATTATGTAAGCATCTCAAAACTACGTACTGTACAGGACATCAGCCATGGTATATAGTCTGTGTACTTCGCTATGTTAATCTTCACGTGATTGCCCTTCAGGCTACTCTCCTGCCTGGGACAAACCGCACTTGTACTGTGTCGGCGAGCCCCAGCAACTCGAATTACAACAGATCATGGTGGGGTGCACAGGCTGTTTGCCCTTGTTGGTGGTAGCTGGCTTGGCGGTCTTGGCTGTGGGAGCTGCTGCCCTTGATGTTGATGCTGTTGGGATCATGGCCTTCTTCACATTGGTTAAGGCTGTAGTCTTCTTCGGCGTGGTTAACAAAGATGGACCACGCTTGTTGTTGCCACAGTGCCACTCAAGTCAGAGTGGGATGGGTAAGAATACATGAAGAGTGAAGATGCAGCTACAAGTGTGTGGGGCTCATAACCTCTGAGGTTTGCGCTGATGTGAGGTGTCTGCACTGGTAAGGTTTTACTTCACTTCTAGACTACTTTTATACTAGTCTTTTGTTTGTATTGGCTACTAGGAGTACTCTCCTATGCATTTTGCTAATGTATTATTAGTCTCTTGGGCTGTCTGCTCAGATTGGCATCAGATCATGTTCAGGGGCTTCTATTTACTTTCTAGGAGCTTTCTTAGTCATTGCTCCACACAGGAGCCTGTTGTGCAGTTCCAACACATGTCTGGGCCGTGCCCAGACATCCAATGTCTTGGATATCTCGGGAATGACATGATGTTCTTTATTCATTTTCCCTACAGACATAATGGTGAGCAGGGGTTTAACCCTTCACATAAAACCTGAGGACAACAAAATTGGTGCTGACCCCTTTGAGGATGACACTAATGTCGACAATGACACATGGATCAAACCTGTCAACTTCATGGCTCATCTCCTCAACCCTGGGGGCAAGGAGAGTACACAGCTGGCACCGGGAAAGGTAGACAAGCCGGATGCCAACGTAGACATGGTTCTGGTACCAGATCCGGAGGAGATGGGTTGGGGAAAACACTGTAGGGTCATGAGCACTAAGTTTGATGGATCCTTGGGTCACTAGATTACATTAGAGGGCTTGTAGTATTTTTCTCACATTTAATCCCATTGTATTTGCCTTTTTACTGTATGTCCACCATTCTTGGCTCACAAGGGCCTCACTACCGTGGACTGCCCACCCTTCATAAGCTCAGCTTGCAGGCCAGGGCGGACAATGGATGAGCCTACGGTTGTAAAAGTACAGTAAGTATTCACTGTGTCCAAAACATAATTGCTATGATTTTAGTTTGAGAGTTTTGCATAGGAAATGGGCTAGAGAGCCTAGTGTTCATCCTGGCGGGGGTGTTCATTCTGACGTATGAACCCGTTATGGGGTATTCTGTTGGTCTATAGTCACTAACTGAAAATGGGGTCCGAGGCCGAGGAGAACAGAAGTGTCGAGGGAAAGAGAAGTGATGAAAACTGAATAGGTGGGAAGGATATGTTAATGTGGCCCTGAAAACCAAACCTTGAGATCTTGCCGATAAGACTTGAGGTTGGTGGGAGCCTCAATGACGGGGAAGGGTGAGTCGAGGGATTCCGAGGATGAAAGAGATGGATGGATAAACGAGAGAACAGAACGTAATTGAGGAACTAGACACTGGTGCTGACGCGCTGGAGTTACGAAGAAACATAATACCCTGACTTGCCATAATTTGCTAAGTCCGAAACATGTTAAGTACGAATCGCGAGTAGCTATAGCTATATGGAATAGCCCTTCGTACGTAGAGAGTCCATGTATGTGAACAGGTAAGCTAAATAACACGGACCATGAATGTAAGGGGTATGCTGAGAAGTATCAAATTTAAATGGCAAGAGCATCACACACTCGCTGTTCATCGGGGAATGGGGTGAGTGGTGCATACTCTTGTATCATAGCCTCGCAAAACTGGACCTCTTCCATAATTGCCGCAACCAAATCGATGGCACGCTCGAAGGTGACCCGAAAATCCGATGATATGGTTCGCCTAAATGGTAAAGGCAGGGACCGTATCTTCTTAACAATCTCCTTACCCGTAACCACCTGAAGCGCCATGTCTCCGTACAATATACGCAATGCCTTCGAAGAGTCAGGCTGCGCACCGGCATGCAATCGATCCTCCTGGAACTTGAAGTTGCTGTCGGGTCCTCGATAGCCCATGGTCCAGTGGGCTACGAAAAGTCTGAGAGCCTGCAGAGAGAACGTAAAATCCGAGACGGAGATAGAAGGTGACCTGGATAAGGGAGTCAAGCAAAAGTCCACGCTCTTTGAGCTATCTTACTGCAAACCGACGAATGTGTTCATACCTTCGCCGGTTGAAACCTTCATTGTGTGACATGTCTCAAAGGACTCAATCGATAGCCTATAGATATCTTCGTCTGGGGGTTCACAAGTTCTGTAACGATATTCAGCCGAATGCATAGCACGGGATATGCATGATGCTTACTTTTTCTATGGGCGTAGGGAAATGGTGGAATGAGAGCGGGGGAGGTCGGGGCATCCGAACACAAGCCACGCGCAAACAAGGACAAACGGTATCTGTGCCTCCATCGATCTTGACTCGACAACCGTCAGCAAGTCCTCCATCCTCATCCAGTTAGCGCTCACGCTGCGTGTCTTGCACCTCATGTTCCGCTTTTTCAAGTGTATCAGGTGCGTGATCTTTTGTTGGCAAGACGGTGACGACCAACCGGCCGGATGCTCAGCCGGTTCGGCAGGGACATCGAGACGAATAACGAAAACACCGCCGCGTTCGACGCCGTGGTGAACTCATCATTCGTTATTATCACGGGCGTTCTTCTCCCTACTCCTCGTCCTTGCCGCCATTCTCTACCCCACGCATTACTCGCTCACTGGCATGTCTCCTAGCACGGGAAGGGGTCTTTCTGGGCTCGGGGAACTTGGAGGACGTCATTGCAGTTCGCACTCCGTCCGCCGAACGGTGGTCCATCAACGGGCTGCTTGGAGAACTCGATGCTATGGTCAAGGTGTATATTTTTACATGTCCAATCATGCATGCGTTTATGCTCACTGAATTCGTTCTAGATGTGTTCCCTTGACTTTGCCGAACTACATATGGGTGCCTTTTCTGTAGGGGCTAATGATGCGAGGTACGGCGAATAACCTATTCCCGCCTCCCTCGTGGCCGATCCTGCGAACAAACTCTACAAGGTAGGCCCTTTATGACAGCCACACTGCAAACGCTGATGGAGAGTAAACCTGCTTCTCGTTTATTGTCACAGTGGGCCCGATGCAAGAACGCTTCATGGAGCACATCGCGCTATGCACTGGATGTCCTCAAGAAGCGTCCTGCTGAACATGAGCAGAAGGGAAGTCAAAGGGGAGCGCGTGCATATCAGAACAAGACGACGCGCAGCCCCGAAGGGAAGGAAGTTCAGCCCGTATGTGCATACGCCATCATTGTCCCTTGTATACGTCGCTGCTACTCTTGAGCAGCTCAGTGGCGGGTTAAAAGGCATCACGTGCGTTCATTGAAGGCGAAGTTTCAATTTTCGTTCGTCTCGGTCAAGCACGGTCGAGCGCGGGACCCACTTTAGCTAATTTCTTACACAATTCACGCACGATTAACGCAGTCGCCATTGTATACTAGACACAATCGACGACCCTCTGATGAACTCCGTTTGTAGACTCCAGCGTTTCGATACACGTGTAATCTATCCCAGTCATATAGTATCATCGATCCATTATCGATCCATCCGTCCCATAATCGGGTGCTACAACTATAACCTCGAAGCTTATTTGTCCGCGGGATACACACGATCTTCACACTCCTCAACAACCCCCATTCCACTTCTATTCGGCTTTCTGTTCTTCCTTAGTGCTGTATGCTGCATTCAGACCTATCGGACTCAAGTGAAGACGAAGACGGGTTTGTACTCTGTAGATGCAAAAAATGTCGGAAAGGGCGTACCGTCAGGAACGGTAAAGAGGTCAGCGGTACCATGGTTTCGTCTTCGACTCGCCATCGTCACAAGGAGGCTGCCAAACTGGAGGTAGGGACTACAGTCTTAGCGTCTGCTCTTTGCGAGAGTCGGGAACGCAAGAGCACGAATCAGAGCGACTTACCGGTAAGGGCGAAGGACATAATGGAGGTGGTAGTCGATCCAAAGGGCCGTAAGGTAGGTGGTTGCGTACTGCCGCGAGGCGACTGACCAAGGCCTCAAAGGCTGAAGCTGCCGATGTCGATGAACGCCGAGAAGATCTCTCCCGGAAACAAGAAGATAGGGCTGGCCTATCTGAACCTGTGTTGCAGGTACGAGTGAAGTCGCATTACCACTCATCAGACGCCAGCTCACTCCGGACAGCAGCCTCCTTCCACAAGAATCCGAGTAGAGAACGCTATCAAGGAACTTGGTCTCATAAACTCTGAGATGGACCGCCGTACTCGATCTTTTAGACTGCAGCCTCTTCGCCTTGCTTTTAGTCAAGATGTCGATACCACCAACGCGGCTGAAGCCATGAGAGCTGCGGGCCACGAAGGTTCGAATCGATTGTTCATCGAGCAAGAGGGATGGTTGCTGGCCATCCAACAGCGACTCGAGTTGGTTGGCACAGGCGATGACCGAGATGCCGAAGCTAGGAAGAGAAAACTAAGCGAAAGAACCGCCGAAGACCTTCAAAAAATGCAAAAGACTCTGCAAGACCAATTTCTCTCTCACAATGTACGGGCTCAACTCGCAGAGGCTTTCGAACAGCGTACCACGTTAGAGGAACGCCTAGAAATGGGTCCCGAGTTGGTATCTACAGGTGAGAGCCTATGTTATGGAGAGCGAATGTACAGCTGACTTTCAGTAGAGCGACACTTCCAGGACAAAGCAAAGAGCTATGCCAAGTCTTCAGCCCTGTTCATAGGCGCCTTCTTGGTGGTTCTTTTACATGTGCTTGGAGGCGTGTCACGTTCCGATATCAATGTCATATTAGCTGCGATCAGACTTCTCATCGCAGCTGTCTTCTGGTCTGGCAGAGCAAGCTTATCGCTAACTAAGGAAGAGGAGAGTTACATCGATCGCTTTCCGAAGGAATTACGCACGGCTCTGGATCAATTCGACCTCAAGCCTGACCTTACCCACTATGCATGCTGCCCCCGATGCTTCGCTCTCTACCTACCAAATCCGAAGTCACATTACCCTGAAACATGTACGTTTAATTCAACGCCTGAGGCAGAGATCTGCGGGGCTCCTCTCCTACATCCTACGGCAAAAAGGTCGGGTAATCTACGAACCGATGATTGCAAACCCCTTAAAACGTACGGCTACCAACCCTTTTCCTCTTGGCTAGCGCGTCTGTTCTCTCGGCCGGGGATAGAAGACGCTCTCTTAACAGCACCTACCAGCGGTGATGGAGTATGGAGGGATATCTGGGACGCAAAGGGTTTACAAGAGATTAAGGAGTCGGACGGCAGACCCTTTCTCACTTCAATCGAGTCAAACTCGTCTCATCTGGTTTTCAGTCTATTCGTGGACTGGTTTAACCCCTACGGCAACAAACAGGCTGGAAAATCCCACTCTACAGGAGCAGTTTACATGGTCTGTCTTAATCTCCCTCCTCATCTCCGCTATAAGTTGGAGAACGTCTATCTTGTGGGCGTCATACCAGGTCCTCGAGAACCCTCGCTAGACCAGGTGAACCATCTTCTCCAACCTCTGGTCGACGACCTTCTATGCTTGTGGGTGAACGGTATCAGGCTAAACCGGACATACAAGTTTAGCGGTGGACGCATCGTCCGCGTGGCATTGGGTCCTCTGGTCTGCGATCTTCCAGCAGCAAGGAAAACGGCTGGCTTCGCAGGCCACAGTGCTGATCTCTTCTGTTCTTTCTGCCGGCTCTCTCGGAAGGATATTTCCAATTTAGTTAAAGCGTCTTGGCCGGAACGTTCATCCGATCAGCACCTTCATGATGCGAAGAGATGGAAAAATGCAAAAAACGAAGGCGAGCGTCAGAAGATGGCCATGCGTAGAGGAACCCGGTGGTCAGAGCTACTGAGACTCACGTACTGGGATCCACTCAAGTTCACTGTCCTAGATGCCATGCATAACCTCTTCCTGGGCGAGTTTCAGCACCACTGCCGCGTTGTTTGGGGGTTGAATATCAAATCCGAGCCAAGCAGCTCTAAGCAGACCAGGTATTTGCCCCATAGTCCCTCCGAACAGACCAAACAGCTTCTCGCTGTCAAGGATGGCATCACCACGGCCTCCATGAACAAGTCCCTGAAAAAAAGACGTAAAGGTTATTTGACCGCTGTTGCGCAGTTGAACCAAGTCCCCGTCCCAGGAGTTTCAGATAAAAAAGAGGTATACATATCCGCTCTGCTGGAATGGGTAAGCATCGTCGTCATATAATCTCTTCGTTGACTAATTTCGCATTCCTCAGTATAAACAGAATCCTGGAAGAGAAATTCTGCTGCCCATGGTCATGGATGAAGCAACAAGCGACTTTGTGCTGACCGGTGACGACTTGGAGACCGCTCCCGACGTCTCAAAGGTCAGAGTATTAAGCAAACAACTCCTTGAAGTCGTTCAGGAAGATATGAAATCCACGACGTACCCCACATGGTTATCCCGGCCTCCGAGTAATTTCGGTAGCCCCAGTCACGGAAAACTCAAAGCAGACCAGTGGCGTAATGTCTGTAATATCTCTCTCGTTATCACCCTTGTCCGTCAATGGGGTGCTCCCGGCGCTACCAGCAGAGAAAGACTTCTCCTGGACAACTTCATCAATTTGGTCATTGCCGTCGACATGGCTACACGCAGGACGACATCACTCGAAAGAATACGAATCTACGCGACTTGTATGAAGAACTACCTTTCCGGGTTGAAGGATCTCTTTTCGGATCACAAGCTGGTTCCCAATCATCACCTATCCTTGCATCTCGATGAATGTCTTCATCTGTTTGGGCCAGTCCACGCATGGTGGGCCTTTCCTTTCGAGAGGTACAACGGGATCATGCGGGAAACAAACACTAATCATAAGCCAGGTGGGTCTTGGTTTTGAAGCAAACGTTCAAGCTAGCTAACTCTCACCCGCAGGCGAGATGGAGATGACTTTTTCCAAATACTTTAGTATGGCTTCTAACTTGCGGGCCTTGATCGCAGACATGTCCTTTCCCGATTCGCCCCATTTTCAAAGGTTCAGACACCATTTATACCTTGCTTTCTCCTCGATCTCCACTCGCCCTCTGGACAGGTCTATCTTAGGTGAAGATGCCGAGCCGAAAGGAATTAGTGAATCTTTCGCCTCAGAGAAGGGAGCTTCACACAGGGATTCCCTTCCGCCAACAGTATACCTTGAGCTTCTGCGCCTCATCAATCAGACATCAACATCGTCATTCTCTGCTTGGGATTCGGAGGAAAGAGGCCTTGCGTTTCTGGACCCGAACGCAGAGCTAGTGAACTCCGTCTCATGTGATGGAGTAACGTACTCCACCTCCAACCAACCGCGTCACAAGGGCAACTCTTTGGTCCTCTTTCGTAGATCAGATGGCTTGCAGGATGCGCCGCCGTCCGCATGCCAGATCAAATCAATTTTTCATCATTCACGCACCGAAAACTCGACGGTGGTGAGAGAGACCTTCTTCGTCATCAGAAAGTTCAGGCCGCTCTCATGTTCTGATTCTCGACACGATCCGTACCTACGCTTCAAAAATCTTGGTGCATGGCTATGCTATAACAGTCTGGAGCTCATAGACGACGTTGTTCGACTTGATAACATCGTGTCACATTTCGTATCATTCGTTTACACGCCAACAACCTTGAACACGGAGTGCATTGTCGTCAGGTCATTGGATAGGGTAAGACCATACTCACACACGTACAATTGCATTGGGGCGACCGCTGATCTCCATTTCACAGTCCTAGAACGTCAAACGCTGTAGCATCGTATGGGACTGCGTACCCTTCTTATTCCCCGAGACCCATTGCTTACAGTTGAATGACCAAGGGATGACGATCGATTGGCATTTTAGGGCTACGTACTGTAGTAACAACTTGGATATGCGATACGTCGACTTAGCAAACGCAACAATCAATCCCTGCTTTTATCTACGCCCCATGACCAATCCTGGGCTCGAGCCATAGACCACGCCTCCGGAAGACGAGGCATTCGGGATGGTTGCCTAAGACGCTTCCAGGAGGAACCCCTAACCCACAACATTGTCAGTGACGCCTTTAATGTGTCTCGTCCGGGTTACGCGGCCCCCATTGCAAGACTTTCTCAATCCCACAAGATACTTCCTTCATCCGCCTATTACGAGAGAAGCAGCGATCTAGCAACGCCAACTAGTCTTGATTGGCTCATGACGACGAAGCAATCTTGGGGACGCTATCCGTCGCATGAAGGGTTGCCAACATCGGCCGTTGTGGATCCGATTTCCCAGTACCCAAGGGTAGAGGTGTGAAGTGACGGTGGCTAAATCACTCGTGGGGGGTTACTTCGTCAAACCCGTGAAAAAGCGATGCTGAGACCCGTAAGCTAAAGAACAGTGGTTACAAAATAGAAAGCAAGGCGATGATTCCACATTTACAGTAGACCGATTCAGACCACAACGCTTATAGTGCCGCGTTGCTGGCGACTTGCCTTCTGTGAGTATTTTGGGGATTCTATCCAGTTATACCAGGAGTGGCATAGAGAAGTTCTTAATTTTCCATGAGCCTACGGATCAGGGAGCAGAACAGCTTAATACATACCGCATCCAAGAGCTACGCCCGGAACGCCTGCTTGCTTCTCAGTTCCATCTCGCTAATTCACTGAAGTCACATTACATATACTAACATAACTCACATCGTCTGAGGTTGCACACCTTTGGCCCACCATCTTCAAGAAGACCTGTTCACATTCGGTAGGAATATGCAAGAATAGACGTTCGAGTTTGATATCTGAGACTCTTGTTACCTGTGGATAGAGGCGGCGACGTACACCGCAACCGCTAGCATACTGCAACCAGTTGCTAACTCTTGAGTTCATGGACAGAAAAGACGTACCTGCACTACTTTCCTCCTACGATAGGACCCTGGCAGGATGAAATCCGGTATAGAGCCTACATACAGAACGCATAAGCCAGGCGAGGGGCGGAGATGAGATGAGGTAAGCATGTTTCAGAGCAGCAATGAATCCAGAGAAGCGCTCTGACCGGAGAGAATTGGGCGTAGTACTAGCAGAGCGCAAGCGTTGAAGCTGAAGCCTAGACGATCTATTTAGTACTTGACTCAGGAGCTGGTAGAAGTGGGTAGAGCGCTGGCACGAAACGGACCACGTACCGCTAGCGCACATTCCTCTCTGCATGGTTGACGGACATATTCATGGTGGCCGACATACAAAGGGTTCGAAATCGAATCTAATCGAATGCTTTAACGTGGATAAGTGGCCGAGCGACAGACACATTAATCACGTGACCTTAATAATGGCCGATGGCACACTGCGCTGCCGCCAAGCGCGTTTTACTACAACTTCCCCTCGCAGCCAGTATCCGATGCAACTAACAGCTGCTGCTGTAAGACCGTGAAGGTGAGAAAGTATGCGCTGGTTCTCTTCCTTAAGTTAGATGACATGGTCGCTCACATTATACTCGTGCAGTGTACACGACTCAAAGTCAGATGTCTTGGACACCCATCACACATGGGCTTTGCGTAACAATCCATCCTTCTATCTATTAAACAAAGAATCAACTTATCGGGTACATTATCTTGTAAGCTCTATATTGTGCTCCACAACGTGGTTTCGTGCTTGTTCCTATTCAACGTTGCCAGTGGATTCATGGACGAGCGGAAAGTTGTCATCACAGCTTGCATCACAGAGAGCTCTCGCACAAGCTCTTCCTATCACTCCTCAATAATCCACGCTTGCGAACTTTGGGAGGTTCTGTGCCCCTATGACGTGGCCATATCAATGTATTTTTGGCTCACAGGCAGTTCGAGCCTAGACAAACTCTGGGTGGTGCGAAATCACCATAGTCTCAACCATTGGTACGTCACCCCCATTCTTAGCAAGAAGCGACCGCTTAGTACTTACTCCCATTACAGAACATGCAAACCCAGGGCAACGAAGTTCGTGGTGATCATGGGGGCTGTGAGGCAGAAGCATGCGACCACTACTGCAGAAAGCCAGTTTAGTATGATAGTTGCCTCGCCGACTGTTTCTAGCGTCGACCCTTACAGGTTCTCTAGATCTGACATATACATTATGCATGCTATATAGCCACCAATTTATGTGTTTTCAGAAACAATCGCTTCGAACAAGGTCTCGTGCTATCTATGTACACCCAGTAAACGTATAGGTAGTAAACAAAGTGTTCGGTAAGACTGACCCGATCACATGCCACTAAATGTGTAAAAGGTCTTAACAATGCTATCTTAGACATTTCAGCGAATGGAGGCATGGAAAACACGTTGGGAGCAATCGTATCTAAGGACAAAAATATCCAGCAAAAACCTCTTCAATTCTAGGACCGAAATCTATCCCCCCTGCTCTCCTACTGCCAACCTGCGCCACCCCCTCCTCAGAAACAATGAGACTTTCTCGTACAGCTGTCATCTTTAACACTATGTCCAGGCCCACCTTCCCCACGTCATTCAACGCCATAGATTTAGACCGATTGGCAAGCTCGTTTAGTGCGGGTTTGAGCCAAGGTTTTATGTCGTATTTGTAGGCAAGCACCACTTTATCGACTGGGTCCATCGCAGCGTGTGTTAATTTCCGTACTGCGAGTTCATAAGCGGCAGGAAAGTCCCAATGGTACGAGAGATCTAGGACCAGAACCCATTCCTGCAGAGGCCAAATTGACACGGGCCCACCGGAATGGACAACTTTCAGTAGCAGTTCAAATGCGTAGCGAAATACTCCTTCGAGGACAACAGGGTGCGACTCGTCCCGAGTATGAGTTGTGTGGCCCCCTGGTAGCAAAGAGAGCAATGCTGAAAAGACCTCAGAATGTTTTACTAAGATCGGGTGTGACGCTTTGCGAAGTACGAGCACATCTTCTGCCTATAACCGCATTGAGTTGGTAATCATGTTCATGTTCAAGTAAAGTATCAAACCTACGTCGATGGAAATACCCCGTTTGCCACGAGAATCATAGAGCCCGTCTAATGAAATAGCACCTCGGGAATGTTCTTCAGACCGTCCCATCTGAGCGGTGCGTGGAGAAGTGATAAATCCCGGTCAGCACTTCGCAGCCATGAACGTGTGCACCTGTTGCCTCTTTTGAAGAAGCGATAGTAGAACCATATCGACCATGCACGCTAGCGTGATCATACCTTTGCAAATGATTGCCACAGGGCTCATCGTTTAGAGGCTCTGTCCAGGGAATCCGCGGCGTTGAGCGAATGTTATTTATCTGTACGCGTAAGAGGTAGCAGATGTGTCGTACTCGGATCAGAGCCTGCTCACTAGCTTCCACAACAGCTGCTTGAGAGGTTTCAGCTGAAGGGAATAAGATGGGCGCTCAGGAATCCAGAGCAATGGTGTCATATTTTCTACATAAGTTGTGATACAATCTCGTCTTACTCGGCAAATTCTCTCGTCTCGAATATTCATACGAGGCAAAGGCTTTTCAGATCGATGTAACCGATACGCCAGAGTTCAAATACCGCGGAAGGGAATGTATAAGTTCCTATGCCGTCCCGGAATAATTTGACACTACCCAGCGAACGATTGTAGGTATGCGCGTAGAACATCTACCCGTAGCTTTACCGACGAAGAAAATGGAGACTTGTAGGAGATGACCGTGCTGTGACTCAATGTAGCATCAGTCGTGTGCTATACTAACAAGTAAGGTTCTTGAAGCCAGAGGTCAAGAAAAGAGACTGCGCACGTTCAGAGTAGTTGCTTCTGGTAAGGAGACAAAAGCTGGAGAGTAACGCGTTGGTTCGGAAATATTTCAGAAAGACCAAAGCGAGGTGCCTAAGGTAAGGCAGGATTATCAATAAATAAGAGATATTTGTAGCATTAATATTACCCACCACAGGCAGTCCACGACGATACAACGTCGGAAGAGTCCAAATAGTAACAATCGAAATTACTCTTAAATCATCCTTGTCGGCGACTTCGGGCTCAGCGTCCGGTTCCTGTTCAGGTCCTGCACGAGCTCTCGTTGATCTGGTCGCTCCATCTTCTTGCGGCTTGCTGTGTGATTGGTGCATTGGGTGGGGCGGACACGGCGACCATAAGTTTACTCACACTCCCGCGATGCCTTCTTTTTTGCTACAGCCTTCTTGTCTTTCATTCTTCGTTTCAGGGAGTTGTCCTCCTCACCTTGCCGTTTGTGATACTCCAAAATCTAATGAAATCGTTAGTCAAGCATGTGCATTCACTCACGGCTTCAAACTGGTTGAGTGCTTTATCCAATTGGCTGGCGGCTTTATTCGATCGAGCCTACACCAAAATTAGACTAGTATGATGGAGATCAGGAAAACCATCCATTACCTTCTGGATGATCTCCTGGAAGCGCTCGAAGGCCTGTTCTTCATATATTTTATCTCGGTGAAATCAGATCTTCGATAAACTTCCGACCGAGCGCTACGACTCAAGTCACATATAAGCGAAAGATGATGTCGCGCTGTTGCGAAGGATCTTCAGATGACGGAAAGCGTTGGCAGGTTTTTTCCCTGGCTGGGTGTTAGGTGAGCGTTCCGGCGTCGAACTTAGGAAACGTCCATACTTTCTTGCTGAAACTAAGAATATAGCGTGACGTTGCCCGGAAAATTCTTTCGTCCGAGTCGTGCTCTCCGGATGATAGATAACTGATGACTATGTAAAGCACGTTAACGATAGGAAGAAATTATAGCTAAAACTGAATATACCATCGGGCATGTTGTTGTAGATGGCATTCCTTTTCGTCGATAGTTCCTTGAAAAACAGCTTCGCGAGGTCCGAAATACGCCAGTCTCATCCTCGAGAGACTTGACCATCTCGCTGAGCTGGCTCTTCGCTTTGATCATGCCATTAATATAAGATGTTGATACGCAGGTTGGGGTCTCGCGAGGTTTCGAAGGTCTTAAAGAGGTGCTGGTGCGTGACGCAGAACTGATGTAGAGAAAGTTCTTGAAGGAGATAGTGGCCGCCGAATTGAGGGTCCCTTTCTGTGGTAGTGCAGGAGTTTGAAACCGCTCCAGGAATATGGAAGGGCGAGGGGTACTTACCATGAACTTGTGCAGGCTTCTGCGCACATGCACAAGTAGGCTGTACACCGCCAGCAGCGGCTGTGGGCCGTGAAGCAGCTCAGTCTCTCGCATGTCAGCGATGTGTTCGCCAATCTCTTCTCCCCGTTACCAGCGGCTTGTTAAAGCTTCTCACACCCCTTGGAGACTTTATCCGTCGAGCCTTTGGAAACTGCGAGTTTCTCAACTAAATTTCAGATGGTAAATATTGGAGTTACGTGTGTGATATATGAGACACGTACCAAATTCCCGTTCGTCCTTCCGCCGTTTCCACTCCAGGAGGGAAGCGATGTGCTTGACGAATACACGACCAACGAAAAAGAGCAGCTGGCTGAGCTGGAACACGTGGCCCATGTCGTCGATCGGAGGTTGAGAACGACCACATGGGTTCGATCCAGGCCACTGCCACGCTGACCCTTCGGACTGCGCAGGCGCCGCGGATGCGGGCGGCTCAACTTCATCCGTCCTATCCTCGTCTTCATCCTCGTCGTAGCCCTGGCCCTTCTCCTCCTCCTGAGGACCCTTATCTTCGCGGAGCGCGGCATCTCTTTCGTCCGTTTCCTCCTCCAAGCTACTCCGCTTTGGTCTTGGAGGACGCTTAATCAACGCCCGCCAAGAAGAGTTCGTGATCATCATCTGCGCCCTGGTCATGCACCCGGACGAACTGTGCTTCTTCAAGTGCCTCGCGTTCCTCCTCTAGACGTGCGCGCTGCTCGAGCTCTTCCTCTATGCGCCCGAATTTCTGACCAAAAAAAGAGTTAAGCGAGGGGTACGATGGACGGACAAGACGCGTGTTTTACCTCTTCAAGGGGCTGGAGAGACTATAGTGATGACATTGCTGAGCCGTCTGTCTGCTATGGTGGCTGTTACGTGGGAGTATTAGCACTCGCTGCGCTGCGCAGGCGATGAGGCAACGTTACCTCGCCGAAACGGGTGACAGAGCTGGATCCGGCGCGTCTTTGGCGGGTTTCTGCGACAGAGGAGCAGCATCCAGCTAATCGCCTGCTCAGCCATGCTAAACTAGTCTTTCGAGTGGCAGGGTACTCGATCAGTTTCCGGACTTTCTTGAGGTCGGGTGGTCCATCTCGAGGCGAATACTTTTGTCGTGGAGTGAACCTAGAGTAAAATAGTGGATGGATTAGCTGTCATTTCCCGCCCGAAACAAGGTTGCCAAAGAAGTGCCTACCTTTGATATTATTTGCGCTACCAGTGAGCCATTGGAGTGCGACACAGGCATACCAGGCGAGCATGAAGCCTATCTAGGGTGTTGGAGGTTTTGTGAGCACTCGTAGTTTACGTAGTTCGCAGATACGTACCCTGCTTCACGGGTCCTAGCCAACTCGCAAGAGTGTCTGCAATCTGTCGCTAATGACGTTTGATTTTGCGGCTTCGAGCATTTTTGCGAGTAAACCAATAGCCCTCGCCCTTGAGATCGAAGAACCTGCTTCGCTGAGCCTGGAACGATAATCAGGGTGACGCTTTCGCACGTTCAAAGAGTCAGTCACGCACTGTAGACCTGCCATAGTTTCGAAAGCCTCATACAATTTCCTCCATGAGTGTCTTCAACATCTCCTCCAGACGGGTCAGCTCGGCAAGAGTTGCCTCGTATGTCAACCTAACAGAAATACTGATGAGCATGGCCCGGATCAGATGAAGTACACGCCTGTTACCTAGTTAGATAGGAAGTTCAATGAAACGGAAGTCAGAGCAGCGCAATACTGATGCACATTGGCGGCCCTCCGTTTATTACGCATGCACAGCACGGAAAAAAATCCGCGCCTCCAACACCTCTAGTTTGCCTAAAACTCCCAAGTAAATGTCGATATCCGTCATAGAGCCCTCAAGCCCACATCTAACGTTGAGCGCATCAGTGCAATACTCTTCGTGCCATTCCATGAAAAAACATAATCACTCGCCTCCAGCCCCGCGACTGCGAGGTTCTCCGATACCACCGCATCCCTATTGAACTCGGACTTTGAGGCTTCTTCTTGGGCCCTTTGAACTTCTTGGGAGTTTCTTCCTGGGCGTTGCGTCTGGGTCATCGGGGTCCGTATCTTCCTCGTCCCAAACGTCTACCTCGGTATGCCGCCCCGAACGGCTTTATCTACTTTAACATCGCCGTCGGTCTACGCTTTGAGATGAGACGAGGCGACTTATAGGCAGCATGATGCCATGCTCACCTCTTTAGCTCATTTCCCTCTCCATCCGTTGCTTCGCCTTCTGCCTCCGCTTGGCCTGTTGCCTCCTCTTCCTCTCCACGTGCGATAGCCTTACCCAACTTTTCTTCGACCTTCTGCAACTCCGCCTTCGCATTCTTCCAGAGCACGTCCCGCTCCGACGCGTTCGACTCTCCGTCTCCCATAACAGCATACGGATGCGGCACGATAATCCTTGTAAGCAGCGCAAGCACATTCTTCCGCACGACTGCGGCCTTGTCACGTCGTGGCCCGCGTCACCTTGAGTCGCCCTTTGAGTCGCTGTGTCGAAAATTTGACCTGGCGGAAGTCGCACAGCTTCAAAATTGCCTGGGTGACCTTGTCCTAGACGTAAGATGACAAAACGAGCGAACACGAGAGCAGGAGCCCAAAGAGCTGCTCAGACTGCTGGCTCTGCTGGTCTTTGTCACGGATGATCGCCTACGCCTTCGTGCTCTTCCCGCACCGCAGCCACTGCGACCTCACGGATGAGCAAGCCAACTACCTCCCTCGAAGAGCGCCATGTGCATTGGGTAAGACATCGAGTCGAGATGGCTGAGCAGCAGCGAACTTTGCTTGAGGGCCGCGCGGGGCGCGAGCTCGGCGAGTCGAGTGAGGAGCTTGGAGTATATGCGCGGACCACGAATATCTTAGCCATCGAGGCTCTTCCATGCTGGACGTGCTAGGCATCTAATCAGTCGTTTAAATATTAACTCTCTAAAATAAAAGCGATCAGAAAGGGCAACGTACGTTATGGGGACTTCTCTCCCCGGAGTCACCATATCCAATGGGTTTTGAGCTTGATCCATGCGTATCTTATAGCATTGAAAACATCCTCTACATGGTCCGCTCAGCTCCATGTCTCAGGAAAGCCTTTCTTCGTTGCCGCTGCACGACTTGCGGCCGTCTTCCTCCGGCGTTTTTGCGTTGGTGGAGGAGCGCTGGCTCGTCCTCCGATGCCTTGACTTTATCTGCAGCAATGACGAACGAGTTGATCAAGGATGCGTACATCTTCAGAGGGGATGTGTGAGCTGTGAACACCTCTTGTTCCTCGTGTTCTACGTCGCGAATGATAGAGTTCAGTTCGGCTGCGGGACCAGAGGTGTCGGCGTCTAAGAGTTTATTCACGTACATCCCGGGTCATTCATCCACTGAATTGAGAATGCTTCGAAAACGGCCGAACGTCTGTGGGTCAGTGATCGCGTCCGAAGACGCTGCCACGACACGACGGCCTCTGAAAGTGGAACGCAGGTTAGACGCAAGCTCCAACACGAAAGGTGATGTAGCTACGCACCTTGTAGTATCTCTCCAGAAGCCTCTGAACTCAAGTCATGCTCGTGGGGAATACTGTAAGTGCACAAGTCCTGGAAAACAAGCTGGTCCGCAGGGGAGCTCAAATGATATGGACGTGCTGAATGTCTTGAATCGATGCGGCCTGATACTGCCAGAGGGGCAGAGGATTCCTTTGTAGGTTAATTGTGGAGGTTAGCTCCAGCACATGTACCACATAGCGAGCGGGGGCTTACCTCCATGTACGCGTGAAGCTATCAATATTCGTCGCGACAGAGCTCGAGGGTGGGCTGAGCAAGGGTGTCGCGCGGGATCGCACAAGCCGTTAGTCACGTGATACATCCAGAATCTTCGCACGTTTGCCTTCTGCGAATGCAGCTTTGTCCCCCGCTTCCCTCTGTGACAGTTATTGGCCGGAGGTGCCGCCCCACAAAGTCTTCCTGTTCTTGCGATCTAAGCGCCAACGTCAGTAGTTAAGTGGATCGTCAGTTCAAGGTTCATGCCAACGATTCCAAGACCGTCGCTAAGGAGCGCTGCGATTGCGAGAATGGTAGATCGTACTAAGAATGTCACAAGGATAGAGTTGGGATAGAGTATACGAGGACGGTCCACATGATGTACAACTGTATACGAAATACAACGGAACTCGGTACTCAGTAAACAATGCATACATCTTCCTCGCTGAGACAATAACCTCCGCGATGGCACTGTAGTGATGGGTCGAAAGCTGTCGGAGTATACAGCGTATGTACTCCCGCTCCGAGTAAGAATACAACGAGTTCCAAGTCGTCTTCATACCATAAAATAGGACTAGAGGATGCGAATCCTCCGAGTGATCAGCGAATAGCAAGGGATCGCATGTAGTGTCATTTCGCGGCGCTATCCCTCCACTGTACATGCTACCGTATGTGATCGTGAAAACGCACGGAGGTTTAAGGCCCGAGTGCATCAGCAAGCGCTCGAATGCGACGCTGACAGCGTCCTCGATCTGTAGCCACTTGCAACATAGTGGTGTGCTGTGATCGCCCACCGAAGCAATGATCGCCAACGAAGACGGCCTCCGAGTCCGTATCAGGCGCGTTACGTTGAAGACCGTTTTAGCACAGACAATTGGGTATAGCAATTATATTTACGCAGTGCCGGTCGACGAGACGATTAGCTATGTATTTACAGGTCGAAGGAACATAAATCGACACCGCAGGCTATTTTCACATTTTAAGTCCTCTCTGGGTGGAGCTGATGCTCCTCGTACAGGGAGTCGTCCCGCTCGTACTCTACACGGGCTACAATAGCGAGAGTAGGTCATCGAGGCGGAGAGGGTGCGACAGGAGCGTAAGGACGCTGTTGACAAGGTGTAATCTTTTGTGGTGTACAGATTGAATGAGAAAACCCATGCGAAGACATGACGAGAAGAAAAGTACCCCGTACCACCGTTTGCCGTATGCCGTTTGAAGTCGGAGGTCGGACCAGGGGCTCCCGAGGATGCTGCCAGGTATGTAACCTGGATATCAAACATTTGAGTGCCGTTCATTCGTGGTGTCGTCGAAAGACACATACTAGCAACATAGGCAAGTAGAACGAGACCGGCTTTCAATGACATACGGGCTGGCAAGTATGCGTGCGCCGGCGTACGTGATGTTCATCCCCAAGGCGAAGAAAAGCCCTGGAAGATTAGATGATTGGTGTTAGATAATATACCAACGCTATGAATAAGACGAGACAAACTTGCCTGATGGCACCCTCACATAGGGCGGTATGGGGTTGATATCCGCGAAACAGAGGCTGTCTTCCTTCATCGCATCCGTGGACATCATAACAGACATCATCCTCTACCTTCCAAATCCCCGGATGCTGAGCCTGCTGCTCCACTTGTTCTTTGCCACCTATCACATGCTCTGCTGCAGCTGCGACGTCATAGATCATGGCGAGCGTGAAGTGAACCTGGACGCCGGATTGATGTTGAACGTTGAGCGCTTGAGAACGCTGAGCTGCAGTGGGTAAAGTACGCGCGTCACGCACGCACGTGAATGTGATGCCTGCGGAATCACCGCTAATTTGGGGGTGAGCAAACGTCCTGAGCAACAATGGCAAAGCCGTCACGAAGGTATAGAAAAGGTTTGGCGGGCATTCAAGCTCAAGAAGCGACTGAGATGACTTAAGACAACGCTATTCTAGATCTTTAAGAACGGCAACGGGACTCGATCGGAGCCGGTAGGTCCGCGCGACTTGGCTGGCATGCTTTTCAGTCTCCGATAGGTTCGCGCAGCTACCTTTCGGTCTCCGGTAAGTCCGTGGGACGTAACCCACATGCCTTGAATGGCATGTATTCCAATCTCCGTCAGGCCTCATTATTGAAGCTAAGCCTTTGTCAGACACCATCCAGACCCTAATCTTAGCTTAGCCGCTGTGCTACTCCGACTACGTCTGTTCGACATCTCGACCGTTGCAGTGCTCGTTAAACTCATTCTGCAGGTCTAAGTTGATGTTCTAGCGTCCGAACAATCGCTGACTTGTCAAGTAATCCAGGCCGCATGGACGGAAAGGACTGGACCTTTGAACTAAGGACCCCTTTCAACGACAACACCAATGAGACGAGCTGTCTATCGCTCCCCCCACCTCAAGGTTGGACGGATGAAATGGAAGCCGAACTGCTTGCACGAGTCACGTTCAGCTGGGAATTCAAGAAGTCGTACAACTCTATGACGAACTACACAGCACCTGGCGTGTTGGTGTTCGTGCCTTAACGCTACTCTCTTCTACATGCTTACCCCATACCTACTATGCTTTTTAGAGGTGATCCTGTCCAAGAAGACGATGCGACACCGAGGTAGGGCGTCGTAGCCTCTTCATGCATATTAATACTTGGCTCATGAGACGTTGCCTTGGAACCGGGCTCCTTAGCCACTCTCACACCAAAAACGATGCGGAAACCAAGGTCAGTCTCCCAAACTGTCAGGTCAATCGCAGCGGGAGCCAAGCTGATACCCTCCAGTTCAAGGTTTCAGAACGGAAACGACACAAATTCAGGGCCAGTCCGGGGGGCTACAGTTGGTTTGAGTCTGAATGGAACCAGCACCTCGATAAACCCCCAGTGCTTGAAGACATCAAAGAAGGCGATTTTTTCGTTCATTGTTTCGGTACTAAATACCAGGTTTGGATCTGGACACCGCAGGAAGGGGCTATGGGGTGGCTGTCCGTCGGGCCTGGGTATTCGCCGAAGAATTCTGACCGGCATGTCGTCATCACGAAGAAAGGCTACCTATCCCTTGTTCAAGGGCCGACCTGGAGGAAGGAATATCAGAATAAATCTTCGCCTATAGTTCCCCCAGCTTGAAGATAATGTGCTTTCTTAATACGTATATCTATATACTGGAAACATGTAAATTTTCGTGCAGTTATAGTCGTGCACGTGGCAGCTGGTTCAATTGTACTTATACGGGTAGTCGGATAGGTGTAGATCGGTATGTCAAGTAAATCTTAAGGCCCATGGGTCCAGGCGAATGCGTATGTGGAGACATAAAATGTGAAACCGGGGATGCGAGAATGATTACTGATCAATCATGGCTTCTAATGGCGAAGCACATCCAGAGGCCATTTGGGGTGGCTGTTTTTAACTGCAAAATTTCAGGGGTCCTATTGAGAGTGCGTGCCTTTTGAGCGCTTGAGCGCTTAGCCCGTGGGGTTGGGGCGGCTCAAGCGCTCAAGGGAAGCTAAGCTAAGGGCAGCCGCTAGTCTCGGTGCATCATATTCCCTTCTGAACACATACTTACACAGGGTCGCAACCAGCGTATGTAGATCACTCGCACCAGATACAAATCAAATCCTCTCTGTCCCTCTCTCTCCTTACGAACATCACCCATGCAAATCTAAACGTTCGAGCGGCCCACTGGGAGGCATGCGTGACGTGTACCTTCCATATGAAGATATGCCCTCCTTCCATATAATGAGTCCGACGCTTGATCATGAGCACCTTCGAAAAATTCGACCTGCGGTTTCTCCCTACAACTCCGTGTTCCTTTGCCCACTCCAATAGCTTAGGAGTTGGTCTCCCCATCGCTAAGATGCCAAGCAATAGCGACAAGGGCCAAGCCAAGAAAACCAAGAAAGTCACTTTTAATGAATCAAAAGTCGGAATTGAGGACCGTAAGGGTACGCAGGTAATATCACAAAAGCTTCTCTATCGCAAGGTAAAGTTACGTTCGCTTTCCCGAAAACAATCTCGGTGCTTACATCGTATATTCTAGGCCACACCTCGCTTTGATCATGACGCTGAGGTTATGTTTGCCTACGAAGACAATAGACCATCAACCCGGAGCCAAACTCGGGTGTTTAAAGCGAGAGCGAAAACTCCTGTCGGAAATGTTTCTAATAAAGAGGCTAGTCCCTTGGTCTTCGTATATCTATTGAGCTCATTCTAGGATAGGCATATGCTGAGGCATTCGACGAAGACTCTGAGGACTTCACGGATGCGATCAACGCTATACAGAGCGACGAGGATAGCGACGAGGAGGTTTGGAAAGGCTGTGCCAAGGTGAACATTCAAACGAATCGAGATATCAGGATTTTCAACTAATCCATGCGTAGGGTACACTTTCCAAGAGCACACAGCTTCCTCCGTCCCGCAAAACCGAAGCAGCGGCTACTCCTGATGCTGAGGGATCCACCGAAGACTATCAAGTTGAATACTTCAAGGATTCAACCAGCGCTATGCAGAATGACCAAGACAGCGGTCCGAGTGGTTTTAAAGACTGCAAGGTGAATCGAATAGATCAAATATCAATGGGGTACATAAACAGACTATCCATAGAACGCGCCTCCCAAGCTTAAGAAAGCACACATTCCTCTGTCCCGCAAAAAGGAAGGAATGGCTACTCCTGAAATAACAACACGACTCAAATTGTATTGGCAGGTTTTGACGAACCTTATTTCTATCACTGCGATTGTCTATTTGCTTTATTCGACCTTGAAGTAATATTACTGCGATAGCCATTGCTTTTATCTGATTCTGCTCCCGTTTGCCGAGATCCAAATGCATGACTACACCGTTGCTTTATGTCTAAGAGACGTGCCTTGACGTACCTACGTCTATACGTCAGAGATATTCCCGCAGCCGACTAACCACCCATAGCCGTAGAAGTCGTCCGCGTGGCCCGAGAAGGCAAAGCAGCCCGCGGTCGCGGAGGGCGAGAAGAAGATGGAGTCGTTTAATTTCCAGCCGCAGTCATGCGTTGAAGCTGAACAACGTCGAGGTGGCGCGGCGCCTGCTTGACAACATGTACAACCAGATGAACGTAGACAGGGTGATGAACGTGATCGCGCAGGCGCCGCCGGAGCCCGAGAAGGGCGAGCGGATGCGGTCCCTCTTTGCGGTGAAGATTGTGCTCGAGGGGGCCCTTGTGCCACTGGAGAGCGGTCCAAGCGCTTTTGCTGGATACGTTTGTGACGCTCAGTGATCCAGTGGGGAACCGCACTGCGAAGGCGAGGACGGGCAACGCAGGTGCAGCACAGCGGACGAGGTAAAGCAACGTGGGCGATCCCGATGTTGGATGGTCATGAATCGAGCCCTCGGTGAATCAGAGATCCAGCGTTTGCAGTTGAACAGGCAGAAGAAGTGCCGTCCCACTTAGACAGGCAGCGCGATCCCGGCCGCAACAAGCACGGACACAATGACTCATACCGCGAGGATGAAGCAAATAATGCGCCAGCGGAATTGAGGAGGGATGTACACGACGACAAAGTCCTCGATGTTCCGCTTCGACTTGATTTCCTCCGTGTTCTGCGCCGCCCTAAGCTTCGCCGCTTCCTCGTCCACTGGCTGACCGTTCTCGAGAACTTATGCCGTCGCACGCATGTCCTTGGGCAGTGTGATGTTGTCGCTAGACGGCACGCGACGGTACTCCTCATCGGATATCTCGACGGAAACTCCATCTTCGACAGAGCGCCGGAATGACGCGGGCCACGTCTTGTATTGCACGGTCACCTCTTCGTTCCTGGGACGGTCCCCGAACATGTACAATGTCGGACGCAGTTTCGAGGCAAGCTGTTTCCAAACGCGCACGGACGCCTTGTGAAAGATCTTGCGCGGACTCACGTAGCGCATGGTGTAGGGCAGCACTAGCATCAGAGATAGCAGGTTGACGGGAACGTCCGACAATGGCTCTCTGTATCCGCAGACAGAACAAAAAAAGGGGTCAATCACAATCACGGAACACGTTCGCAAATCTCAAGGGTTCACGACGACGACCACAAGGTTCAAGGTCTGAACACGAAAAAGCCAAACACCCACCTCGTCTTCCATGGAATCGGGAAAGATGGACTTGCTAACCACAAACAGCAGCGTCGCAACGCTGCCCACGCCTGACGCGACAACGAGCGAGTACATCAGCGCCGGAACGAGCAGCTTGCGGATATGGGTGAGCGTCGGCCGATCGAGAATGGCCCGGATCGGGTGGAACTTCTTATCCTGCAGGTCCGAGCAGGAAATACTCACATGAACATCATGCCCGCAACTCAATGATAGAATATCGCAGTGAGCGGCACGTGTAGGAAGAACGCGGCGCGCGACTCGATCGTTGCCTCAGGGAAGAGCCAGACGGTGCACACGTCAAGCATAATTCCGCAGCCAAGCGGGAAGATGATGAGCTCAATGATGAACATCGCAACCTAGGCCAAAATCAGTAAACGATGTTACGCAACTCTTGAAAAGCATCTATCTCTCCCGCTGCTGCTCCTTCCGTGCAATCAAGCCAAACAGAGCCCGCGTCGGCTAGTAGGCACCAAAAACAACGGAAGGTCGCAAATCTGGGGCGAGAAACAGCAGAACGGCAGACGACAAGCCCTCGAGGGGAAACTTCGAAAAAGAACCCAGAAGAACAAACGCACCTTGAGCACCAATAGCTGCTGCCTAACAGCCATCCACACCGCCCGGCCCGCACTCCTCGCATTACGCACCGTAAAGTAATTCAGATACAAAGCCAGCACAAAACCGACAACCGCGTAGCAAAGTAAGATCGCGAACACCCGCTCGTGCGGCCCGTGGCCGAGCGCCATGCGCACCCAGCCCGTACGCGCAGTGACAACGCCGCTGCGCACTTCGTGCCCGCGCGAGGCCAAGCGAGGCTCGGCCCACTGCGCGAGGGCGGACGGCGCCCCACCGATTCATAGCGAGTGTAGTCTGTAACGGAGGAGTGTCCTGTATGAGCGCCTTTCTTCCGTAGCGAATCCTGCGGTAAACCACTTCGCCCATTCATCGAAGACTTTCCCAGAGAGTACCGCTTGCTCCTTCCTACCCGACTTTGTCACGGCGAACTGCACGAGGCGCTGCAGCGCGGTCCAGTAAAGGCGCGAGGCGCCAACGACCAACGGCACAACGGTGCGAGACGTCACGTAGGTGATCACGTCCACGACCGGATCTATAACGTAGCGGATTGCGCGGATAGGCAGGTGTAGGATGTAAAACAACCGTGGGGGGTCCAGCTGCCGTTCATAACTTGTAAGTGGTGCAGGAGTGAATGAGGAGGGAACGGACGCACTGGGAGCAAAGCTGTCGTCTTTCCCAGCGTGAACGGGAGCCATATCCCGACTCCAATGGTCGTGTCCAGAATAAAGATAATCAGGACGGCCTTTCGGGCGAGCAATGTTAACCACTATCATGCGTATGCACAAAGGACCAAATAAATCACTACGCACATTCTGAACCACACCAAACAGCGGCCCCCTAAGCCCAGTTACTATATATCGGACAAACGAGCATCAGCACTACTCCACCTCCACAAAACAAGCCCCGCATGACAAAGCCAAAAGGACGAAACAAGCACTCACCCTCAAACGCATCATCCACATCGTCCTCAAGTCTAATATCGTCCTCTAAATTCCCATCCATCTCCACCGTCGTGTACAGACGCGCGGAGCTCATCCTGGCGCGAGAAATGCCCGTGATGGAGAAAATGCCTGGGTAGCCATGTAGGACTTGAAGAGGGGTCAATATCAGACTATGGTCGTAGGATATGCCCAGGAATCACTGCTCACGAATAAACTTTCTGCCGGCGGGCAGCTCCATGAAGTGCCGGAGCACCCAGACAACAGTCGCGGACAGGAGAAGCATGCCAAGGAGTCCACTTTTGTCTCAGTGTGTCAATTCTATTACATGAGCCAGCTACTGCTTAAGGCGATCTCTGTCGACTAACCTAGACGGAATTTTCCCTTTCGTCTTCTAGTCACACTCTTGGAGCCTCTTATAAGGCTGTAGGTGGGACTCTCATTCTATCGACCCCATTTCTTCCCCTAACATGTCGCGCTTTCATCACAACCGTCAGAGCAAATCGCCCGCTGGGCGCGAGAAGAACCGTACCAGGTGCGTTGTTATGTGGCATTTGCACTTACATCAGTATCATTTGACTTCTCCTTGCATAGGATTGGTTCCACTGACAGCACCGAGCCCAAAAATGACGTGTCCCCTGAAGCCGCCGTCATGTATGTATCATGACACTTACACACCATGTTCACGCTCACCGTGCATTCCAGCTCCGACCCTGCGATAGAGCTGATCTCTGTCGATGAAGATGTAGACCCTAACGCTCCTGCGGGCGATGTGGTGGGCATCTATGATCTGGATGCGACGGACGACGCCGAGTCCGTGATAGAGTTGGTCTCTGTCGATGAAGATGTGGACCCTGGCGCTCCTGCGGGCGATGTGGTGGGCATCTATGATCTGGATGAGACGGACGACGCCGAGTCCGTGATAGAGTTGGTCTCTGTCGATGAAGATGCGGACCCTGGCGCTCCTGCGGGCGATGTGGTGGGCATCTATGATTTGGAAGCGACGGACGACGCCGAGTCCACGATAGAGTTGACCTCCATTGATGAAGAAGTGGACCCTGATGCTCCTGCGGGCGGTGTGGCGGGCATCTGAGATCTCACTTTTCCTACCTGATCTTTGGCAAGCAAATGGCGACGATCCCACCGGTTCATTGAACTCTACTTGATTTTCGTTTTCATTTTCAATAGCTATCATGGGCATGTACAGACTGAATGCGCTGTTTTGATATTATATTGACATGATAACCAGTTGATATGCGAGAGGCTGACACCTGACCCGGTCGCCTTTGGTCGCGGTACCCGACCAGAAAAAGCGGCGCCAATGTAACCGATAGCATAGAGACAGCTGAGGTATACGTACAACGTGTCATTGCCGGTCGTAGTTGCATGCGCGGCGAAGGAGAAGGCGGACGTGGATTCGGAGAGGACACAACCATTGGGTGGGAACTACAAATATATGTGCATGTAAGTACTGACAAAGACGAAAGGAACATGGACAAGGGGGATGGAGGGCTGCGGCACAAGGAAAGGATGAAAGGTATGGCAACACTTACGAGCGACACCGTCCACAGTGTATACATCGCATACATGTTTCCGTCCTCGACCACACACTGCAGCAGATCAAAAAGCTTCACCGCCTTCTACTGCATGACCTCGTTCCTTCCTGCGACAACGCGCGCGAGGCGCAAGAGCGCGTACTTGGGCTTAGCATGCGCGACGAACATGCATTTGACGAGTTGCTACAAAAAGCGAGTCTTGACGTATGGACCCATAGCGTGGTTTGGCGGCATAAACTGGATGATGTGTAGGACGAGGGTGAGGATACAAACAAGCACACCTCAGCGGGAGGAGCATGAATGTCAGCGAGGTAAACCGACTGCTTGGCTGCAACGAGCGCTGCTACTCGCACTCGCGTTGTATACGCAAGCGTCTGCTACACTGAAATTTGGCCTTACCAGCCAATTTACATTGTACACTGGTTACGCAGCTAAGAAACGATGAGCTTCACTTTTGGAGAAGTAACGGACGACGACTCACATCCAGTCGCTGTACAACCTCTCATCCTCATTATCAGTGTGCATGAGGCAACTCTCATCCTGGCCCTCGCTGTCCTCCACCAGGAGGTTATATTTGCCATCCTGGAGCGCGCCCGCGCAAATTGGTTGCTCGCGGTGATTCCGCGTGAACTCGGCGATACGCCAACGGACCAATGAGCGGGTGCACCCCCCTGATGTCCTTCGTGTGGTTGTGCCCCTAATGCATTGAGGCCGACTCGTATTTGTAAAGGAGGGTGTGGTAGGAGAGGCATCGCAAAGTTGGAGGCGGTCGGCGAGGAAGATGGAGAGCGGCGAGGATGGTAGTGAGCGACGAGGATAGGTGTGCCGCGCGTACATCCACTTCTTTGTTTACTGTGAACAAACAAGCCACCCCTGAGTACTTGAGTACGCCTCACTGAATCAACGACACCTTGATTTGACCTTGATCAGTAACACTTATAACCGTCTAACATATCTACGTCACGTACGGCGGACAGAGATATGTATAGTGTCCCTGTGGAAGTAGTGGTACGTGACATTGAATTCAGGTAGTAGGCGCCTGGTTTCCTTTTTGATGTGCTACAACATGACATCTTAAAAGGTAAAAAGTACCTTGGCAGTAGTCTCGTAACCAGCCGCTCTTGAGGGCGGAGCTATTTCGGGCCCCAGAGGGCCAGCGGCCTCTAGGGCCGAAAAAGCTCCGCCCAGAAGGAGTGTCTGGTTACGAGACTACCTTGGCAGCTGCTTCTCGTACCGGGTACTTACGCCGGCATCTGCCGGGCAGCACTCGCGACGTCATCTCATTTACACTGCAAGTACTAGTCATCTCCGCTGCTGACTTCGCACTTACCCAGCAACTACCTGACATGATCAGCATGTCTGCTGCCGATTTAGCACCTACCCAGCACCTACCTCGCTTAATCAATATTTCTGCTGCCGAGTTAGTCCTAATGTCTACTAATGCTAGTAGGACCAGCTGACATCTCCATCATCTTCTCAGCATGTGACATCATCTCCGTCAATTTCGTACTCGGCACCTACTCGACATCTCTACCATTCCAACATTAAATTGCACCGCCTTGGTACCTTTTCTGCGCGTGTTCGTCTGTTTTCTCCCGTTGAGTGGGGCAGCCCGGCTTATTCACCCGGTGCAGCAACGGCTATCTTTTATGAATTGGCAAGCACGATTGAGTCACTGGGATGCTCTAGCTCGACCAGGACTCCGTCGACGTCCTGTACCTCACACCTTTTGTCTGCTGAGAGTTAAGGTGGAAAAGATCAGGGTAATGGTTACCTTTCTCAGTTGACAAAAGGCTTTGAAGAGCTTAAATTTTTAACGGGCAAAAACCCGTGAGAAAGGTTTAACCTCTATGCCGACCACCCACCGGCACGGCAGACAATATTTTCTCATCGCGACAACGCGGATAAATGGGTCATCATTTCGATTGCCTTCTCTCTGGCCTAAAACGGTAATCCCATTTTCCTTTTTCCGCCGGGAAACGGCGAAGAAAAAGCTTATCCTTGCTCTCGGGGAAATACAGGGGAAAATTCAAAGAAATGGAAATAATTTCTCACGAAGAAAATCGTGAGAAAAAGGCTTTCACCTCGCGGCCTTTTTGGCCTGGTTTTCGGGGGCAAGAAATTGCGGTTTGCCCGTAGTGCGTGCGTACCGATGCTGCGGCATGGGCGAAGGAACACGCTTGAAGTGAAAACACATGGTCAGCGCTAAGGCATAAACTATAGGGTTATGGAAGCAGGCGCTTACCTTTTCTTCAGAACTTCCCCAAACCGATGGAAATGGTCCCTCCCAAGTCCCTCGCCCACAACACGGACATCGCCTGTAATCATCCGTGTTTCGTCGCGCGTTTCGCCGAGGAACGTGCATCCGAGGCCCTTGCGCACCGCGCTGCGCGCGCCTTCGGCACCAATGAGATACTGCGCTTGCATCGTCTCCACTGTCTCTTCCTCGCTACCCTGCTGCTTCTTTACGAGCTGGACAGTAACGTAGTCCGCGTTCTGCTCGAACGAACGCAGCTCGGTACCAAGCTCGACATGCACATTGTATTTCGCAATGTGCTCGCGAAGGAGGCGCTCGGTCATGTGCTGGCCGAGCACGAGCCCATTCACCTGATGTACACCAGGTTTGTCAGCGATGCAAAAGGCGAAGAGAGTAAATTGAACGTACGTAGGGGTAGTGCGGCGTCGGCGCATGTGTCTTTCCCATAGCTATGACCTTGTCGGGCTCCATCGTGCCAGGCTTGTACGATCGAATCGGAGTGAACGGCTGGCCAGCCTCGATGATATCGTGCAACCTGGCCTGGTGGAAGAGCTCGAGCGTGCGTGGCTGGAGGCCGGGACCGCGCGAGCCGGGATTGAACGAAGGAAGCTTTTCGACGATGCGCACGTTGATTCCGTTGCGGAGGAGAACAAGGGCGGCTGTGAGGCCTGTGGGTCCCGCACCAGCCTAGGAGACGTAGAACGTCAATGTCCTGAGTCCCTGCTACGAAGGAAGCAGGGAAACGATGACTTACAATGAGAACAGGGGTATTAGATGCCGAAGACATGATGCGGCAACTGAGTTGTCTGATAACCTATGTGATTTGTCGAGTGGAAGATGAGGACGCCAAGACAAGCTAAACATCGCCTTTATACGAAGTCATCCACTCGAAAGCCGAGTGTACGAACGACGGTCAATTCGGCGCATGATGACGAACGAGGACGGCAGAAGGCCGTGCTATACTGGGTTGATGAGCTGCAGAGTGCGACGCGCGTTGTTCAGGCAAATCGTATGTTGACGAGCTGTGCTTCGGCAAGCGCGCAGTAGGGAGACGTGTCCAAGACGACGTGTTGGTGGCTGTCACCGAGGAAAGTGCCGATAAGACATCCGGGGCCCGATCACCGTGGGAAATGAACTTACCGCGCTTGCTTGCCCGTCGCATTGTTTTCCAAACCTCAAACATAGACATAGCATCTCATATCACGACGGTGCATCCCCAGTAAGCACATTAACCGTTGTCCCGTCAAGCTTGTTTCTGAGCAATAGATCATATCGTGACGTGCAGACAGAACACCCCAAGTCCAACTCTAGACATGGCTCTACCGTTCGAGCTTCTCATCTCCATCTTTGATCTTGCATGTTACCCTCCGCAGCCTCAAATCTTCGATCCCGCCCTGTGGACTGGCCACGATCCAATGTCGGGTGGAAAACAGGGTATGCGCTTCCAACAAGGCCTTACGCTGATATGCAAAGCTTGGTCGGGACCGGCAAAAGAGCTCCTGTACCGCGACATTACCATCCGAACCGTCAACCAGCTCCCTCTTCTTGAACACACACTCTTGAATGACTCAACCTCGGCGCTAGCTTTAATGATTAAATCCCTTCGACTTCTATGCGACGTCTCTCCCACCCAGCACCACGTGCTTGATCTCTCCCTCAGGCCGGTTTTATGTATGTG